GATTTGTTGGGGGCGCGAAACCTTTTCTCCTCTCCCCGGCAAACTCCCTCGGCGGCAAAATCGGCCCTCCGCGGAATAACTTGTGTCGCTCACCGAAAAAAAAACGCCGCCGCCCAAAATGCAAATGCATCTGCAAAAGCAAAGATCTGATTCTCGTACTAAGTTGGTTGCCGCTACTGATGTCTATGGACAAACTGAGAGGGTCTAGGAGCGCTATGTATATGTATCGAAACAGATTCTTTAACTGTGTATTAACAATCACACTCAACGATGATATGGACTGAAATTTCTTCTAAATCCAAAACAATTAACATGAGAGTGCTACCTTCTCCACTGTGGTTGTGGACCGATATTCAAAATGTTTCTTTTTATGTTACAGCTGCCAAGAAACTGGGCTCGGACCTGCATCTCAACAAGAAGATGGCCAAGGAGCTCATGGGCAAGATGCACGGCAAGAAGTAGAGAGAGGCATCGGTGTGTGTTGACAACATTGACAGAAATATATTCATACAAATACATCAAATAAACGTCAAAACGTATTTTTAAATAACTACTGTCAATATATTACTCTTCATAGAAAGCATTCCAATACACGACAGAGTTGTATTTCTGATTTGTTTCATTGGTTTTCTAATCATGACCAAATGTTTTCAAGCTGTTAAATTGTTTTTCTGTCCAACATAAGACTTCGCTTTTGTGCATGCAATGATGTACGCAACAGATTCACATTGCTTTGCGAGATGGAATGAAATTAATCATTAGGGGCAACACGTTGACTAGAACGGGCTAAAATGAACGACGTCTGCAACTTTGGACTAACCAGTATCTCTGTACTTCTGTTTCTACAGGTTGGACGAAAGCCGTGCTGACATAGATGCGACGACATGGCCGAAACTAACACGCTAGTTTTAATTCGTTCTAACTTTTGTGGTGGTGAACTGAGAACTTCTAGACAAAGGTTACCTCTGACTAGCAGTATATTTATAGCTAATTCTTGCTAACATTTTATTGTAAAACGAATCAATTTTAAACAATTGTAAAAGCCTTCAATATACATATCCATGCATACTGTTCATAGATCGATAAAATGGCACCGATATAAGATAATGTTTCATTTCGAATTTAGCATGAACATTCTTCGTCAAAATACGAGGGTAAATATACATACTACAAATATGAAGTCATTATGATACAAAATCAACCACTACAATAGCTCCTGATTTAGATAAACTTCACATGATGTTTAGAGAGTAGTTTGTGTCTGTTTTTTTTCTTGGGTACGTAGTTAGATCCTGATTTACAAAGTTGATCCATGGCCATGTGACAGTCAAATAAAGCTTGATTAAGTTCGACAACGTATTGTTGCCAATTCTTTTGTTTTCTTGAGCAAATATAACAAGTTAAGGGTCCTCATTTATGAAAAAAATGATACCAGTTCACATTCGGAGCAAATGAGGAACATGTATACTATGGAAAATTCCTATACATGTAGGTTCACCATTATGAAAGGTTTTCACCAGATATTGAAGTAAAGCTTGGCGAAGTAATGTTGATGGGGCGCCGATTTTACAGTAGCTCCTGACATCATCTAAATAGTATGAGCTTTCCATGACATAGTCATTACACATAAATATATTAATTAGTGCTGTACAAATTATACTAAACATAAATTCCAGATCGTACCATGCAGCAGTAGCCTGGATGCCAGACACATGGCACACTGGGCCCAAAGTAATATCCCTGTGTGCAGGCGTCTGGTATAGTGGTAGGGTAACATGGACCTTTCAGTCGCACGCTCAGTGATTAAGCGTAGGCGTCACCTATTGAGCAACAGGAAGCAATTTTACACCTCTGCTATGATTGCTATGTGTGCACCCAGCTATGGGTCTGGCATATATAAGCAGAGACCCCTATCGGGATCTCTACCGAAAGAGACTCTAATTGGGAGTTTCTGTTGACAGAACACTTTGATCGGGATTTCTACGTATACCAAAAGAACCAACTATTTTTTTTTCTGAATTTTATTTAGTTTTGTCTGTTCGTGTCGATTGTGATTTCTGTGTTGCATGCACCTATAGCTGTCTGTGATCCTCTCCAAAGATTTCTTCTCGAAAGATTCCCGCCCCAGGCTAAGCTGTGCAACCTGTCAGACCTGCATGGATTAGCGCCTAGCTCTTTTAATCTGTTCCCTCGTGACGTCTTGTGGAGAATTTGAAGCGACCTATTTACTACCTTTTGAAAGAAACTCTGGACCAATTAGTTCAACCAGTGGACACCGAAAAAAAAGGGTTGGACGTCACAATAAAATCAGAGCGACCATTTTGTCTTAGCAAGAGACATTCTGTTTAAACTACTTGTTGACGTTGTATCTCTGTGTAAGGCTGCGTACTTTAGTGACAGAAACATGAAGACTACACCTATGGCCTTACTGCTGCCTCTGGCTCTTCTGCTGATGTTTGTGCAAGAGGGGGGAGGGGGCATACGTACTTATCTACTTTGTAATCCCTAATGAAGACAGGGACAAGCATAAATTTGAGAGCATGACTTTTAGGTCGCCTTACAATAGTGTCATTTTTTGTGTCCCTAAATTGACGGCGCTGTGAATATCGCTGGATAGTGGATGTTTGGATGTTTGGTCTGACGTATGGTCTTGGATGTATGGTTTTCATTGACGTGTAGGCTATGGACACTCCAATTACTTATTACGTATGAAAAAACAAAAGACCGCATGCGCAGAACCGAAATCACAAAGAAAAAGTCAGACAAGTTGTCACGGTGATCACAAGACCACCGAACTCTCTCAGGAACACACACGTACGTCCTGATTCGATCCTTGGTGTGAAGTACTTGTTGAATCAAACGGGAATCATGAAGACTACAGCCGTGCTGGTGTGCCTGGCTCTTCTGGTGGCCATAGTGCACTCCGCTGCCGTGGACGGTAAGTATTTATACCACATAGACGACAACTTGGTCTCATGTGCTATATTCTAAAACTAAAGAATTGAACTCATCTGCCACACCGCGACTACTGAAGTAAGGGTCTTCATCGAGATCGATTGCGAATAGCATGTTCCAATTTTGAAACCAATAACTTTTTGGCTAAGGAAATTCTTGGCCACAAAGTCCGCACGGACTAGGTATATAAGTTGACAACTTTAAAAGCGATTCTAAAAAGATGGTTGATTTAAAATATCTACTTATTCCTTCCTTACAGCTGAAGCTGCAGCAAGCAAATCGAGAAACAAGCGTGGTAAGTAGACACCATAAATTACAATTCTTGCCTATTGATATAATCATGGTAGCCCTCCCTTTTTCAACTGTCTTGTTGTTTGAAGAGTTAACCCAAAAAATGTCACATTCCTTGTATAACTCACGGCGCTTGTTTAGTCAAAGTAGCACAGATTCTTTTTAACATGCTCGCTCGATCCGAGGCATGTTGATTGATACCTGTTGATTATGATAATACGGCCGAGATCAGCACTAAAAGCGAATTCCAAACAATCTTTTTTTCAGCGGCCGCGGGGAAGGCTTTGACTGAGTTGGAAGGCACCTTGAAGAAAGTTCGCGGAGACCATAACCTGGTCCACGGTAAGTAAACAGAGGTGTCATTGTTTAACAGTGTGATGTTCAAGCGCGACTAGTCCAGCGCGCCAGGACCTTTTAGCCTCGCGGTTAGTGCGTTGGGTTCGTGAGCTGTTGGCGACCTGCCGGGTTCGAATCCCGGGAGCCAGGAGAGAGGAGACTGTACTACTTGTCCCTTTATGTTTCAATGAGAACGAATCTAAAAAGAAAATTGGACGTAGGGGTTCAAGCTGTTCCAAAGGATCCGGGCCTTTTAGTCCTGCGTTTGGTTTCGTGAGCTAGTGGCTCGGGTTCGAATCCCGGGAGCCAGAAGACTGCAGTACTACATGTATAGTTTGTTCCAGTTGTGTCGACGATCTGGATTCGTAGAGGCTTAATTTGCTCAATTGTTCAGCTGACCCAACCTCTATAATCCCTTCATGTCTTCATTCTCACGTTAGCAGAAAATTAATCAATTAGATGTGGTCAAAGTAGATACGAAAGCAGGTTTTAGAAATGCCATATCGTGACGCATATTCCTTTTTATTTCCCATACCACAGATTCTCATGTTCGTAAAGAGCTGGGGATGGCCAAGAGGGCAGTCGGGAAGATGAACCATGGGCAGAAGAGGGGAGGTACGTATTACGCCATCATCTGTGTACACACTGCGGTATAATTACTCGGAGGCCGAATGTGTGTTTCGTGTCTTAATTTGCCCCTTTCACATTCCTGTGTAGTGGTTCAACTGGTTCTGTAGCTGTATTTTCTCAATTGTTAGTCTAACTCCTTGGGAACACTGATCGAGTGAAAAGTCTAGAGATTACATATAATCATAGACTACAAGCGCCAGAAATTTTTAGTCAAGCAACTGGATAGATTTTGAAATCCAGTTGCTTGAGTTACAATAATCTTGTGTATCTCATTACTAGTAACGTTACATGTATGTATAACATTCATGGACGCATAGACTAAAAAAGGCCCCTTGATACTAGTACATGTATAAGTACAATCGCCAAAAAAATAGTTTCTCGGCACAGGATTTGTTGTTAGTTCTTGAACCAGATTAATTTGTTAGTTCTTGAACCGGATTAACTATTTAAGACATTTGGAAATAACTTCGTACGGAGACAAACATGATCATGTAGGTTTGTCCGGACGGGCGTCATTTGGACACTCTACAGACCAATCGTCAATAGGCCTAGCTCAAAGCCCCACCCACTCACCCTACCCCATCAAAAATGTAGAAACGGATCCGGAAAGCAAATGCATCTGCAAAAGCAAAGATTTGATTCTCTTACTAATTTCGTTGCACTACTGATGTCTATGGACGAGCTGAGTGGGCCTAGGAGCATCATTTGTTTTGAAACAGATTCTTTAACTGTGTATTTACAACTTCACTTAATGGATATGGACTAATGATACATCTTAATCTAAAACAATCAATATGAGAGTGCTACCTTCTTCACTGTGAATGTGGTCTGATACCCAAACCATTTCTATATGTTACAGCGGCCAAGAAACTGGGCTCGGACCTGCATCTCAACAAGAACATGGCCAAGAAGCTCATGGGCAAGATGCACCACAAGAAGTAGAGAGAGGCATCGGTGTGTGTTGACAACATTGACAGAAATATATTCATACAAATACATCAAATAAACATCAAAAGTATTGCTAGATAATTGCTGTCACTATTTAGTACTCTTCATAGAAAGCATGCCAATACACGACAGTGTGTTATTTCTGATTTGTTTTGTTGGTTTTCTAATCATGACCAAATGTTTTAAAGCTGTTAAATTGTTTTTCGGTCCAAAATAAAACTTCGCTTTTGTGCATGCAATGATGTACGCACCAGATTCACATGGCTTTGCGTGATTGAATATAATTAAATAGTCTTGTCAAGTCAAAGTTTATTGACGATTGTAACAGGTATAATGTATGGCAGATCATAATAAGATTACTAGCTGGTATATGAGTCTATCAAGATTCTATGTATAAGTTCAACGGGTGTCATGTCTGGCAAAATGTTGAGTAGAACTATCTAAGAGCTAGTACACCTCTACACGTATGTTCTAAAGGCATCACTTTGAATAGAACGGGCTAAAATGAACGACGTCTGCAACTTTGGACTAACCAGTGTCTCTGTACGTCTGTTTCCACAGGTTGGACGAAAGCCGCGCTGACATAGATGCGACGACATGGCCGAAACTAACACGCTAGCTTTATTTCGTTCTAACATTTGTGGTGGTGAACTAGACACAGACTATCTCTGACTAGCAACATATTTATAGGTAATTCTTGCTAACATTTTATTGGAAAACAAACAACTCGGATCAATTTTTAAACAATTGTAAACGCCTTCAATATACATATCCATACATACTGTTCACAGATCGATAAAATGGCACCGATATAAGATAATGTTTCATTTCGAATTTAGCATGAACATGTTTCGTCAAAATACGAGGGTGAAATATACATACTACAAATATGAAGCCATTATGATACCAAATCAACCACTACAATAGCTCCTGGTTTAGATCAACTTCACATGATGTTTAGAGAGTAGTTTGTGTCTGTTTTTTTTTCTTGGGTACGTAGTTGGATCCTAATTTACAAAGTTGATCCATGGCCATGTGACAGTCAAATAAAGCTTCATAAAGTTCGACATCGTATTGTTGCCACTTCTTTTGTTTTCTTGAGCAAACATAACAAGTTAATGGTCCTCAGTTATGACACAAAAATGATACCAGTTCACATTCGGAGCAAATGAGGAACATGTATATTATAGAAAATTCCTATATTAGTGTACGGATAGGTTCACCATTATGAAAGGTAGTCTCCAGATATTGAAGTAAAGTTTGGCGAAGTAATGTTGATGGGGCGCCGATTTTACAGTAGCTCCTGACATCATCTAAATAGTATGTGCTTTTCATGGCATAGTCATTACACATAAATATATTAGTTAATGCTGTACAAATTATACTAAACATAAATTCCAGATCGTACCATGCAGCAGTAGCCTGAATGCCAGACCCATGCATACTGGGCCCAAAGTAATATCCCAGTGTGCAGGGGTCTGGTAGGGTAACATAGACCTTTCAGTCGCACGCTCAGGGATTAAACGTAGGCCCCACCTATTGAGCAACAGGAAGCAATTTTACACCTCTTCTATGATTGCTATGTGTGCACCCAGCTATGGGTCTGGCATTTATCAGCAGAGACTCCTGTCGAGATCTCTACCGAAAGAGACTCCAATTGGGAGTTTCTGTTGACAGTACACTTTGATCGGGATTTCTACGTATACCAAACGAACCAACAAAATTAAAAATTGCTATAATTTTTTTTCTTAAGTTTATTAGTTTTGCTGTTCGTGTCGATTGTGATTCTGTGTTGCATGCACCTATAGCTGTGTGTGCTCCGGGATCCTCTCCAAAGCTTTCTTCTCGAAAGATTCCGGCCCCAGGCTAAGCTGTGCAACCTGTCAGACCTGCATGGATCAGCGCCTAGCCCTTTTATTAAATCTGTTCCCTCGTGACGTCTTGTCGGGAATTATTTACCCTTTGAAAGAAACTCTGGACCAATTAGCTCCACCACAGGACACCACACAAACAAAAGGGTTGGACGTCACAATAACATCAGAGCGACCATTTTGTCTTAGCGAGAGACATTCTATCCTTCAAACTACTTGTTGACGTTGTATCTCGGTGTAAGACCGCGTACTTTAGTGACTGAAACATGAAGACTACACCTATGGCCCTACTGCTGCTCCTGGCTCTTCTGTTGGTGTTTGTGGAAGCAGGGGAGGGCATACGTACGTATCTACTTTGTAATCCCTAATGAAGACAGGGACAACACCATAAATTTGACGGCACGACGTTTAGGTCGCGTCACTGTCACTTTTTGGTGTCCCTAAATTTGTGGCGGTGTGAATATCGGTGCATGGTCTGAGTGTATATTCCGTAGAAAGAAGAAGAAAAGCAGGTGGCACAGTTTTAGATTCGCTCGAATGCTTTGGAACAATACATGGCTCAATAGGTCATTGCCCCCAGTACTACTATTTACTAGTATTTAACTTAGTGTGTATCGAAATTTGTCGCTAAATTGGTACCGGTGTGAATATCGGGGATAGTGGACGTTTGGATATATGGTCTGAGTGTATATTCCCTAGTTAAAAAAGGCAGATACACATGTCCCATGAGAATTTGTCACTCCTTACTGTCACCCCCTATTACAACATCAGGAAGAGTTGTCTATCGTGTGCTATCTTATTACTGCCATTTTGGAATGTGTGTATTACATTGAAATATACTAAATACGCAATTCTCGACCAGGGGACAACATTCCGTGTCATTTAGGTTAGAATACGAGAAAAATATATCGTAAAACTGCAAACCATTTCTGCAATATCACAATATCATAGAAGGAATTTTGAAACATAACTGGTTGCTTCGACTCCTTGCAGAAACTGACTTGTTAAAATCATGGAAAGACTTGGAAATGCTGAAAAATATTGCAAGTGGCGACAAGACACTGTACGCTGGTAAGTTGGACAATAAATGCACATCTGATTTTATGCATATGTGTCATAGCTTACATAGCCTCCGGTTTTTGTGATGAGTCTATGTTGTCCAATAATTGATCTAGCAGCATCGATTACATTCCTCAAATGTTTGGTAAAATTATGGTTCATTCTTCAGCATCTTCCCAGAAGTAGAAGTTCTGTTCTATCATTATTTAGCCCCTGTCACACTTACCCAAATATACCGTCCCGAACACTGCCGAACTCCTCCAAAACAGGGTTGGGAATAGGTCGTGAGGAGGATCGGGTGGGGTTGGCTGACAGTTTTCGGCAAGGTTGGCTTCTGCTCGGCTGCGCCAGTCGAACGTTTCAAAGTATTCAAAACATTCGGATGTGGACTGGAAGATAGGCAATGGTTGACTGGTGTTCGGGTGTAGGTAGTGTAAGCATTGGGTAGTGTTTGGGGGTCAAATTTTACTCTAATTTAACTCGAATTCGACTAGATTCATATAGAAAGGTAGGCGTTGTCTATATCCCGAAATGCAGCCAAATGAACCCTGCTCGATTGGTGGACGGGGGAAGGTTCTAATTGTGTGACAGGGGTTTAATGATATAAACATTAGGTCTTTCAATATATTCTTCAAATGGATTTTGAATCGTACTGTGTGTTTATAGATCAACATGGCGGGACCTGTGCATGTCTGCAGCCGCCATGCACCAGCTCCTGATGCCTGAGGACGATTGATTGATTGTGTGTGTACATGTAGGTTGAACGTGATTGATTGATTGATTGATTGATTGATTGATTGATTGATTGATTGATTGATTGATTGATTGATTGATTGATTGATTGATTGTATCCCACAGATGCTGGCTTTCAAAAAGAAGCGGGAGAAACTTTAGACAGAATCAGACGTGCGGTAAAAGACATGACACCTGCCGAGCGACAAAACAGTGAGTCCCGCGCCATCTTCAGTCATTATTCACAATTAGGCAACACCGACTCAACTTTATGGATGGCATCCTCGCGCTCATTGATTTTCGCCTGTTCTCAAAAAAAAATCCTTCGAGTCCTCCGAGGCTCTGGCCTGGCTCTAGGCCTGGATAGTCCATGGTAGCTAGCGACAATACGGAGCCGGTGTTAACTCTGGAGGATGGCACCCAGGCTACCGTGGCTCCACGACTCATACGTACAGCGCCGATTCATAAAATCCGCAAAAAGGCACCATGTGCCGGCTTGTCGTATACATCGATGCCTGTGGCTATTGACAGGATCGTCCTGTCAATAGCAGAAAATATTGCACTGCTGACAGGATCGTCCTGTCAATAGCAGAAAATATTGCACTGCTGACAGGATCGTCCTGTCAATAGCAGAAAATACTGCACTGCTGACAGGATCGTCCTGTCAATAGCAGAAAATATTGCACTGCTGACAGGATCGTCCTGTCAATAGCAGAAAATATTGCACTGCTGACAGGATCGATAAAATTTTGGTATTTTTATTTCATACTGGAAATTTTGGGGTGGGCGCTGGTTCGTGTAGGTCTTATGTAGGTGTTATTATGTATGCTATTAGGCCATTTTTTACGATCCTGCGCTGCGGCCCCTGCAGATCGTCGTGCATACATTGATCCCCCGCTCGGTAGCGCGCGCCTGGCCTCCCGTAAGCAATGCGGCGGCAGTGCGTGCCTGTCGCCCCGACTAGCCTCTACCAGGCACCGCGGATCGCTGGAAAAATAGTAGAAATTGGCCGATATATACCAAGGGTATATATACCAAGGTCGCCAATTGGAGCTTCTCTGGCCGGCTAACTCCCTTGGTATATATTCCCTTTATTTCGGCCAATTTCTATTATTTTTCCAGCGATCCACGGTGCCTGGTAGAGGCTAGTCGGGGCGACAGTAAGCGCTAGCCATTACAGCCCAGGCCTGTTACAGCCGGCGCCGCGGGAATGACACAGCGGTCCACCGGCGGGTACCCGTCGGGCTAGCCTGGGTGCCACCAGGCCTGGGTGCCACCCCGCGCGCGAGTGTCTATCTCCTAACTACCTAAGTAAAAGTCATGGGAAGCCATAATATAACTCCCGGCAGACCTACTTGGCACACTGGGTCTAATTATCTCCTCGCGCATGAGGCGTTAGAGGGCTTCGCGTGGACGAAGGGGTTTGGGTGGATAATGGTAGCGGACAAATACGGTTTCTCCCGAAATCTATCGCCAAATAAACGCCGGACTCTGGGGCACCCAGGGTTAACCGTCAGGCGTGCTAACAGCAACACAACAACCCGCCCCCCCAGTAACACTAACAAGCGTGCCAGGCCCTGCAGCGTGCCTTTGCCGGTACTGTGGCAGTGTGGGGCCCAGTGGGGCCGGTAAAATTCGGTGGCCAGCTGGATACGCGCGCCAGGGGGCTGTTGTTGTTAGCAGGCCGGCTAGCTGAAATGCCACACCAGCGGTATTTTCCTGGATTTGTTCCATTTGATTTCAAAGTTGTTGAAAGAATAAATAATGGATAGAGATCAACTTCTTTTTGTCTTTTTTATTGTCTTCATCTTATGTAACTGCCTTCGTATTTCAGACAGCTTATGCATGAAATTCGCTTGTATTTATATTTTGAACATGTCTAGTTTTGACATATATCTGCTGGAGTACTCTGTATTGATAACTCAGTTAACGTGATGATAGCCGCCATCGTGAAACGCCTAATCTGCAGTACAGTAGCATATGCCTTCTGACTGGTTAAAAAAATGAAAACAAAGAAGAAATCATGTCAATAGAGCCCAAAATGGAAGATTTAAAAATCCTGTCAATAGTGCCAAAAATGGCACTGCTGACAGGACGATCCTGTCAACAGTGTCAAAAATGGCACTGCTGACAGGACGATCCTGTCAGCAATGCAGTATTTCCTGTTATTGACAGGATCGTCCTGTCAGCAGTGCAATATTTTCTGCTATTGGCAGGATCGTCCTGTCAGCAGTGCAGTATTTTCTGCTATTGACAGGACGATCCTGTCAGCAGTGCAGTATTTCCTGCTGTTGACAGGACGATCCTGTCAATAGCCTCAGGCTACATCGATATATGTACTGCCGCAAATTTAATATACCAGCTTTGTTACATTCCTGTGGTTTAGTAGCATTTTTTATTTTTGGCCGGGTTTTTTTTATTCGCCCGCGCGCGCTAGTTTGGGGGTCTTCCATAATATTAAGTCGGTGTGGCCTTATGCATTATTACATGATACATCCAAAAACAGTTTAGTTGCTCAATTTGTCCCACTACGTGTGGTCTAGTTGACATTTTCTCTTCTCTCTTTTTGATAGCTTACGTAAAATTTGACAGCTTATGACAAATGTTTTCGGTGATATGATGACAAATATAGCCTTTGTGACGGGTTTTAGATAAAGCAAGGTATAACGTCTTTGGATATAGCTCAGGTGTCGCCCCCAGCTAAAGCAGAATTCTTCTATGTAATTAGCTAGACAATAGGGCATACGGGTCTGTGAACAGGAAAATTTGATCCTGTCAAACAGGATGACTCAATTTTAGATCCGCTCGAATGCTTTGAAAAAATACATGGCTCAATAGGTCATTGCCCCCAGTGGTACTACTTACTAGTATTTAACTTACTAGTAGTTTGTATCGAAATTTGTGATTGTAACAACGCATTCCAGTAGAATATGGTTGCTACTAGTATTCTTTTCTTGTTAAACAGCATACAAAGTACGGTACACAGCGGTGGACAACTGTAGCACATAATTTGCTAGCCTCGCCACTGCCAAAGAAGAATACAATCAATCATCATAAAATATACGAGATGATTTTATTTATGTATATGCTTTACTTTCAACTGCTTATTATTGCCTCTATGTTAAAAGTAATGTATGTACTTGTTGGTGTGCACGCTATCAACATACTCACTGCCTAATGCACACCTCGTATTGCTGTGTCACAATTTTGAGTAAATAAAAATACAATCAATAACAAATAACAAAACAGCAAATATGTGTTCCAAAATACAAGGTTAGGTCACACTGACTTAATTTTATGGACGACATCCGCGCGCGCATTGATTTTCCCTAAAAAAACATTACGTCCTCCGAGGCTCTGACCTGCCTCTATGCCTGGTTAGTTCATGGTTGCTAGCGTCAATACGGGGCCGGTGGTAACTTTGGAGGACGGTACCCAGGCTGCCTAAGCTCCACGACTCAAGAGTACATGCGTACAGTGCCGATTCGTAAAATCCGCAAAAAGCCAGCATGTATCGGCTTGACGTATACGTCACTATGTACTGCCGGTTTAGTAGCAGTTTTATTTTTGGCCGGAATTATTCTTATTCGCCCGCGCGCACTAGTTTGGGGGTCTTCAGAGGATGTCATCCATAAAATTAAGTCGGTGAGGCTTTAACATGTAAAAATGGATCATTGTGTGAAGACTATTGGTATTAAAAACTTGTTTTTCTTTTTTTTTCAGTGCGCCTTAGCGTAGCCAAGCACATCGGACCACAAGGAGCTCAGAATATCTTAAACTTCTCTAAGATGCTGAAGCGATTGAAATCAGATTTTCTAACACAAATGTCATCGCTTTGATATATTCAAAGTTTCTTCTGGCGTCCCACTTTTGAGCAACTGTATTTTGCTAGTTCAGATATAGGAAAGTCGGTACATTGGGTTGCAGTGCATGTGGCGTGGCAGCTTCAGTGAACAGTAAATAAATATTTGAAATTTTTCTAAATACGTAAAGAGTTATTAAAGAATATTGTAACTTAAAGACTATATTTGTATGTATTCCTGTCCTGGTGTTCCCATGGTATTGGCATGTTTAATCCTGCAATCTGATTGGTTAATATTGGAAAATATGAACAAAATCAAAAGTCTTATTAAAATAAACGAATGAATGTTTTTTTTTACCACTGACAGTACTATGGCAGACATCACATATCAAAGCTGAATCTGTGCAGAGATTACAAAAATAACGTACATACTATGACAAAATATCAAATATAAACTATTAGTAAACATGTACAGTTAAGCAATAATGGTCGTTACCAATTGAGTAAGATTTTCTTCAATGCATGTGGAACTATACAACATGTCAACATACAAGATATCATTCTATCATTATGAAGGACCTTTTATTTTATCATTATCATAAAATTAAGTACTATGCACGTGCACTTATATTAATTTAGTTCATTACTCGTGCTGGTGTCAGGTCAGGGCGCACCTCTTAAATTATGTTATTTTTGTAACTTATGTAATACTATGAAAATGTACAAGCTGTTCTTCAAGTGTATTTTTGTTATAAATAAAACTTAGTACTAAGTTGGTTCCTTTGTCTTCGTATTGTGTCTGTATAGGTAGGATTTGGCTAAATATAGTCAGAATGTAGCCTGACTAAATCTGCGCTCCTAGCGGCCGGCCCGGAATTACACCAGCCGCCCCCCAGAGGGGGTGTAACTCCGGGCCGGCCGCTAGGAGCGCAGATTTAGTCAGGCTAGTCAGAATGCTCCCAGACTGTAGCCAACCTTCAAGTTTGTTGGTTGGTGATCGGGAAAGGTTCTGAATGCGTTACAGGGGCTATACTAAGTCAGAGCAAGGACATTATACACACACAGTAATTATGTATAAGGTGCGTAACGTTGGCTTTTATTTGCTGTAGTTTACATTAGACAGCAGTGCGTTATTGCATTACATACAGCTTGTGAAATAACACGGTGCATACATCGGCGAAGTGGCCATATATATAGTACACATGTCTACTGACGTTCCTATACATTTCGCTAGATGTCGTTGCATACACTTCAGCCAATTACGCCGATTAATGTTCGACATTCATACAATGACAAGAAAACATTTATTCAATCGGCGGGATAGATAGATAAGGGTAAGGACGGATATTGTTTTAAGATCAGAGGTTTGTATAACATTAAAAATGTGAATTTTTCTGTATATTAATAGTTGTGTCTGGGAAACGTTCGTCGCCCCCAGCTAATTCAAAATTCCTACACTAATACTACTGCAATTCGTCATCATAGTCATCATCTGAACTATCAGACACATCTGCCCAATGCACTCCTGAAGGCGGTAGATCTTTCGTGAGAAAAGCCTGCACTTTCTGTTTAATAGCCTCTTGCACATTCCACCATTTTCTACTCCTTAACAATTTTGTGCTGATCTCCTCTCGCACCGGCCAAGTTCTCTTGACAGCCGACTGCTGTGACATCTGCACGGTTTTCAGAACTTGGAATGACCGACAGCGTCTTGTATTCTGTTGCATGTTCTTCGTAAGACAGCGAGACATCGTCAGGGCGTGGTGTCCAGTTCTAACTGACGGCATGGTGTTACTTCTTTGCCGTTGTCTGGGACTGTTCTCGCCGTCCAACCTCCTACTCAGTAGTGGAACACAAGTTCTGGCCCTCTGACGAGAGACTTCCGTGCTTTCTAGATCTCTGCTATGTGTAGCGTCATCGAGGCTTGTCTGAGCACGGCCCAGTCCGCTATTTTTCAAGCCTCTGCATCTCTGCCTCTCAAATAATGCACCTGAGTTCTGTTTCTCCGCCATCCATCCGCCCAAAGCATGATGGGAATGTCCGCCATTATTTTTGTGTGACTTCATATCGTTGGCAATTATACTAGATGTGCTGTGGTGTTGTGATAGATCTTCTGTGAAATTACAACTAGATTTACGCCATGCAGTATTCAGTCTCTTGGTCTGTTGTGACTCACTGGAATTTTTACCTTCGTGGGAAGGTACACTTTCATCATCAACATGGCGCGAAGGTCCACTCGGGACGCCCCTAGACAAGCTGAGTGGAGGAGGCATTTGCCTCAATAGCTGTCGAACTTTGTTCGTTTCATAGGTCAAGGCGTTGAAGCGGATTTGCTGCTCTCGTCTCAGATGATCCAGTCTGGTCTTGAGCAGTCTTTCTTCTATGTGGTTCTTGATGCCCGCCCGAGAGTCGAAGTCAAACGACTCGTCCCTCTGCATGCCACGTGACCCTGGTTTCCTTGGCAACATGGTTACGCCTAATGCCAACAAGACACAAAGATACACGTTAGTTCGCTTCGGAATGCAATGCAACCAAAACAATCATACAGACTATATCGATATGAGTTTTTAGGACATGTGGCACCGTATCCGGAGCTGAAGCCGCCTCAGTACTACTGGAATTCCAGTGCTGAATACCACTTTAGCTCTGGTCTTCCAGTGCTGAGAAAGGAGGGCGTTACTTTAATTGTATATCTGCCGGTATCAGTAGTCTGAGTTTCTTGCTTGAATACATATACCGCTACACAAGAAAACTTTAACTGAAGCAACTGGATAGAAACTACCAATTAACATGTTAAGCATCGATAATCCATACAGTGTGAAAATAGAGAAATGCATTAAGGAATTTTGCTGCTGACATGTATTCTGGGCACGTAGTTTGCCGCACACATATAATAGTACATATATTTGTTTTGTTCGATCTTAGATGTAGTAGACCATACGAAAGTCCCTGTACTTTTGTCGAGTCAAATAAAGACTTCATACAACCGCTGCCTTGCAAACACAAGTTTATCATACTCAGGGAACTTCATATTATATTTAACACATATAAATGATAACTACCATTTGTTCAGAAGTGTCAATAGTAATAACAGCCCCACCCTGATTACTCTTGCAACAGACAATTCAATCGTTTTCCAATCGAGAAAATGGACTTTTGTAATCGCTTAACCACCTGTCTGAGGTGATAATTACACATTGATTGATATGCAATTCACCGATTATACACATAGAATCATTTTACATTCAGTAAAAGGTTTTCCTTAGAAATGAGTAATTAGAATCCAGGTCAATGATAAGACAAGCCTTAAAGGTCATATAATTATTATACAATTATAGTTCATGTATGTCATCTAAAATCATCAGTAGGATTCATGAAAATTAGTTTACATCATGTTGTAATCAGACATCATTATGCTTGCCTAGCAAAGCGACTTCACTGTGAAAGCACCACTAGAGTTGGCTAATGGCTAGTTTTCTCAACTGACATTTTTTTGTGTACGTTGATCAGCTAGTACGTTTAGAATTCTGTATTTCAAGATTTACCTATACATTGTTTAATCTCCCTGGTTTTACAGAATATTAAACAATGCGTTGTTTTCTCACAGTTGAAAAGCTAGGGAACACTTTTCTCTGATAATTGCTCATGTTTTAAGCAAGGTGATTATTTACTAGTCGTGGACGTGTGGCTAGCTAGATTTGCAAACTTACCCTCAAATTTTGTTGAATTACCTTAAAAGGCCGACTAGAGAGATGTACATCCACTGCAGTTTATCCATACCAACATCGTACCCTGCAAATGTCCGCTTACATGCATATCAGGTTTACAAGAAACACATTCTGACGTATGGAACAATGAATGCGATATATTTTTCCACTATCCTGGGACAGTTTGCTTTGACGTTACATTATCTTAGCAACACAGATAAGTCCATATTTCTACATGTAATGGCTTTAGACAAACCTTCGATTATAAATTATATCTACATCGTTACTAAGAATCGAGAAGAAGCCAAATTATCGTAATTATTACACTATATGTCCATAGTACATAGAATTAGCGCTAGCTTGTACATTGTATATATTCATTGCAAACTGTGACGTCTGTCCTGTACTGAACCCAGTGGGTATTTGCGTACAATAAAGATCTTCATTCATTCATTATCAATAGGTTCAAACACCACATGTTTGTTCTATTTTTTATCTGTTGTCATTTCTGATGCAAACCATTCGCGAACCATTAAAGATTTCCGTCATTTTGACCGTGATGCACAAGCGCCTAGCATAAATTGACCGTCGAGTCATGGAAGTCATTGTTTGCTGACGCTGACTTAAACCATAATATGTTAAGCTCTGTAACAGACACTGTGGTCGATGGAATACGGCCAAATAGATCTACTTGCTGCATGCTAATACTGAATCTATCGTCATAAGCCAAATCATTTGTTGGATGTAGCCCTAAAATTCGCCGCATATAAATGATGGAATAAAGAAGACGGGTGGGGGAAGGGGGGAAAGAATGCCCGTTTTGTTGGGTCACAGAATGACTTTCTGATTCTTTTTTCTTTAGGTGAATAGTAGTTTCTTTAGGTGAATAGTAGCTTCTTTAGGTGAATAGTAGTTCACCTTTACACACTCTTTCCCCTTTTCTACATCGTAATTACATATAATATCTGATTCTAAGATATATACAGAATAACGTTTGAAACATACCTTAGACAGCGATAACCTACAGCAGTTACGACGAGGACATACCCGGCTCTTCACATCTTGTGGACTGATTCTATCACTGCTGGTAAGGAAAGAAAGAAAAGAGCTTAATTCTCTGATCACCTGGTAAATTCGATTATCCACCCACAAACAGGTCATGCAGCTTTGACTGATAAGGCCACAGTAATTAATATTTATGGATGACATCAATGCGCGCATTATTTTTCGCCTAATTTCGGGGAAAAAAAGAAATTTTGTTGCCCTCTGACAGTGGTCAACATGCCGAAAATGGGGAAAATGGCATGCCTTGCCATGCCGAAACGTGGATGAAGAGAGAAGACAAAACGACGCTCTGATTTATTGTTTTGACTTTTACTTTAATGCAGTGATGTATTTCATTTCTTTTATATGTCCCCACTGTATCAAAAGCATGTGTACAATGATTATTGGAAAAATTTTATTTTTAAAAGTTGTATCAGTGACAAATGGATGTTGTAATAGTTGGTAGTAAACTTAGTACGATATAGGTAGCATTCTTGTTTAACAAAGATTATTATATATCAAAATTTGAAAATGTAGGAACCTTGTTTTTTTTGGCCCGCCTTGTTTTGTTTTTGCCCTATCGCATTAGATTTGGAGTCTGCCGAGGATGTCATCCATAAAATTTACTTGCTGTAGCCTAAATGACTAACAGGTCCAGTACAGGATGACAATCTGATAAGCGGGGATGAGTATAGATTGTTTGATAAACCAGCAGAATGACTGGATAGCTGGTTTGCAAAACAGTAATGAAAGGAAGACATGTCGGCATCCCTCTGGAACAAATATTGTAATTTAAACAGAGGACGGATTCCATTTTATAGTAGAATGTGTATAGCAAAGACAGAAATAAACTATATACTATGTACTAGTATTAGGTTTATACAAAACCTATTTCCCTATGTCATACCCTTATCTAAAAACGGTAGAAAAACTCCTTGTGCAACTAGACAAGGCTTCTGTAAAAAACATGATCTGTTATATCTAATGTAACTGAAAAGCGACGAGAAGTTAAATTCATCTAAAGATAAGTTAGTTTTATTTTGTATCTGTTAACTATTGTGACCTGTACTTAGCCCAGTGTTGCAAAAATATGCAAGGAAGGTCTTCCATATATACAATTTAATATAAAATATACATTCATAACTGACAGATCTTCTCCTGACTCGCCTGTACACTTTTGTTAAGATCTAAATGGATTTGTGGAATGCCTGTTTGTACTGTCAATGAAAATGATATATCCAAGTTTATCCCTCTGGCATTCCGAAGGAACGGGAGTTCATAAAACGTGAATGTGGGTAGGATTATGTTTCCGGACAACTATTCTTCAGACATTGTAATGTCCAGACAATGTCTCCGTGCAAAGCCCACCACAGCGGGTTTACCAGCCATGCTGATTCTAATAGCCTTTGATCGGAATCCTGTATCACCATGGAGACGAAGTCTCGCGGGACCACGCACATCTCGTGAGAGTCACCTCCGGGATACGAAATGCCGTGACTTCACTGACTCGATGTCTCAGACATTTGGGCGCTTCCTATCAACGTTAAAGATTTGCTCGTAACTTAATACAGCGCGACGAGAGAAAATGGGAAGGAAAGAAAAGACTGAAGATCCCTTGTCATCCATTTTGACAAAGGGCATAAATATCCTACATGGCGAACAAATGAGTCGGTGAATCTTATTCTGGGCAAAGTGTGGGTCGATTGGTTGCAATTGTGCCAGAAGGTGTTAAATACCCACAATGGTCATCTTAAGGGCGATACAAATTGATTCGAAGAAAACCACCCTCGACAAAGATATACAGAGCGAGCGAGCGAGCGAGAGAGAGAGAGAGAGAGAGAGAGAGAGAGAGAGAGAGAGAGAGAAGAACACACCTAACTTACCAAGTACGCTAGGTTGCTACAGTAGTGGCAAGATATTAGACATTGTGGAACAAGGGATATTTTAAGCCTACCAAAAACTTATCAAAATTGCGAGTTATTACAGTTTAGATGATTCACCGTGTCTTTAAAATGAACCACACACAGTTGAATGGCATTAGCTGTCGAATGCCATATATAGGTTGCTATAATTCAGTTCTACAAACTTAAAAGCATAGCATTCTTGTGTGACTTTGCGTGTACAGATACAATGGAGCATTATGTGATTCTGTGGGCAATAAGGTGTGTATTTCCCACCTTGTATCAACATAGCTTTCAGCAATCTGTTTATGATACCCAGGGGTACACACTACGGGTACTAGCTAGGCTACTCACCCTGGTTCCTATTTCACACATTGAAACGCCACTACTTCACTAGACATCTAGTACTGAACATCTACAAACCAACGTGGACTCGAATGTTAAATCTGAAATTAGCTTCGTCATACACAGAACGTATAGATTATGTAGTCAACAATGTCCTCGATATACTGCTGACTTTGAAATGTAGAATAATAGAAGGTTCAAGACAATCATACAACATGTACATATATTATATATATTACACTTATATAAGCATAGTAATAATAATACATTAAGTATAGAGACTCTAAACCTTTTTCATGTAGATTTGTCCCGAAATTCTTTGATTATCGTATATCATGCATTGTTTACCTGTATAAGTGTATAATGAATGCTCGTGGGAGGGGGGCACAAAGTTTTTTTTCTTCTAAAGTTATTTCAGTGTTTATTGTTGGATCCAAAAAAAAGGTTGATGTAATCTTTTGTAGGCTGGATTTTGAAATTAGCGGTCTTATCATTTTTACCTGGCTTGTTTCTTCTTGCCTTGTGCAAAAGAAGCAAAGTCGTTACCAAGCAACGAGACTTACTCGGGCCATACCAACAAAACAAGTCTGAAATCTGACTGGATTACATGTACATGACTAATCAGATAACTCAAGCCACTTACCGGTGGAACATCCATAGCTGTGCCGCTCTGTCAGGCAATTGTAAAACACGACAAGACGGTGGCTACTGTATGTAACCAACGCCGATGATTCTGTTTGTAGTGTTGTCGTTTATCGGTCGGATGTGCACGGGGTTTGGTACCTAGGCGATACCGCCTAAGGCAGGGACATACTGTACACAGAAAGACCTGTTCAAAACAGAACAAACGCCGCCAGCAAAAATGCACACAAGCATGCCGATCGTTATATACTGTTGTTATGACGAACCAGCGCTACACTGGTCGAGTTTCCTGTGTTGTATCTATACGATTTGACTCGTCTGGATTAACCTAATCCCCCACCTGTCCCGTGAATAACGTAATCTGTCATCTTTTGTCATAATAATCTCCAGTGGGATAAATAGTCACACTGCTTTTCCGCCCATATGGGATAGATGAGACATGCCTTTGAAGCAACTGTGATATATGCTTTGTCTACCACCTATGTCACTTGTGCTGATTGGGGATCAATGTTCGATTATATATGAGAATATTTTCCGCGCACGCACGCACACTCACATACACACACACACACACACACGAGAGAGAGAGAGAGAGAGAGAGAGAGAGAGAGAGAGAAAGAGAGAGAAACACATAAACATCACAGAGAGAGAGACTGAAAGAAACACATAAACATCACACACACACACACTTTGCCACAGAGCACTGTCACTAAAGTGATGCCATCTTGCGGATTTCGTCAGAGGTACACAAACATTTTAGAGCTAAAATCAACACAAGACTAAAGGACACCAAGACTGATCTTTCTTCCCGACCGGACAGTGCAGCAGCGCCACTTGGTGAAAACAGGTGGAACTCCAGCCATGGCACGGCGGTCCTCCAACAGATAACATATAATATCTGTATCTGTATAGCCAGTATAACCGCCTTTTGGCGTAACACACCAGCTTCACAGGCACGCGGCGCGGCGGCAGCTGGCTACATTACACCAATCGACTTGTTACACCTAACCCTTGAACATCTAAATCTAGGCATTGTTTAAAGCTATCTAATGACAATACCCCTACTGTACTAGAATATACAAATAAATACGTCTTTCTCCCAGAGTCGCCGGGGCAAGAATAAGAAGCTTCCAACGTTGTACATCTTGTTTATTCCCAAAGTGATTGTGTAGAGACAATCCCTTACAAAAACGGTGTCATAATATCATCACCAAGCCCACAAAGATATCAATTGCAAATGACAACAACATTTTTAAAGCCACGTGCCCTCGGGGTGTTGCAAGTTACCTAACTACAACAATAGACGGAGTGCATTTGTTCGAGTTCATTGACTTGATATTATCTACACCTAGTTCCTGCCAACTAAATTCGTTTCCTCGTTGCGAGTCGCACTGTTTAACCGGGTTGCGACAGTTTGTGTTGAGTTGTATTTACCATTAACGACTTCAACGTTATAGGAAATACATGTAGAATTCACCATTACGAAAGGACGCAGAACTGATTTATTGTGAGCCCCTATGCCAAGATAGTCATCAGGTGCAGGACGACGTCACAAGCCTATTAGTACCAGTGTACGTATGCCGGGTACATTTCTTGGGCCAAGTCATGTTAAACATTTGTCAAACGACAAAAAGGTTTTCTAAAAGATACCAGGCGTCTGCTTGAGTTACAATCGAGAAAGACCTCAACACCACCAACAAACTAAAGGCACTTTATACGGCTTTCCTCACTTAGCTCAGGTGTAAATGAGTATTGTCCTGTCATGTATTTGTCCCCTGTGTTGGTGGCGGCATTAATATAAGTTGAAAAAACTTGAGTGTGTCGTCACCACGTCTGGTGATTACATGTTGGAATTAAAAAAAAGTCTTTTTTTAGATGACACGCAATAAAATAGGCTAAAATCGGTGATTCAATCTCATCTTTGCAGGGATTCTAACAGTAATGTAGACATGAATGATGAACCACAATACAGATCTGAAGTGATGTAGCCTTAATTGGCTTCCGAGAAATTTTCTGTCGCGGGAACGTCCCGACTTAATTTGTCCTTGAAAGAGTCTGTCCACACAGTACATTTCTTGGGCCAACTCATAGTATATATTTGTCTAACATTACCAAGGATAATGCAACAACTACAAAGGTCCAATGTAGATTACCCGGACGTCTGCCAAAGTTACAGTTGAGAAAGATGACAGACTTCAAATATAATAGGCACGTGCACAAGAGTTGGTGACAAACAACCACAAGTCTGTTTTCAAAGGACGCACAATAAAACATACTAAATCTATTGATTCAAGAACACCCAGATTTTTCTTTACAGAGATTCTAACAGAAACGTAGATATGAACCACAGTACAGAAGTAATGTAGCCTTAATTGGCTTCCGAGAAATTTTCTGTCGCGGGAAAGTCCCGACTTAATTTGTCCTTGAAAGAGTGTGCTGTCCACAGTACATAACAGAACTTTGTCCTGTACTTAGTTCATACTCACCTCTGCTCTGTTACCAACCGTACGTCTTGTCTGTCAATAGTCAGAGTACCTGCAGCAGATCTAAAATGAGTTCTGAGAAGGTGCGCATGCCGTACGGCTCGCCGGTGTCTGAGAGAGTCTCCCGCCGTGAGCGCGCGGCCGGCCAGCTCGGGTCGGTCCTGGGTGTGGTGGGGGCGACTGCGGTGTTCGCCTCCGCTGTGGTGCTGGCAGTGGTCTTTCACAACATGCACCAACAGATCAACAACATGGCCGACAAGGTCCAAAATTTTAACAGCATGGTGGAGAAGATTACCAACTTGGAGCATGAGATAGCGAACAGCAACGCACGACATGAAAAGGAGATGAGCAACATGGAGCATGAGATAGCGAATAGCAACGCACGACATGAGAAGGAGATCAGCAACATGATGATAGAAGTGGGGAATCTAAAAGCAAGAGCTGAAAGAGATCAACAGGAGACCGTAGCCCTGAGGGAGAGGGTGGCCGTGCTGGAATCACAGAATCGTGCCATGAATTTCCAACCAGACCTCCAAGAGCAACAAACTAATGTAAGTTAATATTTTGAACTCATGTAAGAATACAACCTTTTCTCCTAAACTAACTATTGAAGCTATTTAAAAAAAATAAATTGAACCCACTGAAGAAGTCGTAGCACAATGTCACATCAGGAGTAAGATTGAGGTACTACGCAATACATGTAGGGACGTTTTATCTTAATTTCTTTGGTAGTTTTATAAGAAAAATCCAAAAACCCAAGTAAACCAATTTTAACATTGCCAAATGATGTGTTCTGTCTGACCCAACCAGACCGGTTCTGTGCTGAACCCCCAGGCTGATGACGTCACTGTTGTTGACAGCGAGCTGCCGAGTAAGAACGACAGTGTGGGGGGACTTCTGCGCAGACGCAAGAGAGCCGTGTCCACTCCAAATTGGGTTCGAGTTCCCATTGGACCTTCGGGTTAGTCTTACTTCTTTTATACCTGCATTCATTAACATAACATTAGAGCGATACAAAAAATTACAAATTAGTTTGCTGGTCATTTCTTACAAAGTAAGTTAAATCAACCCTACTCCATTGCAAATAATGCTGTTAAGGAATTAGAGGTGCCAAGATATGATGGCTTATGAGTGTTTTTAAAAGCTGAAAATACAGCTGTCAGCTATATTTGTTCACATTCTTGTTGTTTGTGGTGGTGCCTCGTGTGGGTAGGTTTTGACGCCAACCATTAAAGTCAGAAATGTTAGAAAATTGCGCAAATATGTTGGAAAGTAGAAGTAGATTACAATCAAACGAAGATTTTGTCAATAAAAATATTTCAATTTTTGTTTCAAAAATGTCACATAATGCCTCTTTCAGGAACTTAACTGACACAACAAAAGTATAACAACTTTCATAAGGTATATAACATACAAATTCTTCGTCGGCCACCAGCATAGACCCGATTGATAAGTATGTTTGCGAGTCAGGATCGATCACTGTCAGTTTGGTAGCTTTAATTGTTTTGGTACAAACACCACATCAATTTCACAGTATTAGTATTACTACAATTACCAATGTATGTGACAAGAAGGGACGGGGAAAATCTGTTCTCACTGTTTCAGTCTATCGTGTTTCCCTCCCATCCAGGCTGTCAGTCCGGACGAGACGGACGCGATGGAATACCTGGTGCCGCTGGCATTCCCGTATGTATGCTACAGCATGGCTTGCAAGTGAAATTTATTTTATTTATTGCTCATCATTTTACAAATGTACAACAGCAGGGGGAGCAGAAGCGCATCCCCCTGAATTAGGTACAATATGTCACATTATTTAAAAAAACAACGTTCACATTGAAAATAATACATCTAATCAAACATATATACAAAAGACACATATAAAATTATTTACAACAGATATGCACAAAGTTGCTTGGTCAGGCTATACAAGTTCCAATGTAGGTTCAAGGTAGGTTATTGTAGAGTCTAATGGTGTGGTGCAGGAACGACTGTTGCAGCCGTTTGGTTCTTGCATGAGGAACAGTGGCTTGGCAGTATTTGTTCCTCTCCAACAACACAAAAGTAGATTATCTTTTACTTAATAGTATGTGGTAAATAGGGTAAATAATATTTTACATTGTTTTCTTAGTAAGACTATGACACATTTTACTGTGCCGACGTTTCGACAACCTCTTTGTCGTCTTCATCATGGAAAACTTTGAGGATGATCAGATTTTAAAGATCTTGCAGGGCAAACTGCGATGATTTTCATCGAGGCGAAATGACAAATAGGTGGTTACCAACTTAAACTATTGACAGTTGAGAAGGAAATAAATAAATAAATCTGTTTTTGCAGAGCATGTGTCTTTCACACATTCATTCGACATCTTAACAGGGTGCTGCTGGGCCACCAGGACCTAAGGGGGAGCCTGGTATAGGTAATAACACGGCACCTGTGTTTCTCACTATTTTCATATATAAGGAAGTTTGCTATGATTGACCGATGATCTTCCAACTTAATGCTATCCATGGTATGTTTTGCTTCGTAACTACCTCAAAAAAATACAAAGATTGCTTAAGAAGCCGTTGGTCCAGATCTTCTTTGTTTTGTCTGCTGCCAGTACCAGTGTCGTCAGTTTTTCTTCCCTTTTCAAACTCCTGTTCCTTAGTCTTCAATCAAATTAAAATATTAACATCAAAGGGATATCAAAATATTAATATATTAAAATATTAACACCCAAGACATCTATATGAAGGTCCATTTTTTCTCAAAGGCCAGAAGGGAGACATGGGATCCGTCGGTGCACAAGGTCCTGAGGGCCAGAAAGGAGCCAAGGGTTACATCGGTGTGCGAGGCCTACAGGGTCCGAAAGGAGACAAGGGAGACATCGGTGTACGAGGCCTACAGGGTCCGAAAGGAGGCAAGGGTGACATCGGTGTGCGAGGCCTGCAGGGTCCGAAAGGAGGCAAGGGTGACATCGGTGTACGAGGCCTACAGGGTCCGAAAGGAGGCAAGGGTGACATCGGTGTACGAGGCCTACAGGGTCCGAAAGGAGGCAAGGGAGACATCGGTGTGCGAGGCCTGCAGGGACCGAAAGGAGACAGGGGTTCCACCGGTCTGCAGGGTTCTAAAGGCCAAAAAGGAGACAGAGGCTCCACCGGTCTGCAGGGCTCTAAAGGCCAAAAAGGAGACAGAGGCTCCACCGGTCTGCAGGGCTCTAAAGGCGTGAAAGGAACCACAGGATCCACAGGTCCTAAAGGACCAGGTACAAACGATAGCCAGAAATCCATCCCCACGAGCTATTTACATGGTTCTAGTAGTCACTGCCTACGTACCAGCAAGTAGTTTGTAGGGATGGATTCCAGACTATAAAAACTATACGAAAAGGTTCATGTTGTCTGGTGTTATGTTGTCTATGTTATCACAAGATGCTGATTAATTATGCAAAGGTTCTTCCATCTTTCAACATGGGAATAAAGAAGCTTATAGCTTCGACGTAGGTCGACGTCAGATGGAAGATTACAAGCGCTACAGCTATTGTCTGTCAGAGATTCCAGACGTCGATCTGATACGATTCATAAAACCAATGTAACATCTACCCTGTTATCAGTTATTTGTTACAGGTTGTCATGGTTTTGTTTTTCTACAGGAGGCGCTGTTTATGTTCGCTGGGGTAGGACGACTTGTCCCTCAGGAGCAACAAAAGTCTACAATGGTAAGATACGCTCTATACAGTGTATAGTATGGTAGTAAGTGCTCGGTTATCTAATGGTACTTGCATTTCGTCAATCTTGAATCACATCCCTTGTCCTGTGGAGTCCAACAATTGTTGTTTTACACAAAAGTACAATTTATACAGCACTCTGTATAGGTACGATTTGGGGGTACTTCTCTTGCAACGCATCGCACCGCAGCGAAACGCAATGAATATGGAAGTGACTACGCCACCACAGGGCTAAAAAAGTCGGGGATCTCCTAATTACCTCCGGGGGAGGAGACATCCTTCCGCGGAAGGGTTTTGTGAGAGATTTAGATTTTCATGTTCGCAGCTGTTTCTCGCGTTTGGGTGGATGGATTCTTTTGAGACTCGGTTTATGTTTTACTATTAGGCTGAAGATGATGCACGTACTTTTGTTTTTATTGTATATGTGTTTTCGGGCGTGGAAATAGTGCCTTTTGGTGGCCCCAAAACACCCCTTTGAGCGTGAAAGTGGTCGCGACCGTTGACCTTTGGCGTGTTTAAGATATTCTCGGTCTGGTCCACGTATATGACCCCTCACTCAGAGGGGTGTCCGGTCTCGACAAATTCTTTGTTTAAAACCCTATATTTAAAAAAAATACAATAAAAAGCCCGGAGGCATGAAATCTCAGATTTTACTTGTTAAGATATGAAATTATTGAAAAAATATTGTGTAAAAAGGACAAGGGTTAAGAAATGCATTGTTTATTATCAGATGGATTAAGATAACAACTTCTTTAGTCACGGCCACGATACAACTGGAGTACTAAGGTAATGTAAGAGATGTCCGGTATGAACGTTTGTCGTAATTAGGCCCTTTTACACCAGGGTATGCAGGAGGCACACATTACAGCCACCACGGCGGCGGAACCAACTACCAGTGTCTGCCGACCGACCCACAGTGGGGACGGTACCAAGATGGAGTCCAACAGAACCACGGGAGGGCTTTCATGTACGGCGCTGAGTACGAGTTGAACACAAACGCCCCGTTCGGCTCCACCTCCCTTCACGATGACGACGTCCCGTGTGCGGTCTGCTACGTCCCAACCCGCGGCAGTAAGTTAATGATCCCCGCCCGTAACACCTGTTATAGCGGCTGGACCCGCGAGTACCATGGCTACCTCATGGCTGGTGACTACACTCACGTCGGGTCTAAAGAGTACGTCTGTGTGGATGAGCAGCCTGAGGCCGTACCGGGCGGACACGTTAACCATAACGGAGCGCTGTTCTACCCCGTGGAAGCCCGCTGTGGGTCCCTGCCGTGTCCCCGCTACGTGGAAGGGAGGGAACTCACCTGTGTCGTCTGCACTAAATGAACATAAAACCCGCTTTAATTCAAGCCTGTCCCAAGAATCCCAAAGAAAGTCACAGGCACCTAAAATACACGACATTTAAGAAAAAAACTGGAACTCATTTGTTAGGGGTGGGCAACATTTCAGCAGTCCATGGAGACATTTCTAGGCCAGAAATTGATGAATAAACCCTGGTGATGTTTTATTGAGATGCGAAGATAGAAATCGAATTCTTCCCCAAGGAATGATAAGACTTGCACAATAGTTTTTACTATAAATGTAATGATAAAACTACTAAGACTACTAAAGCTTTACAATGGCAAGCTATTAAACAAGAAGAAACATTATAAATTAGTTTTTTAAGTGCCACTTTATGTCAAAGTAAAAAGATCTACTTCAAAAACAGTATGATAGATAAATAAAATATCATTAATATGTGCACACTTAGCTAGGTTATCACATGTTTCACAGCTTTGTCCTTCTTAAGTTTGCTTCATATCTTTGAGTTATATAGAGTAATGATGTTATTATAGTCTATTTTGTTTCTAAAGTGGTTCACTAAACTTACAATTCTGCAATTCAACATATACTATAACATGGCTGTTCCTCAAGTACATATACCGATATTGCCATTTCTTAGTTTAATATAAAAAAATTTTGTTGTGTATATACAGAGTTTAATTTAAGAAATGAGTTACTGTCATTTTTTATTTTATTTTACAGCATTCTCCACACAGAAGCCTCTGCAGCTTACAGCATGCAATATCATGGTTTTTCATCGATTATCGTAAAAGTAGTAAACTTGAATTGTAATGGTACCGGGCACATAATTAAAGAAACAATGAGCTTATACTTTTAAACGAGTCTCCTGTTTTTGCGTCTGATCTCTAATCTATATGTCAATTTTTTTTACCAGAAAACATCCGACGGAAGAAATATTTTGCGCAACCAAAATCCATAAATTTAATCGACTGTGGCCGCAAAATTGTAGTTCTAGTCGGCCTAAAAAACGATGTCTTGTTGCCATCTTTTTGTGCGCTGTCAAAACATTGAGTGCACATTTACTAGCTAATTAACTTGATGACATAATTGAAATTTGTGTGCTTGGTTTGTTTCCTCAACGAGAGTCAACTTATCAAAAGTTATTTATGATATCACAACAATGCACTTCTATGGCAAGTCATCTTATATGTTTGTATAATATTGTCAATTAGAGTCCCAGGATCTCATACCTTCGGCGAATGATGTTAACTCTTTAAAGTACAATGTAATACAGTGTCAGACTGACTCAGAGAAAGCGAAATCGGGGAACTGATTGCCCACGGCCCACTATCACATTTTTGTACCGGATCTAGGTCACCATGCCATGATACCTGCTGAATGTAGAATCTATTAAAAACTACTTATTATTATTTGGTTGGGATCTGAATTCTGTGATGTATCATCATAGTATTTGGTGGAATCTAAATTCAGTAGTTATCATTGCATGGTGACCTTTATATACTTAGTATACATAACAATATTAATACTTTAAAGCCAATCGACGTGTCTGGTCAGCAAGTTAAAACTTTAAAATATGTCTCCCATTTTTGTATGTCTGTATGTTTTTTTATAGGTATGTGTAACTTTCCCCCGCCCATTGAGCTGAAAATAGAATCCGAAATTCTAGTCGGCCTGAAAGAACGCTGCATTGTTCGTAACTGCATTAGGTTTCTGTGTAGCCTACACAGAACAACGTAACAAATCCTAGAAATCAGATCGGTGCCCTTACAGGTGCGCCCTCAAACACAGAGGTTAGCTTCGTGACGTTATGCAAATCCAAAACCTTCCTTTTACTTACTCAAACACACCCTTGTGAATCCTGCAAGCATATTCTTAGTACAGTTGGTAGAACTGTTAGATATTTTTAGCTTTACCAACTATGTATGTACGTTATCATCACCAACTGTGTATGTGTATTTTGCCATACGATGTACCCGCTACGCGCAGTTGAGTTCTTCTTCTTCTATTCACAAAGGCGAACTAAATCAGAGCGTTCCCCTCAGCACTGACACGAAAATAAAAAGTCGTCTGATACTTGTTGAACAGGTGTACGGTCGCCGCCATTACACTGATCCCCTTCCCGCCGGGTGCGTTGCCTGGGCAACGAAGCCTAAACACGTGACGTCAGCTCAAAGGTCAACCTAACAGGTCTAAGGTCACAGACACCCTACCTACATACATGTACATGGTCACGGAACTAGCGCTAGACGTTCGACAACTCGACGTTTGATGTTTCCCTGAGATTGGGTGGTAACTCGTGCAGGTGAGACTATATGTTTACCTGGAATTAGGTCACCTGTGAAAGCATACATACATAATTCAGGTGTCTTATCCCACCATTGGAGTGTGGTAACGGCTAGCCCACATATGCATGTGATACACCTGTGATCTGTAAAGCCTCAAAAATGACACTGATCCTACTTGATACCCTAGTCTTAGTCAGTTTAATAACGGACAGTTTCCGGCTTAATACTATTCACAGACGTTTAGTGCTATTCATGTAAGCTTAGATTGCTAGGCAAGGTGGTACAAAATTTGTGTTGTCTTTCGTTTCGACCTCTGAACAAAGAGGAAGTAAAACCATTCAAAATGATTAGTTTCAGTAATTCTGTGAAAACAGAATGTTGTTGTTCTGTGAAAAAGAAACAAGCAGTCACATACACGTAGAAAGTCTTCAGTATACTGTACTGACCGAATGGGGGTTGGTGTGTATTGTAAAAGTGTTGTGTTGTGATTGTCTACAGCTAACGAGCATTAATATAATCAACAAGCCCCTGTCACACATTCAGAACCTTCCCCCGATCACCAACCAACCAAGGTTGGATGAAGTTCGGCAGCAGTATGATCAGATTTAGGCCAAGCCTACCTTTCTATACCAATCGAGTTAAATTTGACTTAAATATGGGTCAAATTTGACAATCGAACACTGCTGACCTACTACCGAACACTAGCTAACCACTAGACAACCATGGCCTAACCCAAAAGTCCACACACGAATGTTTGAAAAATCTAACCAACGTGGACTTTGCTGTAGACATAATTCGGCGACATGCAACAATATATACACAGAGCATTTTCTTACAATATAGCTTCAACAGCCACTTGGTCAACTGAAAGTCTATATAACAAACGTATTTTGGCACGAGCCAAATATTTGTATACACCATTTTCGATCGAACAAATTCCTGTTTATTACGTTTTGTACGATTTACAGTATGGTCGAAAACGATTTTTTGGGGGAAACGGACTAAAATTCATACGCGCGGATGCCATCCATTTAATGAAATTATCATGGCCTAAGTGAATTAGAAAAATAAAAGAGTACCAAGTTCTACTGCGGTCTTATATACAAAACTTCCCTTGTACGAAACGTTACACGAGGAAACCATGTCGTAGTTTCACAATAGAACAGTTACGGTTAATTAGTCTTTCATACTATTAGTTGTCTGTTTACAGTGTTGTAATCGCATTGCTAGGGAACTGTTACAGCAACGGAAAATTCAACACACACTGTTACATACTGATGGATCCAGAGTGCAGTTTGAAAAAAAAAAAACATTGGCCGTCCGTAAAATGCTGTTTTGGTTACTGAGAAAATTGAATTGAAACAGCTGCAGGGACCGTCACAAGAACAGAAATTACTCAGTGATTCATTTGTTTAAACGTTCGCATTTTATCATTAATCTTTGTACGTATCGTACATTATATGTTAATACTCCGTCCATATTCCTGGAGCCATGGTTTTTAGAATACAGACTATAGTAGTATTGTATTGATTGCTTTGTCATTGTTGTTATACGTTGTACTGTGTACAGCTGTCAAGAAACAACGTTCATTCATTAATTCATTCATTCACACTCATATACAGGCAGAAACACTAGATGATATTTGAAACACGAGGCGGTGTCGTATGGCGTATACGTCAGAGCGTTCAGCTCGGAACCGAGTGGTCCCGAGTTCGAATCCTGCCATGCCACCGGCCTTGTACCCTTGGGAAAGGCACTTCACTTTGCTCACTGAACTCAAGTGAATGTCTATTGTCCGTGCGTTTCTCTGCGTTGAAAAAAATGAGCTTGCCGTCGCCATGTTTTGCGATAAATGTTGGAATAGAATAACACGATGCACTCTCTTTGTCTATGATAGGTGGAAATCGCAACATAGATAAACTTTCTGTGGGATGAACCCGTAAAAGAACGACCATGGGGATCGGTGCGTCTGTGAGGGGACCTGCAAACCAGGCTGGTGGCGGCAGGAGGCCGTCTGTGTGGAGTAACATCCGCACCAAACTCACCCTGCACACCGTCAGTAGAACCATCCCGGAACGGTAGGTTTTATATACGTTTAGACTTCATTTTTTTCTCCTACACATTTGTCAACATGAAGTCATTCGCATCCCAGGTGATGTAGAATCGGACCTCCGTGCGGTTATGGGGAAAATAATCCATTGCAAATTTGTAAGTTCTTTGGGCCTGTAAAAGCAAAACATATGTTTAAAACAATCTGTTTATTCCTTTGTTTTTACTTTCATTTTTGAAGGGAAGTTAGATTAAACCGACCACTTAATTTGTACGATAATTGATAAACGGGTTAAATTCTTTTAATCTTCGTATGAACATTACATGAATACATGTTCGCCCCTTGGGTCCTTTAAACGTCTTTAAAGAACCCAAATTGTGCACAATTTCTCAGCTATGCCGCTGGACTACTATTCTAGTAAAACAAGGAATAAATGAATTATTAGTGAATGAATAAAATACATTTCCTATACATTTATGGTCTTACAATGTAATGAATGAAAGACCTTTCTTCTACGCTTATGCTTACAAGCTAAGTACAGGTCATGCACGAAACAGAAGCAGAATTACAGTGATATCTTAGTACACATACAGACTATGCAGTTGTAGATGTATGAACACATGGAGCTTATAATCCATGGCGTTTCTAGTTCCATAAGGAATACGAATTTTCCTATTCCATCTAAATACCGAAAACTAGGATACTTATTTTGTATAAGATTATAGACGATATTGAAAGTTTATTGCAAATTCTTGCCCAAGGGCTAATTGCAATAACATGATAACAACAATTAACAGTAAAATGATAATAAGTAATGCTAATGCTACTTTAGATATACATTTGTAATTTGATATTAATCCATTGAGATACCATTAAACCCAGGTACGCCCAGGGTGTTTGGCAGCAGCCTCGGAGAGAGCGGGAACCTTGGAAGACTCTACTGGCCAACGCCGCAAACAACCTACAGGAGCAGCTGAAAGGGAAACAGGCCAACAACAAGACGTTCTTACAAGAGTTCCAGGCCTTGTTGGAGGGTAAAATTCCTGCTGAACCACCGCCCAACAGTACGAAAGAGGTAATATCTAGTAGTTTGACTAATACAATATATACTGCACGAAAACGTAGATTTACAGATACCAGTCGAGTTGGGTAATGTTTACTTTGTTTCTTCTACAATAGCAGTAAATAAAAGCCAAGTACGGTGATACTGGACTTAACAAGGGTTGTAAAGGAAATTACTGCAATTGTAAAGCCAGATACTGTGTACATAGTAAACATTACATGAATTTACAACCTTTGGTAAATCCAACTTTTCGTGCGCATGCAGTGGTACATAAAGTTTGATCTCGTCAACGGTCGTTGCTATTTTGTGACGGTCGATGTCGTTTTACTGAATGATCGATGCCATATTTAAGCGAATCATAATTTCTTTAGGGGAAATACATTTCAAAACATACAAAAAACAACATTTCAATTGCAAATGTATACCAGCATCGTGTAAAATGGAAACACATTCGTAAAAAAAGACAGACATCAAGCTCGGATTGGAGCCGGGGGTCACAAAGCCCTATCCCAAAACCCTAATCATTTACGCCACGAAACATCACGGTGTTGAGGGTTGAGGAAGCGTTCTCATGCACTTGGAGTTTACCTTTTTTGCGATATGGCATTGACCGTTTCAATGACAATGGCCATATACGAGACGGAAATCAGCATTGGGACCAGATTTCGCCTTTGTTCAATTTATAAAACTCTACAGCGACAGCAGTAATGCCGTACCGGTAAGGTGTGGTGTAATAACGGCAGAGTGCTCGACTCGGAACCAAGGGTTCCCGGGTCCGAGTCGAGTCGAGCCCGGGTCGAATCCTGATATGCCACCGATCTTGTGCCCTTGGGAAAGGTACGGATTTCCTCACTTAACTCAAGTGAAAATGAGTATTGTCCCGTCCTGTATTTGTCCTCTGCGTTGGTGGCGGCATAAAATAAGTTGATATAACTTAAGTGTAACGTCACCATGTCTAGTCATGAAACGTTGGAATAAAAAAAAGATATGCCGTACGATTTTACCCACCTCCCAGGTATGGGTGTTCATCAGTTCCACGTTCACGGACACCAAGGTCGAGAGAAACCTGCTGATGGAGGACGCCTACCCCTTCCTGAGGGAGTACTGCCGCCGGATTGGCTGTAACTTTAACGAGGTTGACCTGAGATGGGGGGTGCGGGACGAGGCCACGGACGAGCACCAGACGGTGAAGATCTGTCTGAAGGAGATCCTGAGATGCAGGTTAGAAAATATATAATATAGCTTGTGCGGACGGTCGTCATGCTTCCCTCCACCATTTTAACCCAAATACAAAGTGTAAAACAGATCAATATCGTTTAGGAATCTGGTGCTGAGTTATGAAGAAGGACGGCTATGTATACCTGTTATACAGATACGATTTTTTTTTCATTAAAGCGAAAAAAAAAAGAACTATATACATATATATATATACAAAACATAAAAAAAATTAATAAAGATATAATACTACATAAAATGAAAAAAAAATTGATATACACATTCTAAGCAAACAATACCGTACACGGCATCCTGACAAATTGTGGTCTAACCCCGTCATTTCAGGTAGGGCTAAAAAAATTGTGCGTATTATATCAGCTGACCATATTTTCCACCCACAATGATAGTCTTATCATGTAGCAGATCTAGAGAAGACCATTCAAGTATTTCTTTAGAAATCATGCAAATTAGGTCATGATTTAAATAAGCTATGTATGATGATGTTCACCTTCACGTAACTTTGAATTCCAAGTATGAAATTCTAGGCAGTTACCACTATGGCGTGATCTCGTTAATCATGCATTAGGTTTTCATTTACATAAGTAATATCTGCCAATGTTTAAAAAGATGAATCAAAAATTTGAAAAGTACTGTCATGAAAGTTCATCTGCGTTGGTAGTTACATGTTTAAAGTTAAAACTTTTGGTCCAACAAAAAAATTCTCTCTCCTGGATCTTTCGACCAGTCACTCTGGTCTTCCTCAGTAGACTGACCCAGTGAAGCTTGTCACGTGGCTTCTTTGAAGTGTGACGTCAACACTGGGTCAAAGGTATCTGGTAGGCGATGGTAAAAGGGGGTCGATATCTAAAAGTAATACAACAAATTAAAGGTTTGTCTTTGCTACAGGGAAACGTCCATTGGTCCGTTCTTTGTGGGCATCCTGAGCCACAAGTACGGCTGGCGGCCATTCCCGCCGGAAATCCCGCAGCTGACGTTTGAAAAACTGATGGAGCAGATCCAACACACCAACGAGTTCGCCGCACATCTGCTGAAGAAATGGTTCCAACTGGATAGAAACGCACTCGGTAAGGAGGTTATTTATCATGTCAAACACACAAACATTGAACAGAGACGGGGGGCGACACAGGTTATCTGACACGTACGACCCTCTGCTGCAATCACGTGTTTCCGACGTCACGTCCCGGAAGCTGCAGTAGAAGGGTCCATTCCGTGAACAAGGCTGACGGAGTCGCCCGAAAATTTGTCCCAATTTATACTCAGTGTTGACAAGAACGTTTAACCCTTATGTCATAATGAAGTATACCAACACAGACGAACTTTCATGCTAAAGCCTAAAACACATTTTGTTGTATTTGACATTTTAGATAGAACACCAAGTTTCTTTATTCACAACCATGTTTTTAACAAGAAACAACGTTTCGATGACCGTCTGCCATCTTCATCAGGGCATGCAATTATGACTGATTCACTGTGCACTGAATCTAGGTGTCACTGTGCATTTCGGACTTCAAATAATTATGTGCCTGAAATCTTTTTACGTAACCAATATGTGATTCTTTAACCAAACGATAGATATATGGCGACTCGCCATCCGTGTAGATTCATCGTGTAAAAGCTTTTAGATCGGAACAGTTACGAATGCGAAACTTTCAAAGTTGCCTGCGTTTTACAGACCCAGTCTACATCCTACAACCAATCTCCACGCATTACCCTGGGTACGTGATCCTGGGTAGTAAGTCTGATGACGGAAGGTCCTGGTCACAAGAATACGGTGCCATGCAGATTGCCATGCGCGGTGCGGCGAGGTTAGCCGGTCTGGAGGAAGACGACATCGACAAGTATCACAATTCAGTAACTGAAGGTGAGAGATGATATGTTGTCGCGATCGTGTGGCGTTCGGCTCGGAACCAAGAGGTCCCGGGTTCGAATCCTGTCATGCCACCGATCTTGTGCCCTTGGGGAAAAAGACACTTTACACGAATTTCCTCACTTTACTCAGGTGCAAATGAGTATGTCTGTTGTCCGTTCATGCGTTTGCCTGCGTTGGTGGCGGCATGAAAATAAATTGAGGAAACTTGAGTATGCCGTCGCCATGTCTTGTAATAAATATTGGAGTAGAAAAAAAAGATGATATGACCGAAGTGCTAACCTAAAGCTCTGTCATGCTTTCAAAATCTTCTCGCTTTCTGCAAGCGCACAACTTCTTGAATCATTTACTAGTACTCTACTAATAATGTGTGCTTTTCTGTTCTAGGTGAAATTCTAAAAGCTCTCGATCTTGGAGAATCGGATGGTCGTCTACAGGAAAGATGTTTCTTCTTCAGTAGGACAATTGATGGATTCAACGCGTCTGATCAGAATGCAAGGTACATGCATTTTGAAGTTAAATAGGATTTTTTTTCATTTATAAAAAAAAGATAACGTAAACCCATGCTTTGGAAAATAAGCTGCATCAAAAGACGTTTGTGTGATTTTATTTTAGTTATTACATCATGTTACAATTTTTATACGTCCCCAGGTACTACACAGACGTGTGTTCTGAGGGAAACGTCGACAACGAATCGCAGCAGAAACTGACCACGCTCAGAGAACGTGTGAAGGAAAGGATGGGAGACCGAGCCATGTTAAGGTACTGATGTAGCACTAAGATACATGTACATACGATTAGCGCTGGATATGATCGTCCAACACAATGTAATGTGTTGGACGATCTAAGAGCTATAAACGTTCCAATAGTCTAGCTACACATTATGTGAATCAAATTGACCATTATATTTGAAGTTTGGCATGCAGTAAACCTGGTTCTAAATATCCCTACACCTGGTTACTAAAATAGTTTGGATTAAATCTTTGACCGTTTAATCTTGCAAATTTTTAAATGTTCCAAGCCAGGTATAGCTATCCAGGTCATGCTTAACGGTAGAAATAAATGGGTCACACGGGCTGATACGTAACCATCCAAAATCAAGCTATTCACTCTAATGCTTAGTAGCTTAGTACACACAACACGCAAGAACGCCACTAAATACCCGTATTTTACATGCATTCTTGCCAATCCAGTTACCACATGACATGGGAGCCTGAGTCAGGACTGACCGCGCTCAATAATGTTCGGAACGTGCAGGAGTTTTGTGACGAGTTCTGCACGCAGCTGATCTCATCCATTGTGAAAGGTGCGTGGGCTACAGATACAAACACAAACATCGTACGGGCTACACATAACATCAATCGTAAGGGCAACGCATAACGCCAACATCGTTTATACGGGCTGCACATATTGAACATTAACATCGTAAGGGCTACACATAACACTAACATCGTAAGGGCTACACATAACACCAACATCGTATGGGCTACACATAACACCAACATCGTAAGGGCTACACATAACACCAACATCGTAAGGGCTACACATAACACTAACATCGTAAGGTATACACAAAACAGCGACATTACAAGGGTTACACATAACACCAACATCATAAAGTCTACACATAACACCAACATCATCAGGGCTACACATAACACACCGTAAATTAACAACGTACTGCCCCTACGGCCTGAAAAAGGCTGTGAGGCTGTACTTTTACCTCAGTTTTTTTTTTAAGAAATGGTACCATTCAAACTCTTTGGTTAAATGCTTCATAACATCTTCAGGGACATACTAACATTGTCAATAGCATCCTAACTTTCCTGAGACAACGTTGAATTTTTACAGGGGTTGTCAACGGACACTCCGCGGATCACCCGCTATATGACGAGCTTGTGCATCACGCAGAGATGTGCCGACAGAGACTTCAGACGTTTGTGGGCAGGGAGGACTATTTTAACAAGGTGTGTGTCCTTTTTGTACGTTCAGTCCCTGTCACACGTTATCACCCCACCCCCCACCCCCATCACCATCACCAACGCTATATATATATAAATTTTGTTGGCTGAAGTTCGGGATCAGATTTATCCCTTTCTGTAGGAATCAAATCAAATTTGAGTTAAATTTAAGTCTATTTTAATTCGCAACCATGCCTCGACCTAATCCCAACCACCAATCAACCAGTTCCCAACCATGGCCCAACCAACATTCGGCTGACGCAGCCAAACACTAAAACAACGTGCATTAACATTTCAGATACTGGCGTATTTGTCTGAGGCGAGCCCTAGAACGGTGAGTTGTGTACAATTTCTTTAAACACTAGTCTAAGCATCCTTTCCATAGATTCCACTGCGCAATTTGGTTATAAAACTCTAAACAGGAACATGCATAGGTGTTGTAGAAGGTTGCAAAGATGGTACCCTTGGTGTTTTGCTGTTGTGCAGTAATTTTGATATTACTGTTGTACCTTAATGCTTCCAGCCGATGATAGTTCACGGTATGGGTGGATCTGGGAAGACTTCTCTCCTGTCAAAGGCCTTCAGTTTGTCACTGGAGAAGAACGATGGAATTGGTGTTGGACGGTCAGTGTACTTACATATCTTTCAGGATTCGACACACGTTATAATAGATTATGTTCAACGTTGGGAACATATCCTGTTGATGTCATTTTGTATGGTCGGGCTATGTCGTTTCAGATGGTTGTTTATACCCTTACTTGTTTTTTTTTACTGGGTTTTGTGTTGAGTATCACGTTGGGTGGTTAGGTATTGAATACATGCTATATGTTTTCTATAACTGTGTTCCAATTCATGCTTAAATGATGTTCTGTTTCATTGAATGTGTAGTTACCATGTCGTATGGAAGATATACGTACAAGGATCCTAACCCTTAAAACTCTCAATATTGTTTTACAGACCAATTCATGTCATCCGGTTCACGGGAACTTCTCCAGAATCGTCCAACGCCAAGAAACTTTTGCAAAGTATTTGTAGCCAGGTATGTTCAAGCATGGTTTAGGTAACGTTATAGTATAGACATCCGACAAATGAACTTGGATGGATGAAATAAACTTTCATTTCCAAGCTCACTATCAATGTTGGTCCAGTCCTTGTTGATAATATTACACAGCAGTTTTTTTAAAGATTCAGTTGAGCTGTAAAAGTTCTGATTGTGACGTGAATATTACGCTCAGTGTTATTGTTGTCATTTTTATGTGTTACAATGATTTGCTTATTTTCTTTCGTTTCATGTTATCTACTTATGTGTGTGTGTTATCAGGATCTGCGATTGTGAATAAGTAATTAATCTTCTTTTAGAGGAAACCCTCGATAAAGCTTGGACTTTCTGATTTCCCTTGCTGTATATTCTCGTTGCTATTTACAACAAATGTTTTCATGTCCAAATAATAATAATAATAATACGTGTTTTTGCCTTACAGCTGAGCCTGTGTTACAACTGTCGTAAGCCTTTACCACCAGACTACCGGGGTCTTTCTGCCAGGTTCTTAGAACTTCTCTACAGGGCGACCGAAGAGAAACCTTTAGGTACTGATGTAAAATTTTATGTACATTCTATTCTTTTTAGTTGTGCTAATTGGACACCCGGGCACGGCTGACCATTTCGTACGGCACGATCTAAATGTGCATTACGAACGAACGTTGCTCTGCTCTATCGACGTCTGTAGTTGGAACGTAATGTTTATCGCCGTTTACCACATTCAAATACTTCTCACATTAGACCAATGTGAAATTCATCAGCAAATCTGGCTGATTAGGTCTAAAGAAAAAAGATCGATGTAGTAAACCAAAAACAGCAACTGGATATGATTTTTTTGAACCTTGAATTTTTTAAATCTTTCATGATTTTTTAAACAGCCAGACCTTTCGTTATTGACACTGTGAACTTCTCATAAAGTCAGGTTTATAACTTAAGCACGAACTATTGATTGATATGCAAATAGGTGAAGACGAATTTTTGATAGTACTTTGTAATATAACAGTATAGATCTGCCTGTTAACAGCCAAAATCCTGCTCCCTTGTCCAGTATTGTTCATAGATTCTCTGGACCAGTTGGAGGGAGGAGACGAGGGGGACGACTTGACATGGCTGCCGACAGCACTGCCCCCTAACGTCCACCTGGTGCTCAGCACCCTAACTCGGGGAGAGACCCTCGGTATCCTCAAGAGCATGGGCTACGGAGATGACAGCTTTCTACAGGTAGGATTGTCCACAAGATAATCAAACGTCTGCAACAGTCCTCAGTGAAGTAAATATTCTTTCAGATGAGCTGAACTTCAGTTGTTACTTTACAAATTATTTATGTATTGTTTCTTATGTTACAGGTCTTACCACTGGATTCTACTCAGTCAAAGCACATGGTAACTTCGCGGCTGGCTCGACTTGGAAGGTTAGTTGTTTTTTTTTTGTCATTCCACATACAGGACTCAAATAAATACCATCTAAAATATGTAAAGATACCAGCATCAGCCGTCTAGACATACATAGAGCAGAAGCAATTACAAGTATCTTTCATCATCATAAATATTGCAGTAGAATACTCTGTGACCTGCTATTGCAGAACCCTAGCGCCTGACCAGCTGGATAAGTTACTGACGTCCCATCAGAAGGGCCAGCTAACGCCGCTGTACGTCCGCATCGCTAGTGACATGGCGGCCAAGTGGAAGTCCTACACCCCGTTAGAACGGTGTGACCTGGCCTCATCGACCACCACACTCATCAAGCAGTTTTTCAGGCAGTGAGTTGAACAGGAGCATCTCTCACTCTACATGTTTTCGTATCATACACATTCATCATAATACATCATTTGGATGGTACATGCATATAGCTTCTTCCAGGCTTCAGAAGCGGTTGGAAAGATCAGAAAGCTTCGGAAGTGGCAAACTGTATACCTAGTCGACCAACTCTCGGGCAACATTATCTGTCTATTTGGTCAATTTCTCCTTTTTCCAGCAGCTTCTGAAGCCTAGAGGCTTTGGTGCAGACACTACCATACAGGAGGTGCTTATAAGAAGGTTTGTTGTAACACCAGAACATGAGTTACTTTGACAGTTGACTATAAAGAACCCATTCGTTGCAATGTCTTTGAAGATGTTATTACTGATGCTACAATTTAAAGGTAATGTAACAATTCCCAGCCCGGGGCCTCACCCGGGGCAGCTTCCGGGAACGAAAAATTATGATATAAGCCAAACGGCTCAAAATGTGACCTTAGCATAAGATGTTATTTGGTGACGAACCAGAAAAAGCTAAAAGAATGAAACAGGATGACTGAGACTTGTGTGTGTTTCCAGGCTTGAAAAGACGCACGGAGAAAAACTGGTCAGCCACACGCTGTCCTACATCACGGCGTCAAAATCGGGGCTGTCCACCAATGAGCTTCTGGATGTCCTGTCATGTGACGAGTCCGTTCTTGATGACGTGTTCCAGTACCACATGCCGCCGGTCAGGAGACTGCCCACGTTACTCTGGACGCGTTTGAGGAACGATCTAGGTAAGAACTCATAAGATATGACGTGTCACCTGATACCTGTATCAACAATCTCCGTCACAAAACTTGCTATTCCCTTTCATATAAATTGTTGTTATACTTATTATTTTTATTATATACAATATCCAATAAATACATGTACATGACCGGCAACAGGTCATGTACATGACCGAATGATTGACACTAATCTTTATAATATGATAAATTATAATAAATAATTATCATTCAAATTAAAGAGAAGCCGATACTACTGCTGCAGACATTCATTGAAATATTTGCAAAGGAAATATAATAACACATACCAAACTCATAACAATAGATTGTTATACACCAATAGACACTCAGTTATTTCCATGGAATTTGGTATAAGCCTTGGTATTATATTATCTCTCTCTCTCAGTCCAGGGTTATAGTAAGTTGGTATAAACTAGTCATAAGTTTCGCATAGCTGATTTGAAATATTTTCCAGATGACTATCTCGTAGAGAACGGAGTAGAAGGAGCTGTGGTGTACAGATGGTATCACAGACTGTTTGCTGAGGTGGCACGAGAGATGTACCTGTCCCACATGGCGGACCACATCCACAGAGACCTGGCGGACTACTTCATGGGCAGGTAAGATTCATTTAGAGACATCCATACATTTTTAGGGCGACAATTAAAGCAGAAAATTGTGGATGAGGAAATCTGTCTGATATTGACATTTACTGCTATTTCTCAGCACATTTTTCGTCCTCCTTCATACTCGAAGCATTTGCAATAGCGAGACAAGCTACGCGAAGAGTCCTGATCCTTCTATGTCTGTTACCAACAATAAAAAGCAAGAATGGCCAGCCTTGCATGTGATACAAGCAACTGTTTTCCATCAGCAGCATCGTATCTTTCCCCACAAATATAAATATGCTATGGGACAGGGTTGATTCAACTTCATCATCATTTTGATTCAACTTACTATTATCATATATATATTAAAATGACCAGAAAATTGACTTTGAACAGCCAGATCTACCGCCCTGAAATCGCACACAACAACTTCATAAAAAATCTTACTATATATTTACAGATGGGCGCATGAGCCCAAACCGTTTCTGTCCAAGGACGATAGACTACTGCACCTTAAGGGTCGCGGAGTGTATCCTCAAGACCTGGTTCTGTCAGATGGGAAGGCGGATGGAAGTGAGACAATATATAACCAGCGGAAGCTGACTGAACTACCGCATCATATCATCAAAGCGAAGATGTGGACAACAGCAGAAACGGTATAAACTAAAGCTATATATCAACATCGATACCTCAGGGGAAAATAGACATGGAATCGATTCTTGGTCATCACTGTTACATCCGTGCAATTGGAATGATGCCTTCATATGTTACAGAAATGCATTATTGGTTACTGACTAATTAAACAAAAATTGTTTTTGAAAGTTGGCGGGGCCAAAATGGGAATAGCTTGTAAGTGTGATGACGATGTGTTACTCAAATAATTGGTCACCTTGGTGATCTGAATTGGACCATTTGTAATAAGACTGGACTTAGATGAACAATTGTAATGTATCATGAGCTCGTTCTATCAGAGAAGAGATATTTTGTAATAGTTTATCAGCGGCTATGAACGATATTCAATGTGATACTAAGTAACCTGGGTGCCCTGTGATCCCGGTATATACAATGAGTTATGATGATGATACCTTACAGGTAATGTGCAGCATCCCTTGGATGGAGGCTAAGTGCAGGACAGGCCGTGTGTACGAGCTGACGTCAGAGTTGTCGCAGGTGAGAATCTGCTGCCATTGCCGGCTCTAAAGCTGTCCAAATACCAATAGTGGCGTGTACAGCACAAGCAGTTTCTTTAGCTTCAGGAACATCTTATTTGTCAGAGTCCACAGTCCAACATTCTTCAGAACACTGCATATAATTCTCTATCACTATGAAAATCGGTCCAATGTTTGTATATGGTGAACGGGGGGCTGATCTGACACACAGACGTCACCAGGTCCCTCCCGACCTCTGCTCCAACCGCCACACCACAGCCTGCTGTCTCATGATGGGTCACTGGTGTGTCAATTGTTCTGTAGTCCATGTTGCGTTTGATATCGATACAACATGTATTCTGCACAATGAAAAATATCGAATCTCTTTGTGTCATCTGACAACAGGCCGCCAAAGAATGCCCGGGGGTTTCTGACTGCCATCGCTTCATCTTGGCAAACGCGCGGATCTTGCACGAGAACCCGGATGTCCTTTGTCAACAGGCTCTGAATGAGCACAAGTCGTCCAGTGTTGTATCTTCTGCAAGGAATCACTTGAAGGGAACAAAAGGTAAAAAAAAAACTGTTGATTAAATTTGCTGATACATCTAACCCTTTCTTGCAATAAATCTAAAATGCACAGTTTTCAGTAAGCTCTTTTGAAGAGATTTAAACTCCACAGAGAAGAAAAGCTGCAGGTTAGACCACCACATTCCCGATGTTCAGAGGTAATCCTTGATTATATATTAGCTGTAAGTACTTTTGTGTACACCGCAATACTCTGAATACGTCATAGACATTGAACTGCTATCCATCTCAACCGAATCCTTCGAGCTCGGTTTTCAGACAATGGGTCGAAAATTTATGAGTCAAAGTCTTTTTGAGTCGGAGAACTGTTTAATTTTCACTATGCAATTTACCAACTCAAACGAACTTTGCTAACCTGAGTTCATATTTTTACATGATGTGATACTCAGCTGTACATTGGATAGACCGGACCAAGGACCAGTCCCCGCGGCCGGAGCTGCTGGTCCTGAAACATCCTGGCGCCGCCAGGCTCTGTTTGTTCTCTCCGGATAACGCCTACCTGACCGTGGCTTCTGACGGAGGGTCACTGAATGTCTGGAAGGTAAGAGTCCGAAAAGGGATTTATGAATTGATGAAGAAGTGCTTTTTGAAAACTGACCAGAGGCCAAGATGGGAATAGCTGTTTTGGTGGCGTTGAAGATGATGAGTGACTCAAATAATTGGTCACCGTCGTGAATCGGACTAATTCTAACGTTAGGGCGGAAACGTTGCAATAGGGTCAGGTGAAAACAGCTCTAGGTGCTAGACAGGCCTGGAGCACAGAACGGGCATGTCAGTGAGCCTAAGCCCTGATGCAAGTACAACTTCTTGCCAGACAACTGTCGAACACATAACCACGCAACCATCGAACATGATGCTCAACGCAAACACAATCAGTCAATCTAGATGAAAATGTATGACAAGTAAACTATAATTCAGTACAATATACAGTAAGACTAGAACTGTTCAAAATGACAACAAACATAGAATACGTAAGGGAAAACAAAGACGAAATTATCTCTATCTGTGTCATTGTAATTCAAGGCTATTGAAATTAGATTATGATGTTTCCAACGTCTGTCTGACATTTCCATAGGTCGCCACTGGAGCCCCTGTGTTCAGTGTGAAGGCCACGCCCCTCGCCATGGCTTTCCACCGGCAGAACCTCTGGCTGGCTGTGTGTGAGGCGAAGAACATCAAAATATTTGGTCTCGGGATCGGAGGAAATGCAGAAGGTTCGAATCAATGAAATATTGGGAAAATATTTGGTGATGAAGATGAATGAGAAAGGGGTATCTAACTCGTCGTGCAACTGTACGGTCTCAACATTAACGTTGTAGGTTTGCTTTGTAGACTTTCAAAGACTATTATTCCCTTTATCCCTATCTATGCCTGACTGTAAAGTTCATTCGTACGTAGTGATCAACTAATAATAATGTTGCCAACGCTTGGTGTTCCCTTCTGACAGGCACAGTATTACAAAATATAAAGCTTGGGCTACAGTGTGACTACTGCACCGTCCTGTACGTTCCTCAGACGAACAGAGAGGTAAGCTAATTGCCTTTGCCAGAAGGGTACGTTTTTAGTTTCTTTATACATGCAATTACATAATAGGTAGTCTTATTAGAGCTAATGCCAAGAACACATGATTATCGATAAATATAGGTGCCTTTGGTTGAGAAGCAAGAACTCTTTTATATTTTGACTACTAATAACTTTACGTCACTTGGTATGAGTAGTACGTTCCTTTTCTTGCAATATTGATTCATCACTTCATGAATATGCATGTGTTAAAAAACGTTTCTCTTTTTTTCATGAGCTGAGACTGGTGACCTTCGGACAGTTCCTTATCTTCAACGTGCAAACAGGGGAACAGTCCCAGAAAAAGAATCTTCGTGTAAGACTAACTCTGTTTTTATTTTTTTTCTTTCCTTATACATGAGCATTTCGTTATTTCTTTTTATACTTATATATATGATAATTGACCCATTGTTTTATTTTGAATTGAGCTCTGAAAATATTTGTAATCGAAATCCGCAATTCAGCCTGCGGGCTGCGATGGATTTGTATTTCAATAAATAAACCATTCATCATCATCATCATCTCTACAAAGTTTAAAATTGTTTACTTGAAATATCAATTTTATGAAATAAGTCATATAGATATTTGTAAATCATTCACTGATGTTCAATGATCAAGGAATCTTTGTATACTAGCCTTAGGAAGAGCTATCTTATGTCCAACATAATTCAACAAATTTAATACGAAGTTATTTCGTTCTTCCCAGTGTCGACCAAAAGCTGTTGCATTCTCTCCTACTGCCACAAGTCTAGCCGTTGTGGGCAACGAGGTCCTCCTCTGGGACTATAACATGGATAAAGTAAGTACAGGAACACTGCTAGTATTCAATCACTTTTGAAAAAGAAACTTAATGGAATGCAAGTCTCAAAGTAGAGGTTCATAAAGTAACATCATCACAATGGCTGATTGGAAACCTTATCTTTTTCTTTTTTTATTGTTTTATGCCGATTGATATATGTGGACCAAGTGTGTATAGTGGACCTTTAAATTTATCAGCCTCCTTTGCAGGTTGAGTAATTCATAGAGAAATTGACCTGAAAAGGAATGTAAACTGGCCAGGGGAGTTAGCCAGCCATAGAGGGTCCAATTGGCCTGCAAAGGAGTTTGGTGGAGACTAGGAGATCAGCGTGACTGAAGCACATGCACTTGAACACAGAACATTAATTTGATTCCCATTGGAATTTTCTTCGACCATCTGTAGGATCTAAAGGTCCTTCACACAGACAAGAAGCTCGGTGACGCCAAGCAGGCTTACATAGCTTTCTCTCGGGACGGCAGAAGAGTTCTTGCAGTTCTCGCTATCGGGACCTACCTGTGGAATGTTCCGGGGACATCTTGTACGTTGAGTTGTGTTTAGACTTACTTAGGTGCTGATGATGATGGGGACAAAGTAGATGAAGCGACGTTTTCATCCAAACAACAGAGAAAACAAATATGACAGTCGTATATGTGTATAAATATTGTAAGAGTTTACTCTAGAGAGCATACACGTGATGTTTAAAATGTGTGATATTCTATAATTTTGGTTGTGTTTGAATTTTCATTTCTGTCTGGCATATTGCATGCAAGGTAATGATTCTTTGTAACTAATATCTGCGATGAAGCAAAAGTACAGATACAATGAAAATCAACTCGCTAGGAAATCCGTCAAACACACTGCGAACACACAAATATGACCGAAAACAGTACCCTTCCGCGGAAGGATATATCCTTCCCGGAGGTGAATATATCGAAACCAAGTCTTTTACCTCCTAAATGCTCCAGCTAAGCCGATCAGAAAACTGCTGACCAACAGCCTGTCGGGGTGGGCAGCCTTCAGCCCCCATCTGGACTTCCTGGCCACGCCTGAGCGGAACGATCTTCGGGTAAGAATGAAAGTACACATAAAAAAGACAAAGACATTTACCTTAGACACCTAAAAAAAAGCTCAGGCAACTGTTAGCCATGTGCCAGTTATTATATACCTTGGAAGGTGGTGCTTTTCAGTACCAAGGACAGAGACAGATGTGCCAGGTTATCATATACCTTGGAAAGTGGTGTTTTTCAGTACCATGGACAGGAACAGATGTGTGTCAGTTCATTACTTTGGATGACGGTGCATTCAGCACCATGGACAGGGACAGATGTGTTTTATTTCATTTACTTTGGATGGTGGTGCTTTTCAATACCATGTACAGGGACAGATGTGTTTTAGTTCATTACCTTGGATGGTGGTGCTTTTCAGTACCATGGACAGGAACAGATGTGTTTTTTTTTTTTTTTATTCAACAAAATAACTGTACATAATACAAAAGTAAACTGAAAAGCCAAGACGGCTTGTACAAATAGAAAATAACATAAAGAACGGAAAAGCCTCCCATAAAGCCATTACTTTCGAGCTTGACGAAATGAAAATAATCTTAACAATGACATAATAACAATAACAGAAATTATAATGAACACAGAGTTCCCCACTTACCCCGATGCTTCTCCAGCTTTCCCCTCCGAGATGCAATAAGACCTTCTGTCTTTTGAAAGACAGATGTTAATATTTTAAAAGACTGGAAGTTTAAAGTATTGAAACGTCGGGATCGGAAAATGAAAATCTTACCTAATAATATAATGATATTATTTAAAGGGGATGCATTTGTAGAAATATCCCAAACATAACAACAAAAGAATTTAATTCTAAATTTGCACGAATTTCTTGTTTTAACCAATTTTGTACGTTATTCCAAAAAGCTATCACATGAGGACATTCCCAGAAGATATGTATGTAAGATTCTTCATCACTATGGCAGAAGGAACAGGTACTGGATTCGATTAAATTCCAAGTTTGTAATACTTTGTTACATGGTAAAAATTTATAAAGTAAACGGTACTGAAAATATCGGGCGTTAGGATCTATAGTACATTTAGTTAATGTTATAAATACTTCTCGCCATGGTATGGGCCTATCAAAATAATAAAACCATGATAACCTTACTTTATGGGCAATTATAACATCATTTGTATAAGCCGGAAAGAAATTATACAAAAACTTATTAATTTTAGTATTTTTTAACCACATATAATTTTTTTGTAATGGTAAACATACAAGCTCTTTTAACTGATTACTAGTAAGTAAAGTTTTCCATCTTTTAGGTATTGCATATATAAGTTGTTGATATCGAAATTGTTCACAACTATTTGGATACAGTTCACAAAATTCAGCATACGACATAAGGTTTCCATCTGTACCTAACAAGTCATTTACAAACATTATATTTCTATTAAACAAAGCAGTTATAAAAATAGGCTTACTATCAACAGTAATACTGGAGTTATTCCAAACTATTTGTTGTCGTACGTTTGTTGGTGTCGCGGACTCCACGTACTGAAATTTGTACCATGCATCAAGTGCTTCAAAGAGAAAACTCTTAAGATTCAGGGCATGCGCAGAAGATAGCTGCATGAAGGGAAATAGACTCAGACTGAGACGAGGATGAGAAGCGATGGCCATTGAAGTAAACCACTCAGGGTGAAAGAATATCTTGGGTATCCACGAAGCTTTAATAGTTAAATTATAGGCACGTAAATTAATTAACTTTAAACCACCATTTTCCACCGAATTGTACAATACTTTTCTAGCTACTCTTTCCGGCCCGTCATCCCAAATGAATGAGAAGATCTTCTTCTCGTATATTTTGAAAAATAATTCATTTGGCGAAGGTAAAACTTGAAATAAATTTGTGAACTGGGGAACCACCAGGGAATTAACAACAGTAATTTTTCCGTACAAGGATAATGATTTGCCTTTCCAAGGGCGCAATAACCTATCTAAACGTTCTAAACGGGGTTCAATATTTACATCAACAAGTGTATCCATGTCAGTAGGAATATGAATTCCTAATACGTCTACACCACCATCTACCAATTGAAATGGTAGGTGGGTGGGCAAACAAAAATTGGAAAACTTTAAAGGTCCTAAGCGTAAAATTTTACATTTTTCAGGATTTAAATCTAATCCCGATATCTTGGAAAAGCGTTCTAGATCAGATAAAAGTGCATAAAATGAAGCCAAATTTGGTTCGAAGGGGAAATTCGAATCGTCAGCATATTGGGAGACTTTAGTAATTTTTTCATGAACTTTTAACCCACTAATGGAATGATTGGATCTAATTTTGATGGCAAGGACTTCAACTGCTATTATAAAAAGGTATGGGGAAAGAGGACAACCTTGGCGTACACCGCGATTTAACTTGAATGGATTTGAAATATATCCATTATTAATAATTGAACTTGTTGATTTCTCATATAGAACTTTTATCCACGTTTTTAGTTGTGGACCAAAGTTGAAAAATCCAAACACTTAAACATAAAATCCCATCTTAAAGTGTCGAATGCTTTTTTAAAATCTGCAATAAATATTAATCCCGGTTTTCCGTCATTGTCATAATGTTCAATTGTATCTAAAAGTCTTCTAATATTGTCCCCGATGTATCTGCCCTTAATAAATCCAGTTTGATCTTGTTCAATTATACATGAAATAACCTGTTTAATTCTAAGCGCAATACATTTTGATAAAATTCTGGAATCACAACAGAGGAGAGTAAGAGGGCGCCAATTTGTAATATCAGTTGGGTCCTTGTCAACACCTTTACTGTCTTTTTTTAAAAGCAATGAAATGAGACCTTGTCTCTGTGTGTCTGATAGACACCCATAGACAAAGGAATGATTAAAACACTGTAACATAGGACCTTTAAAAACATCAAAAAACTCCTTATATATTTCAATAGGAATACCATCTAACCCTGGTGATTTTCCAGCTTGAAATAGAAAAAATTGTCGTTTTTTAACTCGTCTTCATTTATTAACCCTTCACAAGCCTGTTGTTGCTCATTTGATAAGCGTTTGCCATAGTTCAAAGGAAAAAAGCCGTCACAATTTGTTCCAGTAAGGGACACTGGTATTTCTTCAAAGGAATATAATGCAGAATAAAAACCGACCTGATCAGAAAGAATATCTTTTGGATTAGAAACAACCTCACCAGAGGGCCTCTTGAGTCTTCGGATATTTTTTCTAGTATAATTACGACGGACCAAATTCATAAAATATTTCGTACACCTTTCCCCCAACTCCATCCAGCGCGATTTAGATCTTAACAAGATACCATTTAAACGTTCGTTGTATAAAGATTCCAGAAGCTTTTGTTTACATGCTAATTCATCCAGCTGGTCAGGTGAGGGAGAGGTGGTGTTGTCGATCTGAGCTTGCAAATTATTGATTTCATTAATGAGTTCTTTTTCCTTAATCAGGTATCGCTTCTTTTTCCAACTTGAGAACTTAATACAGTGTCCCCGCAAGAAACACTTTGCTGCATCCCATACAACTTGTGGGTTTGCAGTATTAACGTTGTTTTCAAAAAATTCAGTCATAACTTGCTTTGTATGTAAAATAAAAGTTCTGTCCTGAAGAAGAGACTGATTAAACTGCCAGTAACCAGGTCCTCGTGGGAAATCCATGGTTACAAAGGATAGTGTAATTAGATTATGGTCAGATTTAAATTTGTCCGCAATACAACATTTTGTTACTCTATTTAACAACGAAAAAGAAATCAGAAAATAGTCTAATCTACTAGCGTGGAGGCCGCGACGCCAGGTGTAACGAACAACATTTGGATTTCTGAACCGCCATATATCATGCAAATCAAATTTTCCTTTTAACTCAGAGATCGCTTCCAGTGCATTAGGGTGATAATTACGATGTCGAACACCCGATCTGTCCATTGATGTATTTTGCACAGTGTTGAAATCCCCAACAACAATCAAACGTTCATCACTTATCTCAAAAGTATCTATGACTTGCTCAAGTTCCTTAAAAAAGGCAGGTGAGTCGTCATTTGGTGCATATAAATTAACAAGACAAAATTGTAGTCCATCTATCTCAATATCTAAAATGATCCAGCGCCCACTTTCATCAGTCTTGACCTGATGAACCTGAGCGCTGGCGTTATTCTTAACTAAAATAGCCACACCTCTTTGATTAGAGGTACCATGCGAGAAGTATATTTTACCACCCCATTCGTTCTGCCATATTTGTTCATCTCTTAAGGTTGTATGTGTCTCTTGTAAACAATAAATGTTGTAAGGTTTGTCCCTTAACCAAGTAAAAAGTCCCCTCCGTTTATAAGCATCTCCCAGTCCATTACAATTATAACTAGAAATATGACACTCTACCTTAGACATGACTTCTGGGAAAATAAACGTCTCGGAGAGGAAAGCCAGGAGAGGTCATCGGGGCGTCGGATTGAGTTTGATGTTGATGATCTACAAAGGAAATAAACTTGGGGAACAATTTGCCATAACACTGAGTTCAAATCAAAATGATTCAAATAATCAAAGTAAGTGTCAAAGCAAAAATTAAATAGTATAAAGCAAAAAGCACTTGAAAATAAGGTTAGACATGTACTCAAACAAGAATTACGTACAAGGTACGTATTGATCAAACATGTCTGGAATCTTGAAATTTTAGCCATAAATCTGAATATTTTTTTAGAGTAACAGAATCATATAGCTTGACAAAGTAACAAAATAATTCATATGATAATTCAATTGAGTGATTACGGTAATTCAGATACAAAATCATATCAACAGAATCATAACTTATATAATGATATTTTGAACACAAAAATTCTATATAGTAATTAAATAAGATAACAAAATAAGATGGAACATAATAGTAATCTGTTACAAAATCCAAACTGATTGTTAACAGAGGATAATCAAAAAGATCAAGTAAATCCTTCATTTTGTTCAAAATTATGCTTAAATCAAAAACTGCCTCAATGTATTGACAATATTTCATCATCATATCAATTTCTGTGGCTGAATATACACGTGAATCAGGGAGGGCTCTATAACAACAACTGTAACACAAAAACGAAAATAAAACAAGAAAATTGTTTGGCTGAACCATCAACCAGGCACGTAAAGGACAGCGCTACTCCTAAGCTTACAATTAACAAAACACGCAATCTATACTAAATAAAGATCCATATTTCTGAGAGTTCATCAGATACATATGTTTAATACGGAAAATGAGTCCCATGAAAAACACACTGCCAATTCAAAAACAGTGTCCACAAGAAGAAGACCATCACATTAGCATAATAATAATGGGCGCGCTCTGAACAGGTGAGAATTCTTCATGTGTAGAATACAGACCTTTCGATACGGAAATCGCATGTTCTACAAAAGATCAAAAAGGGCTTCTACACACCGTCATCTAACTAAGCTGTAAAAACTAAGGCAGGTCTTCAATACAGACTTTCAGAGAAGTCACATGTAAAACAATCGGCCAAAACAAAAAGTCTACAAGGAAGAAGATCATACATTAGCATAATAATAATGGGCGCGCTTTGAACAGGTGAGAATTCTTCATATGGAAAACACAAACATGTCGATACAGAAATTGCATGTTCTAGAATGATCAAAACAGTTTCTTCTACACACACAGTCATCTAACTAATCTGTGAAAACTAAGGCAGGTCCTCAACACAGTCAATGTTCTTGGTTGTCTTGTCCATCAGAGTTATCATGATCCTGCAGTTAGCATCCACCCATGTGTCTCTGATCCGACCTTTGTTCTTGGCAGAAAGCGCCGCTGAGAAGATACTCATGTTCTGTCTGGTTAAATCCGCCAGGACCAGGAGAGGCTTGTCTTGCTCATCGCGCTTGCCTTTTCAGCTTGCTCCGTGCACGAAACACGCGGTTACGGTCTTGCCAGGATACAAACTTGACCAGCATCAGCCGCGTAGCGTTCTCCTTCCTAGTGCCGACTCGGTGTGCGCGATCGATGCACTGCGGCTGTAAATCCAGGCCGAGTTTAACTCTGCAGAAATTAACAACTTTATGCACACACATCTCCCCAGTTTCTTTGTTAACCTCAGGGATGCCACGAATGCGTAAACTGTTCCTCCGGGTATACTGTTCCAGAGCGTTAATCGAGACGGAGTTACTCGCAACCTTAGGTGGGAGGGGGGTATCCTCCATGTTTTGAATTTTCTCTTCAACTTGTTCTATCCTGGACTCCAGTACTCCCTGTCGCTGTAGCACCCGTTCCACATCTTCCCGTAGAGACTGTACGTCTCTCGCTGTAGCCATGTCATTCAGCTTTTCGTGAACGGGTTGAAGCGCGGCTTCGATTGTGGCTTTTAACTCGTCTAGAAGCTTGTCCGCCATAGCGTCTTCTCCGGTCAAACGTGTAGAACTGTTCAAATCGTCACTACCGGACCCTGAGCGACGTTGACGTTTTTTAGACCGTGTCTTAACCATTAACCATCCGTCTAGGGACATTGACAGGGTCTTTAAACGTCGGTAAGCGTCAAATAAACGGATCGTAAGCAAAGGGTCTGAGCGCAGAAAATCCACCTACTGCACGACGACCGCCATCTTGGATGATCAGATGTGTTTTAGTTCATTACCTTGGATGGTGGTGCTTTTCAGCACCAAGGACAGGGACAGACGTGTTTTAGTTCATTACCTTGGATGGTGGTGCTTTTCGGTACCATGGACAGGGACAGACGTGTTTTAGTTCATTACCTTGGATGGCGGTGCTTTTCAGTACCATGGACAGGGGCAGACGTGTTTTAGTTCATTACCTTGGATGGTGATGCTTTTCAGTACCATGGACAGCGACAGATTTGTTTTAGTTTATTATCTTGGATGGCGGTGCTTTTCAGTACCATGGACAGGGACATATGTGTCAGTTCATTTCCTTGGATGGTGGTGCTTTTCGGTACCATGGACAGGGACATGCGTGTTTTAGTTCATTACCTTGGATTGCGGTGCTTTTCAGCACCATGGACAGGGACATGCGTGTTTTAGTATATTACCTTGGATGGTGGTGCTTTTCGGTACCATGAACAGGGACAGACGTGTTTTAGTTCATTACCTTGGATTGCGGTGCTTTTCAGTACCATGGACAGGGACATGCGTGTTTTAGTATATTACCTTGGATGGTGGTGCTTTTCGGTACCATGAACAGGGACAGACGTGTTTTAGTTCATTACCTTGGATGGTGGTGCATTTCAGCACCATGGACAGGGACATGCGTGTTTTAGTATATTACCTTGGATGGTGGTGCTTTTCAGTACCAAGGGTAGGGATGGTGTCACATGCTGTTCTAGAATCATCCTAATTGTCACATCATTCTTACCCATTACAGGTTTTCTCTTTGAAGCCAACTGGTTCCGGTTGGTCCAAGCTGAAGGGTCACACCGAACCGATAACCTGCTGCAGCTTCGGCAGTGCCGGACCTCAGGAGAGTCTGCCTATCTGCAGCGGTGGGAAGGACAACACTGTCAGGGTCTGGGACTCCTCACTGCTAACATCAGCACAGTCTCAGAACCACAGGGATATGGTGGTAAGTCTTTAATTACCTATTTGTTACTCCATGAGTATTGAAATCGAATCAGTCCGTAACTGTCCGTTCATTCGCAGCTGTATGTAACTCATGACTCATTTTATCTTTTTTTTTTGTTTACACCATAACCGTTTTTATAGGTCATGAAATATTTCAGAAAATATGATGATACTATGTTGATTAATATAAATTATGTTTACCGAAGGAAAACATAATTTAAAAGTTTTTGCTACGTTTCCTCTTCTTCTTCTCCAAACCAAAAATGTCAATGACCTGAACCAGACTGTCTGTTGCCATGGTAACTAGTGTTCGGTTATATCATGTTGCAATTTTACAGCATGAGGGATTTAGACTCCTGTCTGAACCATATATATGAATGTGTTTGAGTAAGAATTAACAGAGCAGACCATATGCGAAGGTAAACATTATGCATTTGCTTTGAAAATGTTACCTTTCTAGTTTATAATTATATAGAATCTTACATTTGGACACATTGTTTTTCACCTCTCTAGTGTCATCAGACGTCCGTTACTTCCTGTGGTTTCTCCACGCTCAGTGACTCCATGATATCGTGCTCTGCGGACACCACATATCTGTGGGACTTGTTCACTGGAGAACCCGAGCTGAATTCAACATTAAGCACCCCAAAGTTGTGCAGTAAGTATGAAAAATATTTTCTGCATACCTGCACTGGTGCAGGTAACATTGAAAATTACCTGCACCAGACAAATTTTACTTGCACCATTTAGAATTTGATTAAACTAAAAACTGTTCAGAAAGAATTCAATAGCACGAGGCTGTTAGTATTGCATACTCTCTGGTATATGTATGGATTTATTACATCCATCTTTTACTATATTTTACTTATCACTTATATCTCAGTCCACCTTCTGATAATGATTGTTTTTCTGCTTTCTGGTACTGTTATACAGAGGAGCACAAAGTTGCTTGCTTTTCCCTGGATGGTGACTTTGCGTGCTGTTACTGCTACCTGGGTGTGGACGTGTGGTACCTCAGGGGGCATCACCAGGTGCCAAACACACGTTTAGGGGTCCACAGGTACGAAATTCTGCCTTTGTGTGTCTTGAAAACGAATAAGATGTCATTCTACATCTTCAATTGGTCAATTTTGTACAGTGCAATTGCAAAGCCTGACGCAATCCTATGCCACAGCATACATGTACAGGTATCGGTACCTCCAAACGGTAAATCTGAACTGGAAGATGCTAGAAAGAATGGTTGTCAGTTGTACTTCCTGGAGCATTGTCTCATGAGTTGGACGATACGGGAGCAAAGAATGAAGCTACATGTACATGACCATTGTGACAGATATGCTCTGCATCGTTGGTTAACCGTGCAGTGCATATCTGTCACAATGGTCATGCTACCAATTACCATTTAGAATACAGTTTCCCTGAATATGACTCTGGATGGTTTTGGATTGTTGTATCTTAAGGAAATCTAAAGTTTCGACTGCCTTATTGACCCGTGACGGTGTACTGATGTGTTGTTAGTTTCCAAGAATTTAAAGTAAAGGAAATACTTGACAGTTCCATAACAAGCTATTTTTATACGATACAGGACGATACCCTTCGTGAACCTGGATCATCTCTTCGTGACGTTTGGTGCGAGTGGTATGATGGCCTGCTTCACAACAGAGGCCAAACCTGGAGTGGTGGTGTTCTATCCGATCCTGTCCTCCGATGAACTGGAGGACTGGAGATCAGGCAAGAGTGAACCTGGTCCAGACACACAGACCTTCACTACAACTGAGTTTGATCATGGAGAAAACGTCAAGGTTAGAGCACTGTAGTTTGTACTCCGCTTCTACAAAACAATAAATCTCTTACCAACATACTAACTCACAGTGCCACGTAGAGTGGATTCATTCCTCAAGCTAACCGACATCTATCACACCAGTCGTCCCTCAGATAGACATCTAGAGCTGCATAGTTCGTATTTAGAACTTTCATTCAGACTGTCGCAGAACTACATGTATGCATATTGTGATATTAAACTGCGCATTTGGTTGTGTTTGTATGTATAAATACTTAGAAGAATATTGTTCCTTTATAGATAACTGCTGCAGCTATTTCTAGAAGAGGCGACACACTGGGGACTATGCAAGTTGCTCTTGACTCGTTCAAAAGATCCGAGAGAGCCAACAAGACTTTTGTTCCGTCCAGCCCCGTTGTTGTCCTGTGGAATGTAAGGTCTCAAGAAATCTCCCAAAGTATCGAGCTTCCCAGTGGACTGACTGCACACCACAACATACTGTTCTCGGGCTCCAAGGCCGTGGTCTACATGTTGGAGAAAAGACAGCCCAAAACGTCAACCCCTTCAAAGAACGAGACGTTTGCGGTGATACGAATGCAGGGAAATCAGCCATCGGAACTAGAGCTACAGTATAGGGATACTGGTTATTACACCACTATGTTAGAAGTTATGGACATGACTGGGGTGTTGAAGGGCGGCCACCGGTTGGCGGGCTGGCATCTCGTAGGGCTGGATAGACATGGCGTGTTCCACAGCCTGGAACTTGGTGGAGAGAAGATGGCGTTCGCCATGACGTCAACACACGTGACTTCGTTTGGCCTATCGGGGGACAGGAAGTCGGCGGTGATGGGATGTGACAATGGGCAGGTACACTTGTTAAAGAAACAGGTGTTCTGAGCAAGGACCTTTTCGCTGCATCACAGAAAAGGCTTAAAATTGGACTGAAAAGGACCTGCAAAACCAGATATTAACACATGTTGTGCAATAACTGAAATAATGTCTGTCGGATCATTCTTCACTGTACATAATGCAATGGCGTTCTTATGTCGAATTCTTGTCTCGGAATCATGTGTACTGGCAAAATGAAATGACATAAAATAAGAGGAATGTCGGTGTTAAGGAAGAATTCTCAATGGAAAAAAAACTTCTCAAATTCAGATAACTGCATTTTAAATGTGGACATTAAGATTTATACATATATATAAGTAAGTTATATATGTAAGATTTAGATATATGACTGAGGGGTTTAGGGATTTTTAGTAAGTTAACTATATTATAACAGCCATAGCAGTGCCCTTCAGGACGAGGAGGTGCCCAAATACTACACCATATAGCAGTGTGTTTAAAAAAAAGCTGGAAACACATCTGTCAGTCATGTTTGTTCACATTCTGGTAGTTTGTGGTGGTGCCAACCATAAATGTCAGAAATATGAGATAGTTGCAGAAATATATTGAAAGTGGAAGTGAATTACAGTCACAATAAGACTTTTTCAATCAAAATATTTCAATTCGTACAAAAATCATTGTGTTAAATGCCCCTTAAGCGAGTGGTTCAAATCATAACAGAGCACACTGGAACATAATTTACGATTTATTTCAATGATGCCAAACACAAGTGATGATACAACAATGTTGAATGATAACAAAGAATGATGATCAGCTCAACAAACCAAAGGTGATTTGGAGAGGCAGCAATGAGATAAGCCATGTAGCAACACCTTAGGCTACACCAATGTAATTTGTTGGTTCTCAGATTTTTTCAGAAAAAATCTGATGCAACAGGGCAAAAAAATAATTAAAAACAGGTCTAGGCATCCTATTATAGCCACAATGCTTCGATAGGAGCCATGAAGTCAACACAAAAGGATGGGTTAAAATTTAAAGAATGAATTTTTGAACTTTTAATCAAGCCACTGCATTGATAGATGGAAATGCTGTAACAACTAGAAAGAAAGGGGCTTTTCTCAACCGTTGAGAGAAAATATGAGCATTTATTAGTTGATTCAGAACCAGAAACTTTTTTTTGCAAATCAGAAACAAATGAAGACGCGAATCCGAGAACCAACAAAATAAATTGGCGTGGCCTTATAGTGGAGATTTAGGCCGTAACAAGGACATACAATGTATTTGCTAAGTAAGAAACTCCAAAGGAGTGAAACCTTCACTTAATACATAACAAGAGATGTACATCAAGCCAAACCTGTACACCAGATTCCATCCATTTTGTACTTCGTTGCTAACTACATCACTACACCTGTACATTTAGTATCACTGGAAACTATGACAATTATACATGATTGTACAGTACATATTTGGTTGGTTGAAATAGGCACTTATTGGCGATTCTAAACTTAGAGGCTATTGCTGACCCTTGGTTGGTCCCGCTTTTATATTCATTACATCTTTTTTTCACATTCAATTTTTCTCCTTAAGTAGAGTGTATTCCAGTTCATTGCACTACACAAAACATTAAACTTCCCAGAACTGGTGTAACATCTGTGTCCATAATACATGTATCACCAGGGTCCATAATATCACCACCTTGAGAAACAATGTGCTTAAAGATATTTTTGCTGCAACATACTTCTGGTATGCACTCCTTCACACATCAAATGTACATACCTACGGTATGTTGCAGTAAAAATATCTTTAAGCGCACTATTTCTCAAGGTGGCGATATTATGGACCCTGGTGATATTATGGACACAGATGTTACACATACATATCAAAGCATTACTCTATGTCCAACTGTTAACTCTACTGAGATCACAAAACCGCACTGGAAGAAATCACTATAGCTAGTGACCAAACATAAAAGACTTATGTTTTAAAAAAAAATTAACACACCAGCAAATTATTCTTCTCTACTACTGTAACAGGTATCTTCAATATCATCATAAAGCAAACAAAAAAAGACATAAACTGTAACACCTTTAACTGACAAAAACATAAAAAAGACAAAAACAAAATATAATCTATACATATATAATTTACACAGCTATTTTCATGTAGATGATGAGTTGCAAAGTTGTAAAGATTATTTGTGTGTTTGGAAGCAACATAAAAATTGCAACTTATGCTTAGGACAATTGAGACACTTCATTAACATAAAGTTGATATATTATTTTGTTTTTCAATATATGCGATATGTTACATCTCTTTCAGTGGTTCTGTTATGTTCTTTTTCTACCATATCCCTTTCCCCATTTCTGACAGATTTGAGCCATCATATATAATTATGTGATATGTTTATAATTGTTATACAGACATGGTTCATCATAGTTCCAATATAATTACATTCTAATCTCCAAGCAGATCCTAGGGTAGCATAAGACAATATCAAATCGGCCAGGCAGTATCCATTGGCCAGAGAGGGTTCAACACGCCTTGGGTGGTGTATTGAACCCTCTCAGGCCAATGGATACTGCCTGGCCAATTTGATACTGTCTTATGCCACCCTAGGATCTTCTTGGAGATTAATTACATTCTTCAAATCTAGGATATAGTTTTCCCAGTACTTGGAACATCAAAATTCAGGAGCAAAATGTTTTGTGGCTTTTCATATACTGATATGCTTTTCTCACACTTTTCATTGCTTCTTCACAAATTTTTTGCTTTACCCAGATGCATTGAATGTTGTGATTCTAAGGCACCAATACCATGCTCCAAATTATATTAATCTTTTACAGAAGTATTTTGTACAATTTGATCAATCCAGAGCTCATGCCCAGGCTTTAGGTACAGTGCGTTAACTTCTTGTCAGATTCCCTTGAATGGGTACTCTGGCAAAAATAAACAATTGTACATGTACACTCTAAAAGACAATTGTTGCAATTACACCTGAACTATCTACAAAGGCAATGATCACAATATAATATCTACTATTGATTGTTGCCAAGATAAGGGCACAATATTTCATTCTCAATTCTATAAATTATAATTATATAAGTTATTTGATTATCAAATTTGTGAAACATACTGTATTACACACTGCCTGGTACACAAAAATGTATCTTCATGGTGAAATACTGAATCCTGTCTTCTAGAAAAACAAGTTTGGGTACCTATATATATAGTAAGTTTTCACCATGATGTCTTCCCAAAAATTATTCAAATACATCTTCATACCTTGAGGAGAATATGTGCAATACACAACAGTTAATATAAAATAAAAAAAGGACATCTGAGCAACCTAACAATTTTTTCACAGCCAATTGTCATAAAGCAAAATTATTATGGAAAACAATGTGATTTTGAGCTAATGAAGTAGAACCTTGGCAGAACGTACTGCACCCGCACAAAAAAAAGGATTTTTCATGGTTTTCGTTGGATGTTTGGTCAATGTTGCATCTAGCAATATTTTTGGCGTATCTTATTACCTTCACTGATGTAAGCACATCGCCAGAACGTACTGCACCTCTGCAAAACCCTGATTTTTCACGGTTTTCATTGGAGTTTTGGTCAACATTGCATCAGAAGGCCTGTTGCAGAGGATACTTTTTTAACATTTGGAAACTACAGAGTCTAAAGAAGTATTAACCTTGCAAATACGACCTTACAGGAGCCATTCTGCCAAAGTGCTATGCACAATACATTACGGGTTTCGCGCAGGTGCAGTACATTCTACCGACATACTGACTACATATTTTAAGTTCCCTACACATCCCCCTCAGCCTCTAGTAAAGGTTCCTTGTCAGCCAGGTCACCGTCCTCCTCTGAGTGGGCCTTGCCTAGGTTGGTGTAGTGGGCCTGTTTAATGGACTCACTCCTCTCTAATCTCTGCATGTAGATCCCACAGCCAATTATACAGCCACCCAACACTAGCAGGAGACCAATGGCAACCCCTGTACGTAGACAAATTATAGGTTATCAAGATGCAAATTATATTTTACATAAGGTTGGCACATTCTACAATATTTCTAAAGCTGCATTATGTAACATTAGGACAACACAAAAAGTTCCTTTTTTTACAAAAAAAGTTGAATCAACAGTACAGCATTGCATAGTGCCATTCAGGGAGAGGAGTTGCCAAACGTGTGTTTAAATTCTATACATTTTCATGTATTTAGTGTTGGTGTCACGAAAGGGGTGTGCCTCGTGTGGACCGCATGTAAAACCAATGGAAAGAGATCCGTAGTTAATCGAGATCTGTACTGTATGAATATAAAGCAACCAGTTTATTGTAGTTGGAACAAAAATATTTATGTGTCCTACACACATAAACATCAACCATGATTGGTTCTGTATGAATGAAGTCAATCTGCACTAGTAAGTCATTCAGGCATTCATTGACAATAACAGTCACAGTGGCACAGAGTGTTACTGAAAGGTGTGAGAAGTGAGTTCACATTGAAAAAGTTACAACTTACCAAGTTTGTAAGTACAGAGGAAGGCAGGAACTCCATCAGGCACTGAGAGATAGGGAGGGGCACAAAAGGAGGTGTCCCAACACCACAGGCAAAGAGAAGTGAGGCATACAACAGACAGAAATGTGAATATAGCTACACGTCACATAAGCTTTCAGAAGGGCATTGCAGGGCTCGAAATACCACCTGCATATGCAGGTTAGTGCAGGTAAAATTGGAGCTGTACAGGTATTTCTCATGTCTACCTGCACCTAACCTGCACCAGTCCACATATGTGTTTTTTATTCGCTGCCTTGACCGTTTCCACCTTTGACGTATAAAACAAATGATGGTACTACCATAGTTTCTAAGAAGTTTTTACTATGATCCATATAATATCTCCTGAAATTTTGAGAGGTGCAGAAAAAAGAATTTCGAGCCCTGGCACTGTGAGTATACAACACAAAGATGAGTATGGCAGGAACAATAGTGTAGATTTTCAAACATCTTATAGGTTATAACATCAACAACAAGAATTCAGATAGAGATTTCAGACTTGAGGGAAGAACACAATCCTGAATTCTCTCATGTCAGCCCATACGTCCTGCTGGCTCCCGACCAGATTTAAATTTTTTTGCTTCTTGGCATTCAATCCCCCCCCATGTGCTATCAACCTAGCTCATCTGTCTGGACACTGAAACACAAACCTACAGCCACCTAAAACCATATTTAGAGAATTAGACTGTACCCTAAGCATGTAGTAAACAGTGTTAGTCAACAGTTTCAACAACAAATAAATGTCTGTGTATGTGTACTTACCTATGATTTCTGGTGTGGAGGGTGGCGGCCCCCAACTGGTAGGTTTCTTCACCAGGTGGGCCACGTTGTCGAAACTGCCGTTGTTCTGATGTGGGTCCAGACCCAGGATGTGACACATGAGCGGGTAGATGTCCACGTTGTTGAAGGGTTCAGACAGGAGGTTGGTGCGGAAGGCTGGTCCGTGGGCCACGAAGAGGGGGTTCATGGGAAGGTAGCTGTTGTTGTAACCATGGTTACCTGGTGATGGGATTGTCAAATTGTTGAAAATACGAATTGTAAGAAAATGTACAAATGACTTGAAATTTCGGAATAAAAAATTTGGTACAATCTTTACCTTCTTTTCACATACCTGTACACTTACTGTTACAGATTCTATGGATGGTATGTTAGTAGCATTTGTCATAACATAATAATTTGATTTTAATTTTCATGTCTAGTAGTTAAAGCCCGTCACAAATTCAGAACTATCCCCCAACCCCCAACCAACCAAAGTTAGCTGAAGTTTGGGAACTTCAGCATGCCTACCTTTCTATATGAATCAAATTTGAATTACATTTGAGTCAAATTTGACCTGTAAACAACACACCCCATCCAGAACACTGCTAACTTATATTTTTTGTACTACCATACACCAGCCAAACATGGCCGAACCTCCCATCTCTTCCAAATGTTTGAAACATTTTGAATCATTTAGCTGGCACAGTCGAACAGTAGCCCACCTTGCTGAACACAAACTACCCACAGCACTTGGCCACTAGCTCTAGCCAACCTACTCCTACCCATGGTTTGGGGATTTCGTCAGTGTTTGATTTGGGAGGCCTTATATGGCTATGTGTAACATCGGCTTAAGATACAAAATCACCCTAACCTTTGTACAAGTTCCACTCCCTGCTAGACGTATGGTTCTGTGCAATTGTCCATCCAGGATCTGCCACTGCGATGACAGGCATGATCCTCCGGTTGTGTCTGTAGTGGTACTGGGCTGGGATGTCCTCCTTGTAGTACACGTGCATCTTCGGATGAGCATTGTGCAGCGCTGTGTAGATGTGTTCCCTGGTCACTTCTGAGGATAACAACAAATTAATTCATCAGGTTAAGAGTTTTATATATACAAGGCTGAAATACTTCTTTTCTGCATAGTTGCACTGGTGTAGGTAGCATTGAAAATTACCTTTGCCAGACAAATTATACCTGCAACACGGAGAATATCTATCATTATGACACAAAAAAATGTTAAGAAAATACCATTGCCATTATATTATTTCTTATACTTCGTAGGAGGCAACACTGTCAACAGTCAATGGAGCAAATAAAAATCAACATACATGCAATGTACACCTACATGTAACTCCAGATCTGTGCCCCATTTAAAAGCTTATAACTTGTGTCCCTGCCTATAGCTATATTCTGTTGACAGATTAACCAGTAAAACAGGTTTTCAACATATGTGTACACAGTTACTGCAGGCAAAATGCTATAGGTACAGACTTTTATGGGACCAAACTGATAACATTTTCAAAGTCCAATTACCTTAGCCACCCAACATGTGCAAGATCCCTGTACAAGCTAGTAGAATACAACCCTATACACACAGGTCTACTAGTAGTACATTGTATAAATGCTGTCATTCCAATTTCTTAACTAATCCCAGTCACTAAGTACACCTACTAGTACAAACATTGCCTTGGTTTTAATCTTAGGTGTACGCTTAATTTGGGCACTAAAACAAGTGGGTAAACAGGAAGCATGAGGTTTTCCACAATCTGATGTTCTGCCACATTAACATTGATTGTCCCTTGGAACAATACTAGTAGCCTTGGGACATGGCTGATAGCCCAACAAAACCTTTCAATAGATCTAGAGTCCTTTTGAACATGATTCATTGTGCCAGTGGCTACTGTATTCGTAGTCAAGGATTGCCGTAGTCAACTGTTGTATACAGTAACACAAACACTTCAACCAAAAGGAATTATAGACGAACTAACATACACAGAATTATACAGTGTGAAAGGACAAAATATTAAGGCACTTCGACACGGTTGTTTTATTTTCGTGGTTTTTGTGGTGACCTCGCCATTGTGAATTCATGACACCACGAATAGGTGTTTCCATTGTACTGCAGCTGCAGTAGTACTGCACAACTGTTTCAACTGCACATTTTATACACTTTTAACTTTTTCCTTCTCCTAAGATGATAAAATTTTCCAGTATGTTGCCTTTTTTAGGCTCTCAGATTTTTGTTTCTATAAAATTTTAACCGAACAAGCTTTCGAGTTTAAATAAAGGCTTACTAGTACTACTACTACTACTACTACTACTACTACTACTACTAAAGGTTTAATACTATTACCAGTATTTTGGCTCCTCTGTCAACAAAGGCATAATACAAGTAATTGTACCCCTTTGTATGGCTCTATGTATTGTTGTAAGGTAATGGAATTTGGGTCAGGCCTGCCACAATTATAATTGAATTCTCTTGAAAGAAAAGGAGGGGGTTACAATGTTATAGTACCTTCAGAATAAGAATGGGAGTCACTAACGACAAAAAGATAATATTTCCCACCTAAGAATTAATAGCAATAGGGATTGAAGTCCTGAGATTGCTCATGCTCATTGCTCTAAGTTGGAACTTATAAATAAATTGCGTTAACTTTGTCTACCAAACATTTAACACAAATAAGAAAAATATACCCTACCAGTACTGTATGTACGTAATTCTTGGTTTTTTTCACGGTACTCGTGAGGTTTTATGTTGACAGTTTTTTTTGTGACTTCTGGATCGTAAACTTATAAATATCATTACGTTAATTGAATAAATCACCAACTTTCTTTTTTCTGTACCTGCCGCCACCATGAACATATACACATGATTGTACAATTTCTCAGACAGTGATATTTTGCTGCCACGAAGATACCTTTAAAAAGTGAATTACTGGTACAGTAACCGAGAAAATGTGTCACAGACTCTGACAACATATAGAAATAAGTCCACTCACCGTCATGTGGCCAGATGGCCGTCACAGGTGTTTTATCCACCCACAGGTAAGTACTGGGGTCCAGGTAACGGTCCAGCTCAATCACTCTGTCCTGGGACACCTCTGTCATACCATGGTCACTCGTGATGATCAAGTTCACTCTCTCAAACAGTCCTGCTGCCTTCAACCCATCGATGAGGTACCCTACGGTCTTGTCCACCATGTCTAATGTCTCGTCCATCTCCTTGGACTCTGGGCCAGACAAGTGACCGGTATGATCCGGTTCTTCAAAGTAGAGGACGCCCATGTTGATGGGACTTTCCGAGTCTTTGAACCAACCGATCACAGTGTCTATTCTTTCGTGGTAGGGCATGGTTTTGTTGTAGATAGGAAGGTGTCTGAATGGTAGGGTGTTGTTGAACTTGACTTCCATGCCGGGCCAGTTTAGAACCCCGCTCTTACCGCCAGGGTGGTTCTGATTGGTTATCCAGATGGGCTGGCCGCCGACGTCCCACCATTTTGGATCGGTGGTGTTGAGATGGAACATTTCGCGCAGTTCGGGGTCGTACATAGTGTTGGCGACGATCCCATGGTTTTCTTCAAACATGCCCGTCGCGATGGTGAAATGGTTGGGGAATGTTTTGGTGATGAAGCTGTTGTGGACCCATTTTGCACGAACACCTGTGAAAAGCACAGAAAAGTGTTATCACTTTAATTTCTTGTCTTACTAATTTGAATCCAACTCAAGGCTCCAGGCTAACTTTTTGACTTAGGAGCACGTGTGCTCCCAGGAACAAAAATTTGGGCATGCCAGCAAAAATCTGGGCACACTACTCTGAGTCTGAAGGTAGATCATCCTATTGAACATTAGTTTGCAGGACATCACACAAATATTGATATTTTTGGGGGGTACAATGTACAATGTACATAGAAACATGTAAAAGTGGAACTACCATGATCATAGAACACAAACAAGAAAGCAAATACATGTCATGATATCATGACTGTTAAATTTTGCAGTCCATGATGAATTCAAGTTTTGATGAGTGCTCCTATGAAAAATTTCTACTAGTAGGCACACGGCTTAATTTTGGGGAGTAATTGTGCTCCTAAAATGGAAGCAGTCTGGAGGGCTAACAACACACAACATTAACATGAAATTTAAGTTTGGCTCATCTTTCAAATTCTATGTACCAAATCTGGCTAGCCTCCAGCAAACCACATTACTTTATGGTTGACCTACACTATTGTAGTCACGAAATATCACATGAAAACATAATAGAAGCTTACGACAAAAGGGACCAACTTTAATCCATTAAAAGCTTGTGGATTACTGAACATGGCCAATTCCCTGGAACAGGTATTCCCAAGGGATTATGCTAATATTAATAAGGGATTATTTTATGCCAAAGATATCAGTATAATTTGATTCCTTTTCAATTATTGAGGCAAGGAAAATCTCAAATTATACGGCATGTGTCAAGTACTTGTACAGGAATTATCCTTATGATTGTTAAGAAAGGAAAGATACACGTTCTGTGGCTTTTCCCCCAGTACCTTTTCCTGGACATTCTTTTATCTTGTCATCTGCCTATGAAGATTATACAACAACTAAAAGATCAAACTTAAGTCTTCATGACAGCAATACAAGATGATCATACAAGAAAATTACAAATATAACGTGAAAACCACTGCTTATCGTAAAGGTATCCAATGCAATTTCAGGGCACCAAAACAACAATATTCTGGATGAGGAAATCCAACTAATATATTCATCTAGTACTGCCATTTCTTAGCACATGATTTTCATCATCATATTATATGGCACTTGAAAAGCCCAGAAACAAGCTACATGAAGAGTCCTTTTATTTTTTGGTACCACCAATAAATACTGGTAGCCAGAACCAGCCAACGAAATGATACAATACAATCAACCTTTTTCTGGCAGCGACATCACATTTTTACGTCACAGGTATCAGTATGCTATGGACTAGCGTTGATTCAACTTATTACATTAGCAAAACATGACCACTACTTAAAATTTAAATGGACTTTGAATATTCTACTGCCCTGAAATTACTCTGGGTGCCTTTAGACGAAAAATTTTACGACACACACCTGTTTGGACGAGATACTTGAAGTTGGGCAGCTGCACCCTGTCCGGACTCCTGTCCAGGTAGTCGTACCGGAACCCGTCAAACGAGACCAGCAGCAGGAGCGGCCCGTCATGGACAGACCCTGTCCGTCCGCCCAACATCAGCAGAACAAACACGGCCACAAACACACGGGCGGACGCCATGATGGGAGCCGGAAAACTCACGTCTGCAGTACGGGTATACGGGCACGTAAGGTTACGTGTTGCCCTGACGGGGGGCAACCGTGGTATGTGTGAACCCCGAAATTACCTACCACTTCTATCTAAGGTCTCCGAAATCGCAGACAAGGAAGAAAACCAGTGCTGAGTCACTGTCAGTAGACAGTCAGCAGTTCTACTTGTCGCATTGAATTTTTAGGAAGTATTGCGTACGTACAGTATTGCGTGCGTACGCACAGTGACCTTTCGGTCAAGAATGCGGAAAAGCGCCAACGTTACACATCCAAGAAGCAGAAGTTTACCGACGGTTTTCGAGTTAGATCTGCGTTTTCCGAAGCCCAGAAGCTCTCAGATTACTACGTACAGTTTAAATATGTCTGAAGAAAGTAATATTAGAAGAAATATTTCTGGTAAACAGAGAAAAACCCTACGATTGATGTTGCCAGGCGCACCCCCGTGTCTTATACCGCCATTTTGGGACGAGTCTATTAGATAGATAGGGGTGTCAATTACTAGTCTCTAAATCCTGTTACGCTGGGGTTAATCTGAAAAGAAATATTAGTATTGCAGAACAGCGCATTCATTATGTTTACCGAAGGAAAACATATTATATTTGCTCATTTCCTCCTCCTCCTCTTCCTCTTCTCCAAACACCTAAAAATCGTAGATATTTTCGTAATTAGAGCCTGGAGGAAAATGAAATTCAGCATGCTAGTAGGTTGATACGTTAGACATTGAACCTTGGTCATTTTGGCCAACATAGATGTCAGAAAATGATTTTATTGGCAAAAAATGGGTGAAAAAAGTTGCATTTTAAGCCAAAAATCGAACAAAAAGAACGCGTTTGGAACATTCGAACAACCATGGAACAATGGAACAGCGTGTTCGATAACCGCGGGTCATTGACCCTAGCGCTACGCACGGAACACCCGAGCTTTCCAAATATGGGCATCCGCCCTTGTATGACACGAGAAGACATCAGTGGACCAATGTAGCGGTAAGTTTCATTTTTCTTCGTAAAATACGGTCATATGAATACCAGTCTCGAGTAGAGAATATTGCATTGGGATTTTGGGTTCAATATTCACAATTAGGACTGCAGATTTCCACAGAACGCGGGAGACTTTGTTTAACTTTTTGCATGTCATCGCCGGCTCAAAAAAAAAAAAAACCACTAGCAATTAACTAGCCGGCTCAAATCTAAAAATAAAGCTCTAGTAATTTACTAGCTCCTGACTTGATAGAATCTCGTATGTTTAGCGATTTAGGCTTGTTGCTGTTTTGAAAATAAATTAAACAGAATTGTGTTCATCCGTAACTATTGTCGACTTTGTAATTATGTAGGTGCGGGGCAGGGGGAGGGGGGCGTTTGTTTACGTTTATTACTCATGATATAACAATTAACATGGATACTAGTATAACATTACATTTTGTCGTTTTGTCAGACAGTTTCAATCTTTTTTCGGGATAACACAGTACAGTACACGGGATAAGCATCAAATCGGGATTCATGGCGATATCCCGCGGGATTTTTCGGGAACCATGTTGACTAAGATTTTTACAGACAGACGGTGCAGCGCATGTTTGTTTCCAAATTATGCATGATGATAACAGTAGCACAAACGAATAGTGTTTTTAATCAAATGTTTTTTTTTTAATATCGAAAATTTTAGTGGCTTAATAATGTTTAGAACGATAACAAAATAATACAACCGTCTTGGTACGAGAATTTTTGTCTGACCTTGCGATGTGGACGGCCCGCTAAGTACTGCTTTTGATGTCACCCGACCCGCGCTATCTCAGATATAAAATCTAACACAGCCACTCGAGAAGTTCTTCTCCTAGATATGGGAGGTCTACGCACGGAGTTGCGGAAGAGAGATTAAACATTATACAAAAGAGGGGGCGAAGCATAATTCAAAGGTTCTTTACGCCCTTGGCTTTGTTTCCGACGATCAAGAATTGATTTCGTGTTACTGTGACTGGGCAACGTTGCCATAGAAACGGCACGCAGGATAGCTAGCAGACCGCGGGCACCCAATCATAGCGCACAGACGGGGACCCGCCCACTGGCTGGGCGGTAAGATTTCAAACTCAAAGGCTCGATGCTCCGCCCCAGCTACTCCAACCGCCTGACGTTTTGTAGCGATTTTCCGCCTCAGCCCTGCACGCGGCATTCTATTTTTCTCATCCCGATTTCAATTCTCGATTCTCGATCCCAAAACGTTTTTCACAAGTGACATCGAGAACTAGAATGCTTTTTCCACCGGAAGAATTTTTACCAGCCGCGTGGAAGTACTTGCTTTCAGGGTAATACGTACGTGAATGGACGTAGCCGGATCGGTTGTTGACGCAAGGGTTTATTTATGTGTACGTGTTTGGGGAGGGGTGAGACGCACGCCCCGGGCTTTTGATGGGCAAACTTTCCTAATTTTCGTAATACAGAGACTACTTGACGCTCACGAGATGTCACAATGAAACACAACAACTCCAGCCGGTACGCCCCATTTTATTTGATGGTTTAACTTTATAAACTTGACAGATTGATTGTTTATAAACTTGCCGAAAAATTCACTGGAGACGAAGGGGTTACTACAAATTCATTCATTTTCTTACAGTTTTTGTGAGTTTTTCGCTGCACAAAAGCTTTGTAAAAATTTAGCAGTTCAACTATGACCGCTTGAGGAACGCGTTATACACAATATACACAATTATGGCATAGTTGACTGACGTCAGGGTGCTCCATTGGCCGGAAGCAGGACATTTCGACGCCGTCATCCGTAATAGGACCCGCAGTAGACTTGGAGATCTCGCATCAAGTTTTTTTCGCTCCGCAGGACACGCGGATATCTCGCGGGATTTATTGGGACGCCTATCCCGAAAAATTCCACATCCCGATGATGCATATCCTGTGAAGTTATCTCTCATAATAAGGATAATTGCCTATAGGAATTTGACAGAAGAAATAGTGTTGGGGCTTCAATGTATATGAAGAAATATGTGAACGTCTGGTTTCACTAAATTTGTAACTTGAGTCTTATGCTTGCGTTGTTATTCTTCAATTGCATACAGACAACAGTGTTCTCTGTATTAACAAATTGGTCTGCTGTAAAATTTGAATATATATCATACCCCCTTTGACATATATTATATACCCTCTTGGAACCCACCTGATATAGTTATACGTTGTATACATATGTATTATGCTTTCCTTTTGTGGTTCAATGACTTAGACATATATTATCAGTTTCTGCTCACTTTTGAAATGTTTACTCTCCTTTTTGTATCCTCTTATGATTGGACCTCTGCTAGGAAAGGAAGCAGAACTTGGTCCATGAGAAACTGGAGAGGAACCCAACAGAGCTGAACCCAGCCATCCACAGAAGGATACAACACATCACAACCATTTCTAGAAACACATTATAACTCCAATTTAGCCAGTAAATATGTATGTTAAGTTGCATAATATATGTAAGTCATGTATAGCTTTTTAAGTATGTATGTATGGTTTTATAGAGTGTGTAGTTCCAATATTTTACACAACTGTAGATTTTCATCATCATTTGCAATGATTTTCATATAAAAGTTCAAAGAACACTTATTATAGAAGTGGGTATAATTCACTGGCTCGGCAATCAAAAGAACAAGTAAAACCCAACAAAACTGGCTTGATATATATCTTATGTACTGTAGTATAAAGACTAAAGTGTACTGTAGGAATTAGTTCTTCATATCATTGTATATCATTTCATTATATGTATATGATATACGTACTTACTATGAGCCTTCTGCCATGTATTTGTAATATTACTAATATAATTAACTTATTATCATTATTTCAGCCTACGTCCTGTTTCCTATTTACAAAAATGTAATAAGGATGAGACGAGCTCAACAATGTCCTTTGTAATTAAAGCTGTCAAAAAGACTTGAAGTTTACTTGCAGTCTGCAGAGAATGTCATTGATTAAAGTGACCGGCAGATTTTAAACTTGGCCTTACAACGGCAAAAACATTGAAATTCCCCAGTTATAACGTTAATGTTACTCTATAATAACAGTACATAAAAGTCAGTAATATAAGCAAAATATCCTTCTACCCATCCTTTCCCAATAAAGGTATAACGCTAAATCGTAGGCAAGACCATCCTGAGGTAAACATATTGCATTTGCTTGCAAATGTTACCTTTCTAGTTTTTGTTACGTATTTACTTCTTTTTGATGCACTTGTTTGTTTGTTTGTTTTTATTTATTTAACCAGGGGGATACATATCGCCCGTGGGGCGCTTTTCAATGAGCCCTGGGCCTGGGGAAACGAACCCCAAAACAAAAACATACAAACTACAAACTAACACAAATAATCAAACAAAAGTAACTTATAAAGTTACAAAAGTTACTAAATAATACAAAAGCAAGGTAACTTAAGTAGCATACATTGCGCATGAAATCATAATACCAAAATAAGTGAAACAAAAGTGAAGCCTGACCATCATATAACATAGAACCAAGGTAGGACAAAAAGAAATCAAGATCAAAATCAGGCTTGGAATTTGCATATCAATGATTACCCAGTACATAAGATTGCTTGAAGGCTGCTAGGGTCCTGGCTGCTTTTAGGTGATGTGGTAGTGTGTTCCACAATACCGCCCCAGACGAAGAAAAGGCACGTCTTCTGTATTCTAACTTAGTCATTGGCAACTGAAGACCTCCTTGCGCCCTGAGGCGAGTGTTGTGAGTATGCACGTGTGATAATTGAGTGAACATTGAAGTGATGTAGGAAGGAGTCAAACCGTTAATAGCTTTATAGACGAGAGTAGCTTTGCTTTTCTTATGTATTTCAACCACTGGGGCCCATTTTAGTGTGTTTAGAAGGGTTGAGGTAGAAGTTCGCCTGTCACAGCCCAGAATCACCCGACCCACCCTGTTTTGTAGCTTTTGCAAATTTTCAATGTATCCCTTCCCTGCCGTGTCCCAGACAGTGCTACAGTACTGTATGTGCGGAATGAATAACGTTGTGTACATTACATCTAGGGCTTGTCTGTTTAGGTAGGGTTTCAAGTGCTTAATAATGCCAATGGTCTGAGCAAGTTTCTTGTACATATGTTTGAAATGTTCGTTCCATTTGAGAAGGCAATCAATAGTGACCCCAAGATATTTAAAACTAGTCACCTGTTCGAGTTTAGCCCCGTCTAATATAACATTAAGCTTGGTATTCGCCACATTCATACCTGCTGACCCTATAAGCATTGTCTTACATTTACTAGGATTTAGGGAAAGCTTGTTTGCTGCAAACCACTGAGAGATCCGAGTTGAGTCCTTTTGTAATGTCTTCTCAAGTGTTGAAATGCTCCTTGCTGCGAAATATAAGATAGTGTCGTCGGCATACATGGAGACTTTGCACGACTGGACACAATTTGGTAGGTCATTGATGTAAATGATAAACATAAGTGGTCCCAAGATGGATCCCTGAGGGACACCACAGGTAACGCGCGTTGCGGAGGACAAAACTGAGCCCAACCCTGTACATTGCTGTCTGTCAGTTAAGTATGACTTGAACCAGTCACAAGCCGAGTCGTCCACACCGTAGCATTTCAGTTTTAGCAGCAGTATATCGTGATCTAGGGTGTCAAACGCTCTTGACAGGTCGCAAAACACTACACCACTTGATAGGAACATGATGCATAGTGCATGCCTCCAAATGTGATAAGAGCCAACTGGTGGTCTGTAAGATCTAGAAGTCACGTGAGGTGGTATTAGTAGATGATCCTCTTGGCCTTGGGAATACAATGTACAAAGATGCAGAATGTTAAGGCACGCAAAGTGACAGAAAAAGGGCCATCCAATGCGACTACAGGGCAGCAAAACTGAAAATATTATGAATAAGACAATCTTTGTGATATTGACACATACTGCTTCACATTTTAGCACATTTAAATCAGCATTTAAATACTTTTAAAACTGCAGAAAAAAGCCGCAAGATGAGTCCTTTATTTTCTGGGTGGTATCCTGAAAATTATCAGCCCAGGGCCCAACAATTTTCTGTCAGAATTTTGGGAACTTTTGCTCCATGAGGGTCAATATTACATGATCCTGGGATGATGTGGTTTGAACTCAGTATGTAGATACATGACCAGAATATTGGCTTTGAAAAATCGGGTTTCCAAGCCCTAAAAACTGCACTGGACTGTACCGTTATATTGATGAAACAGCACTGTTCTCCGAGGTTCCTTGCAATGCCATTGGTCGTTGGAATTCAAACTTTTTTCAATAATGTCTAGATAAAGTTGTTATGTTTTCATGATGATGTTGTCCATCGCTAATATGTCTGGGTGTTTCCAGTGTGACGAAAATATAGACATGTAAGAATTAACAATGCATACAGGCATTAAAAATTCATGATTGTTATGTCTCACATAAAAGAAAGTGTTGGTGGGTGATGATAATGAAATTGATAAGAATCCATAATGATCTCTCTATCCTGCATGAGCACACATTTAGTGTCCACTAATCTGTGTGACAAACAATTATCACACTAAAAAGTTCATCTACTTGACCGCGTGTCGTATCACTATCAAGCCAAATAAAGTATGATCAAGTATTACAAGTAACGTTATACTTAAGCATATCATTCTACTGGTGTACGTTATTGTGCTTGCAGCGACATCTAGCGGTTTATACTTGAGACACATCTTAGAAGCTAGCAACTTATCTCGCTCAAAATATATTTCCTAGGGGGAGCAACAGCATACGCACCATTGCGAAAAGGTAAATCAGGTTAGGCAGTTGAACGGTGTTCACTATTGTTCGGGTAGTCGTACTGGAATCCGTCAAAGGTTTGTAGTATCCTGAATTCCGGGCGATATTCAAAAAGATATTTCAAACCAACCTCGGTGTTTAACAAACACCCCTTCCATTTAGTGGTACATTCTCACATCCCACAGTGCACTGCAAACTCTTTCTTGCAGAGGTCACACTGGGTCATCGGCGACTGCAAATCTCTGAAGTTTTCTCAAGAAAACAACAAATTTTCAGACGTTGCGGCCACAAATCTGAAATTATTAAAAGGTAAGATTATTAACTAAGATCGCATGATCAATTTAGTTACAATGGGGACGTAACCGAACCAAGTTTGTAGGGACAATCCCTATTTAATTTCCTTGGCAACTGCATATAAACAAACATGGCGGACCAAAATAACGTTAGCTATGAAGCGAAGTAACAAATTACAGAAAAACAACGATTTGATGATCTTATAACAAAGAATTTTCTCTTCATGAAATAAAAAGTATGGAACAGCTCATGACGGCATGTTTCTTCCCCAGTTATATTAAAATATATTATAACCATAACATATTTTCGTTACAGTACACTTCACTTTACTTCAAATACTTGCATGAGGCTTGTTGCTACTTCTTGGAGTAATTTGCTTGTGCATGAGATGAACAATGTTGAGTTCTAAGGAAGCACAGAAGATAGTCGACCAAGTGGATCTTCCAGGTAAGACAGTCCAAAGATTTAAGGAATGTACTAGCATAGTAAGAGTTCCTTGTTTTGTAATCTATTGGGTTGTTACTCAACACAACTCGTACAACACAACTCGTAAGGCAACGCAAGTAAAATATACAAGTTCACAGTACTATAACACATAATAAACCTAATTATAATGGGTCGGGCAGTGAGCATATAGTTAACTCTTTATGTTATACCTGGGCAATGATAACGTTTGATACAGGTGTTCAGGTCAATGCGATAACTAGCCATATCACACAGGGTTCTTATGATTATCACATACGTACGTCTGCTTCCAAAGTTTGCAAATGCCAACATTTGGGATTAGTATTATTAAGTGAATGTTGTTGTTTTTTTCTCAAAGATGATCCACAAGGACAGATTTCCAGACTACCCAAGTCTGAAAGACAGGTGAGGAAACAAGAAAACATTTAGTGTTTGTATGTGGTGTGATAGATCTAAAACTTAGTAAAAGTCAGTAAGCGTCATGGAACATACTGTGCCTGCACGAAACACTGATTTTTCATGTTTTTTAGTGGTTTGGTTGCACCAGAATTTTGCCCAAATGCTGTGTGCAATTGCAACATTTAAAAATTATTGATGGGATGCCATCCTCAAATATGCAGTTATGATCTTAAAATTAAGTTAAATGAAACGTTTTTCCGAAGTGCTGTGCACAATACATTAACAGTTTTTGTGCAGGTGCAGTACATTCTACCAACATGTGAATTATAATGCAGTGTTTTCAACATTATATTTGATTGACTTTAAATTGTTGTAACATCCATTTGTCAATGTAAATTTGTGTGGACTTTTGGCTTATGACGCAAAGTAATAAATTGGTAAAATAAACGAAGGGATTAACTTCAATTATTACCATTTTCCAGGCCCTCATCAGGTTAAAAGTTGTCAGTGATGATGCCCTTGTGGCGGCAGCAGTGGAGATCCAGAGAGTGTGGAGGGGACATTTTGTCAGGTGAGCTGATTTGCATCTGAGATTTGTCACGTGATATATAACATTAAAAGATTTTAGTATTTTTATTTTACCGTAGGTATAGCTTGTTAGCAACCTGGACAGACTTTTAATGGGGCAGTGGTTAAGTGTCGCTCCCTCAAAAAGATCAATTCTGTCACTTTAAGAAGTTTGCGAAGGAGGATACGTCTAATAGCAAATAAACTGCTAGTAGATTGTGTAGTTTCCAGTGAATATTGATGTGTAAAGACTTATAAAGGGATATCATTAAACTAAGCTTAGACTACCATTAAAATTTGCCCCTCAAAATGCAAGAACTAGCATTTCAGGTGGTCAAGATTTCAAAATGTCGGACCATGTCCCCAGACCCCCCCTGGATTGTTTTGTGTCAGTGCTCATTGTGTGTGAGATATACCAAAGGACCCTGTACAAACCTACCCTGCCTACCTACCTACCTAGTCCCATGACCGACACTGGTTGTCAGGGGGACAAGGCAGACCTTGCAGCAGAGGTGCAGCCAGGTCTTCATATCTTGGGCTGCTGTCAGGAGTTGTGGGAAGGTGAGGGACGTGCAGTCCTTGATGTTATCCTGCCAGACTTTCTTCTGTACAGACCAGTTGCCCATAAATATTCTGCTCTGTGTTTCAGGTGTAAGTACTTTGCGATCACCCACCCTGATGAGAGTAGGAAGTGTGAGTACCAGGGCAGCAGGTTCCAGCACAGTGAGCAGGGGCTCAGGGACGTCAGGACACCTCCACAGCCGGACGTACCCAAAAGGGTCAGTCTAACACTATCATATGCTTGAAAGTTCATCTGTGTTGGTAGTTATATGTTTACAGTTAAAACTTTTATCATGGAAGTTCAAACTTTTGTTCCAACACAAAAGATAATTCTCACCCAGAGCTTTTGACCAGTCACACTGGTCTTCCTCTAAATCAATAGACTGACCCAGTGAGATTTCATGTACTAGTAGCTTCTATGAAGTGTGACGTTAACACTGGCCATGGGTGAAAGAGGTCAGCTGCTATCTACCACTCTAAATCTATACATTTAAGGTTATTGCTATCATTAAATGTGTCATTTAATCTCTCTTCCCTTTTCTTAAAACAGGTGTATAGTCTATCAGCTCACAGAGTCTTTGATGTATAATGTTTCATAGGATGCCATTATACATACAAGTAGCTTATATTTTACTAGCTGCATAGTTGGACTGGTAGTTTTGTGTTTCTAAATTCAGGGTACCTATAAAAGAATTATGAATGGCCCTTCATTTTCTACATAGAATCATGAATGAACTTTTCTACACAGTTGGAGTTGTATAGGGATTTTGAATGACACTACATGTACATTACATGTACTTGTACTTTGTTTTTCTTTCCCTTTTTGTGATTTGTGTGGAGATAAGATGGCATAAGTACTTTGAATGCTTTAATGATAATACAGTCTCCAGCCAAGAGTTCTCCATCAACCCCGGTTGGCCCAAAGTTGCACATGGAACTTGACGTGTACCCCAGCCTTCCCATCACAAAACACACACCAGATACAACAGATCACAGTTCAAGTAGTGGGACTGTGAGCCCACTGTCTAAACAACAGCCAGAGATGGGAGAAAAAGATACTGGAGATGAAAAGAAAGAAGTGGAGGAACTAAATGGAAGTTCTCGTAAAGATGAGAGAGAAGAAACTGCTGTTACTACAGATGATGACACTGACAGTAGCACAGATGAAGATGACAGTGATGATGGTAATGGTGATGATGATGACGACAATGATGATGATAGTAATGATGATGATGATAACGATGATGATGATGATGACGATGATGATGATGATGGTGATGACAACAATGGTTATGAGGTTGTTGTGATGGTGAAAAAAGTCCGCTCCTCAAATTGCCATGGCAACAAGGATGAGAGCACCACAGCATCATCATCGCATAGTCTGAAGACAACAGACTCTTCTCCAGAACTCCAGCATCAGCTAACATCACAGGAGCATGAAGAGGTGCAGCAGCAAAGTCATCCATGGGGAGATGCACATGTGCACTTTAAAATCAAAAAACATTAGGCTACTTCTAAAGCACCTCAAAAAGATTTCACACTTTTCTCTCCAAAGTACTGTGTTTCCACCAACTGACAAAATGCAGACCTACTTTTGACGTATATTGTTACGCTTTTTTCATCACTTTTCATTTGATACCCCAGAACATGCATCTGCAACTGCAAGAACATTTTATTCAGTGTTCCTTCTCGTACTGTATATGGTGTATAGGGTGGTGCCCATCTCTGTCTCTATAGCCCTTGGGCCACACAGTCCCAAAATTACTATAGCAGGTGCCTCACTCGTCATAGTGGTGTGTACTTAACTCCCATACTCTTTCCCAAATACTGAGTCCTAAGCAGAGAAAGCATATGTACCATTTTTTGGTATGACTTGGCTGGGAATCAAACTCACAACATACCAAAAATGCAAGGTGAACTCTACCCACTTGGCCATTGCACCCGTTACCAAGTTGCACGAACTAAAACAGTAGTTCAGAAGTGACTGTTACTAAATTTCAATTTCTTCTATCTTCTGTAGGATAAATCATTGCAGAGGATGAAGTTGGAAACAGCGTATAAAAACTACGTGGAAGAGATGGTGAGACAAGGGAGGAACCTGGACAGAGCTGAGATCTTCTCGTAAGTTTGAACAGATTAATCTTCCAAAAATCATATCAGCTTTACCATCATTGATTTCATGTATGTGCAAAACATACTCATGCTAGTTGCTTGTTTGTTTTGGATAACCATGAAACCGTTTGTACAGTAAGTTTACTACTTCAGACTGGACTGTAAGGTTTGAACCACTCACACCAGGAATTCTTCTACTCTTTTCGATAAGTGTGGTGGGATCTTTAACGTGCTCAAGGTGTGGCTGGCTTCAAACATGGGGCCTCAGAGTGGCTTTATATCCTATGGAAAAGGATGTCCCTAACCAAAGCTTGGTACTCACTTGCACCTGAGTCAAGTGAGGAAATATGTGTGAAGTGCCTTTCCCAAGAACACAACAATGGGGTCTGCCATGCAGGGATTCAAACTCAGAACCTTCAGATTCTGAGTCATAAACCCTTAACAAGATCTAGACCACCTTGCCCCGTTACAATTGCTGTGTCCTTGGGAAGTTTCCCTAACCTGTGTATTTATGATTTTCAATCTATAACTTAGTTTTGTGGCCCTTCTCAGGTTCAATGACTTCTGTGCATCAGAGATCCAGAAGGCATGGCGGAGGTCCAATAAGGGTCGTGTCATCAGTAAGCCTCTCAGCGCCATGTCCAGCGGGATGTCCTTCCTGAAGGACGAGGGGAAAACTGAACCAATCAGCGAGAGGAAAGCTGCCATGAAGATTCAGCGGGCCTGGAGAAGACACATTGTGAGTTATATGTGACAGAACATACTGTGCCTGCACAAAATCTGAATTTTTCACAATTCTTCCTCGATTTTTGGTCAACGTTGCATCAGAATTTTGCCTGTTGTAAAGATAATAAAGATGTGTATAAAATCACATCACTTTCAAGCAAGAAAAATGCATTGATCATTATGATGCTCAGGTTTCTGAAATGGGGATAATTGAAGCATGTACCAGTGACTGGGTGATCATGTTGGCAGAACATACTGCATCCGCATGAAACCTGGACTTTTCATGGTTTTCGTTGGATGTCTGGTTAACGTTGTATCAAAATTTTGCTCTTTGCAGACAATTTCTTTGCAGACACAATGTTTGAAAACTATAGACAGGATGTCACACACAAACCTGACCATAATTGAGATGTTCTGCCATAGATCTTTGAATGATACACTATGGGTTTTGCACAAGCACAGTACGTTCTGCTGATGTGCTTACTACTAGTAATATTAGTTGTGTTGCAGTGCAGTGTTCCCCTTATGTTTTGTCCCCCAACTTTTCTGTAATATCATAAATTACATCAGTTCCTGTTATACATGTATTTGATTTTTGATTTATTGAAATTGCAACAGTGCAATAATAACACGTGGAACAAAGGCAGCTGTTGCTGGTGTTGTGTCCCACACATAACTAGAAACAACTAGAAAGGCCAATATTTGCTTTGGAGCAAATACAGCGATGGGTTCACCACATTTTACGACATGGCAGGGAAAGAATGAGAAACACAAGGGAAAACAATGATTTACATTGATATAACTATAATATGAAGTAACATACAACTAAAACAACAGTTGGATAGTTATTCCCTACTTTATTGGTTAGGATTTTTAATTGCATAATGCAAACTGTTGATTTTCAAAAAAAAAAAAACGTTCATGCCCCGCATTCCAATGCTGGAGCAGGAAAGCTTGAAATACCTACCAAAACACTTGAATACAGACATACTGTTAGTATGGAAATGCTCTGTGCAGGTGTTAATCAAGTTAAATCCCAACAGCCAATCAGCAAGAAATGCTCTGTGCAGGTGGAAATGCTCTGTGCAGGTGTTAATCAAGTTAAATCCCAACAGCCAATCAGCAAGAAGAATAGAGGAAAGCTGCATGCCTATTGGTTGATGCCCTGCATTCCATTGTGATGACTCATGCTCAAACGTGGTAAACAGGGCTGGCACACTAACACAGTAATACATTTGCTATAACACAGCCAAAAAACTCAAATAAAACCATTCTAAAAGCCTGTATCACAAAAATTTAAAAAACGCCTAGGGGTATTTGCCCACTGTACCTCCATACCAAATTTCAGGACCTTAGGCCCTAAAATGAAGAAGCTGAATCCATTTAAAAAATGGCAGGAGAAGAAGGAGGAGAAGAAGAAACACCAGAAAAAGCAATATGGGTTCACCACACACCACTTCGTGGTGTGGTGAACCCATAAATACAGGACAGACAATACTCATTTTCACTTGAGTTAAGTGAGGAAAGTTGTGCTAAGTACATTTCCCAAGGGCACAAGATTGGTGGCATGTCAGGACTTGAACTCTTGGTTCTGAGTCGAGCACTCCGCTGTTATGCCATAAGACCACCCGACCATGTATTTATGCGTACATATTCTACCACTGGTCTTACACGAGCATTTTCTCTCCCACAGGATGTCCAGGTGTACAGATATTACAGAGACCTCATTAACTTCAAGGGGAAGGGAGACCCGTCCATGATGCTCAGATGTATCAACCCCAACGAGGCCAAACTCCTAGACTCAGCTATGGGGGCTCATGTCAAGTTTAGGCTGGCTGGGGTAAGGGAAAATGAGGGTTACTACACCATCTTTTTTCACTCTTTTTTGCTTTATTTAGGCCAAACCAATTTAATTTGTTGGTTCATGGATTCGCCCGCTTCATTTTTCCTGATTGCAAAAAAAGGTCCCTAATCTCTTCAGAGTTGTTACAGGTTTCTCATCTATCAATGCAGTGGTTTGATTAAAGGTTTGAAATTCATTGTTTGAATTACAAACTAGCCTGGTATGTTGACTTCATGGCTTCTATCATGCCATTTGGGGCCATCATAGGATGCCTTGGTCTATTTGGTTTTTTTTGTCCTGTTGCTTCATATTTTTTCTGAAAAAATCCAAGAACCTACAAATCAAATTGGTGTGGCCTATAAGAAAAAAATATATTTCATCCATGTAATACCCACCTGAGGATACACACATTTCAATGCGAAATGTGTGGAAATTTTGTGTTCTTTAAAAAATTGTAACATCATCCAAATCTGGTTTTCAAAATTTCAAAAGTTGTGCACTCTGTGCACACAAAACACATTCAATTTATTACTGTATAGAACATTTGGAAAAAGTTATTACATGGGCCAGAATAACGTTATCGCATCATGCATCAAATTTCCATCTAGAGAGATTCACTGTTGTTAATCTCAAATTGTATGACATTTTTATTCAGTGAGCATGTCATCTCTTTCCATAATCTTTACACAACAATTTTTGTTGGCCAAAGATGTTGAACTATCAAAATTTGTCCATCACGAGCAGTCAAATTCCATCAAATGACATAAAAACAGATTCTGGCTATAGAACACTATTTCTGAGTTTTCATTCAAGGGTTCACTCTTCTGTGTTTGTGTGTTTACAGGACAGATTCCCACCCAACATCTACTACAAGATCTTCACCCATCGTACCATTATCGATCTGTGTGCCAACAGTCCCAAGGACTACACTAAAGCTGCCATCCTGCGAGTAGAGGCCAAACAGAGACACAACAGGACAGTACACAAGCCTTTGGTGGATGGTAAGGAAAGACATTTTTTGGCTTTTAGTGTTAAGCTCAATATGCATGAAGTAAAAGAAAGTCTTCTTGTGCTGGATTTAAGAAGTTCTACAGTACCTTTCCTGCACTCAAGCTTTTTTTTTTCTTTTGGCTGCTTTCGACTGGTGACAGTATACCGTTGCATGGCAGGTGCTGGCAGATGCTCTGCTGGCAGGTGCTCTGCTGCATGGCAGGTGCTCTGTTGGCAGGTGCTCTGCTGTTTTACAGCCAAACACCAGTCAACCATGTCATAACCTCCCGACAAAGCCCTGAATCTTTTTTCACATTTTGAAACATTCAGCTGGTGCAGCAAAATAGTAGCTGACCTCACCGAACAGCAACCAACTTTGCTCCAACCATGGAGGTAGAAAAAAAGAAATGCTCCAATCTACTAATAGTATTCCTAACCATAGTCCTAGGGCATTCGGGTAGTGCTCGGGAGGTCAAATTCGTGAATGTGTGACAGGCGACGGTTAACCATCTAGAGCGGGGACTTAGATGACATTGCATGTAATAAGTACACTGCATTTGGCATTACTTAATATTATATAATCTATGTTTCAGCTTTTTCTGTCTTTTTGTTTCCATACAGACAAGACTGGCTGGTATGAGAGAATAGAGAACAATGGGTGGAGACTGGTGTCAGACAGAGTAAGCCTCATTGGATGATAATGTACCGGTATATCCATAGAACCTATGCCATAGGTGTAGCTATATTGTGTAATGCTGTACCATAAAATTAAAGTGTGTTATGTTGCATGAACATAAAGACATTCACATAGAAGTATTTTCCATGAAAATATGGAAACAAATCCATATTTTCGAGCATGCAATAGGTATGCATCACTATGCAATACCAGTACCGTGCTTTCTATGTTGTCCAGGGAAGTTGCAATATTAGGTAAGGTAAAAATGTCTCCTTTCCATGCTAAATATTTAGCACCTTCATACAGAATGATATGAGTTGTTAAATATTTTCCATTATTTCACCCCCAGTTACTACAGAATGCCCAGCAGGACATAATTACATGGGAGTCATCCAGGAAGAAAGTGGAGTTTCACCACAACAAGGTTTGTGTTTGTGTTTAGGCCATGTTGATTTGATTATATGGATGACATCCTCCGGGAGCCCCAAAATTGATGCGCGCGTGCTAATAAAAAAAAAGTTTTGCAAAAAAAAAAAGTTGTTTTCATTATGAAATCTACGTGGTCATGAGTGTTGAACAAATGGGACAGAATATGGTTTGGCGAATAATCTAGTCTTCAAGTTCATTTCTTTACAATTTCGTCTTTTTTCATTTGATTTTGGCATTCTACGACATTGGTATGGTTTTTTGTAACTTACGGTATATTTTTGCTCATTTTGCAACTGTTTTGTACGATTTACAGTATGGTTGAAAACTTTTTTTTTTTGGAAACGGCCGAAAATTCATGCGCGCGCGGATGCCATCCATATAATAAAATCAACATGGCCTTATATAATAAACTAAAGATTGCTCTCAGTGATCTAGAACTTTTGACCAGTCACTCTGGTCTTCCTCAATAGACTGACCCAGGGAGACTTGAGTCACGTGGCTTCTCTGAAGTGTAACATTAACACCGGGTGAAGTATCTGTATCTGTATCTGTATCTGTATAGCCGGTATAACCGCCTTTCGGCGTAACACACCAGCTTCGCAGGCACGCGGCGCGGCGGCAGCTGGCTATATTACACCGATCGACTTGTTACACCTAACCCTTGAACTTCTAGCTCTAGACATTGTTTAAAGCTATCTATTGACAATGCCCCTACTGTACTTGGTGACAGTGAGTTCCACTCTGCGATAGTTCTAGGAAAGAATGAATTCTTGAACACCTCAATCCTTGGTTGATAACTCTGGTACTTGAATGCGTGGCTATTTCTTGTTCTCTTCTGGGCTGGTATTAGGTACTTAGTAGTTGGGACATCCACCAGTTTATTAGTCATTTTGTACATCATGCATAGTCTAGACATCTTTCTTCTGTCTTCCAGTGAAGTCCACTGTAGGTTTCTTTTCATTTCCGTGACACTAGCACCTCTTACATAGTTGTTCATACAGAATCTTGCAGCTTGATTCTGTACCCTTTCCAATTTGTCTTTGTCTTTCTTTGTATATGGATCCCATACTGTCGCAGCGTATTCTAGGTTCGGTCTTACAAGTGACGTGTATGCAAGTGATTTTACTCTAGTTGGACATGCCCACAGATTACGTTTAATCACTCCCAATGTCTGTTTCGCCTTAGTTGTGATATTATTAACATGTGTACCCCACTTCAGTCCGCTTGTCAGCGTGACGCCCAGATACGGATGGATTTTGTGGTTGCTAAAGCCTGACCACAAAACTGGTAGCTAGTTGCATGTGGTGTTCGTTTGTTTGTTATGTGCATAATGTAGCATTTTTCGGGATTAAACTGCATGAGCCATTTGCTTTGCCATTCTTCCAGGGTGTTCAGGTCTTTTTGGAGAAGTTGTGAGTCGGTCTGTGTAGAAAGCTCTACATACAATAGACAGTCATCGGCAAATAACCTCACATTTGAGTCAAGCCGATCTGGTAGGTCATTTATATACAAGAGAAAGAGCAATGGCCCCAGGACGGTTCCTTGAGTGACCCCAGACGCTACTTTAACTGGAGCCGACGCCTTCCCTTCAACCACTACTGTTTGCTCCCTGTTGGTCAGGAAAGCCTTTAACCAATTCAGCGTAGGGCCTTGGATTCCATAATACTCCAGTTTTGAGATGAGCCTGCCATGGGGGACTTTATCAAAGGCTTTAGTGAAATCAAGTATTGCTAAATCTACCTGCCGTTTACTGTTTAGTGCGCCAGCTATGTCATGGACTGTTAGTATAAGCTGTGTTTCTGTGGATCGTTTGGCTCTGAATCCATGCTGGTAATCCGTTAATATACTGTAACTTTCTAGGTGCTTCATGATTTGGCTATGGATAATATGTTCAAGTAGTTTGCAGGATATGCAGGTCAGTGAAACAGGTCTGTAGTTGCTGGGGACCGCTCTATCTCCTTTTTTAAAGATGGCGCATATATTTGCATCCCTCCAATCTTTAGGGATTTCTGCAGTGTTTAGCGAGTGTTGGAAAATATTGGTTAGAACAGGCGCGATTTCACTAGCTGTCAACTTGAGGAACCACGGTGGTATTTGGTCTGGTCCGGATGCTTTAGAGGGATTGAGACCTTGAAGCATTTTTTCTTTTATCTGGTAGACGATGTCAGCCCCCGTCGCTGTTGTGTGTTGTGTGATGGTATTTGTTCATTGATACCTTACACAGCAGTTGTCATTGTGTTATTTGTAAGCTTGCCCATAAAACATGTATATTAAAATAAAATACATGTAATAGAGGGGCCCAGGCCAAATGAAGTGTTATGTCATTTGTTTTATGTAAATAGTAGGTATGCTTGCTTGTTTTATGTAAATAGTTGGTATGCTTGCTTGTTTTATGTACATGTAAATAGTAGGTACGCTTGCTTGCTAAGTTAACTCAACAATCAACATCTATCAATTGAATGTTTTCTTTATTCAGCTGAGGAGAAAACAAGATGTGGAGAAGAAGAGAAAGAAGAAAAAAGTGGAATGGATGATGAAAATGTGAGTACAATCATATTATTCATTTGTTTCATGTTTTTCATTTTTCAACAAAAGTGTACCAGTAGATGAGACTCATAGTTAACAGGGTAAAGTGTCCATTTTTGTACCCGTGTACTTTCCTCCAGGATTTTTTATTTTTCAATTTTTTCTTCAGATTTTTCTTCAGAAGTTCGCAGTTTGAGAAAAGTAGACATGCTCACGAAAACCGCAAATATAAAAAGTACATGTACTGGGAAAAAATTGTTATTTACAGTATGGTCTAAGCCATTGTATACCAATAACCTAATTACTCTGTTTTTTACTTTCCCAGGTATAAGGAAGGCATGTTGCGCTCCAAGTCGACAGACTCCCACACGTCAACGCTGATTCAGGACGCTGCCAACGGGATTGTACGCGTGGCGCAGGAGAAGGGACCCGACTCCATCCAGGACTGGGAGGTCGACGAACTCTTGGACTGGACCAATGGGCTGAACTTTGATGAGTAAGTTTTAGATAGATAAGATTAGATAACAGACGATCATCAAAATGTTGGCTCTTGTGGTTGTGGTTGTGGATAATTTAGAACTTTGTTATTCAATCATTCACCAACTTGATGACATTATTGACAGGTATTAGATTAGACAAGTTTGGACAATGAAATCTCCTGTCAAGCAACTGTAATTTTCCCATATCATTACAAAATGAATTTATCCATAATTTTCTGTTTTTTCAATGAAGGAATATTCAAGTGACTCTATGCATGCAGAAGTAATGATAATGGTCTTGTTTATAAATTTGAATTCAAAATGTGGCAGTTTTTATAACAGTTCTGTTGCCCATAACAGGTATATGGACACATGGAAGGAGATTGGAACAAGTGCTGCATCAGAGAGACAGATAAGTAAGTACAAAACCTGATTTCTTTAACCATTAGCCATTATGAAAAAAAAATTCAGACGGGCTCAATCACTGGTTTTAGCCCATGTTTGCAACTTGTGTAATTTGTGCTCTTATATAGGAAGTCAGATCTTGGACGGTGTTTTCTGTTCAGAGCAAACAACACGTTCCTCTAATCTCAAAACAGATCTTTGGGTGGCGCAATAAATTAATTCAGATTGGTAAGACAGTATCAAATTTGTTGAGCAGTACTAATATTGAGTTTATTGAGATAAAACTCTCCTTTAGCTGCCCACCCGAGGGTCACAGCTATTCATCCAGGAGAGAGTATACACATAAATGTAACAATACGTCAACATGTACATGTATACATCAACATACACAATATATTAACATACATCAACATACCCAATTTGCCACCCATTGCGATGGGCCGATGGCTAATGATTACATGCAGCCAATATTGACAGACTGTTAAATCTGAAGAATCTACTTGAAGACAAATTTTCTTCAACATTGTTGGATCTCTCATTTGTCATGATTTTGTTGTTGTTACAGATATCATCTCAGCAGACCCTGCAGCCTTCGCGCTCTCGTCTGTAGCACACCTCATAGATACGCCGAAGGGCTCCCGTGTGTCCGGCGCACAGAGTAAGCACCAGTCCCCCCACCCAGGGGGTATGGACTCCCACCCCCCCTCCAGACCCACCCCTGGCACACCTGAACCTGAGGCATACTGAACACCAGCCCCCCTACTCCCACCCAGGGTGTATGGACTCCCTCCCCCCCTCCAGACCAACCCCTGGTACACCTGAACCTGAGGCATACTGAGCATCAGCCCCCTACCCCACCCAGGGGAATGGACCACCACCCCTCACCCTTCTCCGGACACCTATGATATAAAACAACAGCTACCTTGAGCCAGATTATTGCCATTTTTAGAGAAGTCTATATGTAGCCATATCCATACTCTATCAAGCACTGTGGTTTTTAAAAGTGACTGACTATGGGAGAATATCTCATCATGTACAAGAACCCACTCCGCACTTTAAGCACAGAATTTTTAAAAACAAATTGACCATTATTCTATTTCAATCTGTACATTCAAGAACTAGTTTTGTAAAGTCTGACTCATTGTGTTCGAAAGATACATACGCACAGTGAAAAGCTGTAGAATGATGTGATTTATACACATCAGTCTCTTTGAAATATATATATATGTACAGTTGAAGCTGTAGAATGTTATGATTTGACACATCTCTATTGATATGCCTTGATATTAAAGTCCAAGTAATTTTGTAGAAATGGCAAATATTTTCCAGTATACACGTAATTTAGTGCTTTTCACAATTGCGACTAAGAGGGAAAGTCTGTACAGTATCTGAACATATCAAGGTTGTATATTATGTGTTTTGGAACTAAGTAATCATGCACTCACTTAAAGTTGAATGAGATGGAAAAAGTACTGAATTAATAATCCCTATATGCATACATGAAATAAAGGCTGTGTCTCCTGTTTTCTATGTAATACTCTTAGCAGTGTGGTATTTTACCTGACATATAGATAGGGTTGTACCGACTGGCCAGTTGGTACACGACTGGCCAGTCTGTGTAGTGGTGGCCCCTGTTGCAATCCTCATTGCTAGTATGCAGGCAGGTGAAAGGGTGTTGCATTGATTGGCCTTTTTTGCAGTACTGATAAAGATTAATAGAGGTCGCTTTCTGTGCAGCTGCTTGGGTGCACGCAACTAAATCTGATTGCACTTGGTACTGAAGCACTGACGGTTCCATGGGATCCATGTTTGATCCCATGACGGTTCCATTCACTTGACAAAATCGCGTCAATATGCACAGAAGCGGGTGGAGTAAGAAACGTCAGACGATCAGGATATTGCAGTACTGATTAGACGAGAAAGGTGTCGCTGTGAGACCCTCCGCTGCATATTAGTGTCATTCTCCAACGGCAGAGCTATGCCGCGGCAAATACGTTAGTTAGTTAGTAAGGAAGCACCCCTGCCTCGGGAGGATGATTAGTGCACTTATGCTAGTATACTACTGCCAGTTTTACTACGCCCGGGTACCATCTTTCGTAGTTACCACCGCTCTCTCTTTTCAATTGCCCAACACTGAGCCAACGTCTGTATCTGTATGATAGCCGGTAATAACCGCCTTTACAACATACCCGCTTCGCAGGTACGCGGTGCGATCGACTTGTTACACATAACCCTTGAACTTCTAACTCTAGATATTGTTTAAAGCTATCTAAATCGGACAATGTCCCTACTGTACTTGGTGACAGCGAGTTCCACTCTGAGATAGTTCTAGAAAAGAATGAATTCTTGAACACCTCAATCCTTGGTTGATAACTCTAGTACTTGAAGGTATGGCTATTTCTTGTTCTCTTCTGGCCTGGAATTAGGTACTTAGTATTTGGGACGTCCACCAGTTTATTAGTCATCATGCATAGTCTGGACATTTTTCTTCCAGTGAGGCCCACTGTTTAGTGTAGGTTAAGAGAACGTAAAGAGAAATCCGGAGAATGGCACCCGGGTTTGAAAACATATACTTGTACATTTTGTACATGAATTCGGCCAGTTTTTCGTTCTGTGCAATCTATTTTGCGGTCACTGACAAAAAAGTAGACCTGCTCGGCTTGAAACGTCTGATAGTCATCAAAATCTATCCAGTTGCTTGAGTAACGATTTCCTTAACATGTGTACGTGTATTTTGCATTTTCGACAAAAACGCCATACAGTTTTGAAAATCCTTTGTTACAAACAAATAAAAGTGTGTACAAAAACAGCACAAAAATTCATTAATTACAAATTGTAACCTAATCAAATTTGAAGTAAATTCACAACGGAGCTTGACGTCGACAATAAACCATTATTTTACTATAGTAACCACTAACCACTGTTGTTTTTAGCTCAATATTTCGCACAACCTGTTCCATAGAGCTTTTTTTTATATATATTCCAACATCTAATCACAAGGTGACGGCACACTCAATTATTTTCAACTGCCGCCACCAACACAGGGGACAATACATATATGCTCACTTTCACCTGAGCGAAGTGAGGACAGTCGTGTAAAGTGCCTTTCCAACGGGCACATGTGGTATGTCAGGACTCGAACCCGGGACCTTTTGATTCCGAGTTCCATAGACCTTTGACTTCACTTTCTCCCGACAATAATCCGGGAAAATTGTACTACAACTGATACATATTGTTTCCACTTCAGGATTGCAACTGTACATGGACAATTCTTGTATTTCAATTGCAATTATGTGTTTAACAAGTTTCAACAGAATGCAATGATTATTTAGTAAAAATGGTATTACGATGCAGGGTGGTATTGGTACACCCTGAACTTGGAATAACCGACTGTGTTCCAACGCCAAGTAATTACCTTCGCCAAGAAGGTTATGTTTTCAGGGGCGTTCGTGTATGTGTGTGTGTGTGTGTGTCTGTCTGTCTGTCTGTAAACACGATAACTTGAGAAGGCCTTGATGGATTGTCTTGATACTTGGTAGGTGGGTAGGTCTTGATGAGACCTCAAAATGATTAGATTTTGGACCCCCTAGCAGCTTGTTATGGTACTGCAGCTGAACTTCCGGTTTTGATATCTCATGATCTAGACATGCTATGGTGATGAAATTTAGATGGTAGGTAGCTCTTGTGCTGGGAAAAAAGTGACGTGAGTTTAGGCCCCCTAGCGGCTTGCTCTGGAACTGCAGGGATAAATTCTTGAAAATATTCAAAAGGGGATAACTCAAGAACCGGTTGACAGATCGTCGTGATTTTTGGTATGTAGGTAGCTTACGTGATGCTTAATATAATTATGTGACAATTATGCAAATATGGATGTAATTTGCATAATTTATGGGGAAATTCTATAAATCAGCTGCATTCCATAATAGGACAATTGAAGCTTGTGACATTGGTAATTGACAACGAGAGAAACACAGGAAGATGTTGATTATGTTAATAATGACTTAATTTGCATAATTAATGAGAAAATTTTATAATTATGTAATGATAACTGCCTGGAATTTCATACTTGCGGTATTTGAAAGTTAAATTGAGGTGAACATCATTAAACATAATTTATTCAAATCAGGACCTCATTTGCATAATTTATTAGGAAATGCTAGAATGCATTGTTTGTTAATATAAGACTGTCTTTTGGTTGAGATTATGATAAAATGATATAATTCATAAAAATTAGGTTCCTATTTCTTTAATCAGGGGGGAATAATCTAATCTAAACTTTGTCAGTCATAAAGATTAACATCATTTGGCGAAGGTATGAGGTTGGGGAACTCTAGTTTCTGATATGATCTGTATTACTCTCTTGCAGTACACAGATGTTCAGTATGAGGGCGCTTGTTTCTTGTACGCCCTTTCTGCACAGTTCAGTAAAATTGAGAATGTGTACATCTCTGTCACTAAACCGATTCTTTTGGTGATTAGAACTGTCTCCAGTCATTTGCAACATTCTTCTGGAGTTATGCAAGAGTAAATTTACAAGGACTCGACAGTTAGATTGTGCCTACTAGTATATAAATCAGTATGATACTAGTATTTTATAAAGGATGTATAATATTTCTTGGTGAAACTTGTTTTATTTAACAATGTGGCGGTCTAATTCCAAAATATACCAGATCAAAAGATAGAATGTGAATTTATTTTACATGCCCTGTCGCCTACCCATATATGTGTGCCTGTGTGTAGCCAAAAAAATACGGAATCCTCGAAATATATATAACATAAATATTTGGACAAAAATTGTTTGATCCCAGATAATATTTGGATCTCGATGTTAAAACAATCTATAGTAAATAAAAAATTCGTCTCAACCTTTACTGCAAGTAAAATTGCTTGATTTCCCCCCATGGAAACATTTATACGAATTGTCAGAAATCCTTGAACTGAGGACCTGCTCCCCCTGCGTGCCACGGCAATTATCTCGATGGAATCGTCCAATTTCTGGGCGCCCTTGTTATCAATCACGTGTGGGCAAATGGTTCAAGGGGAAAAAGAAACTTCAACAAAATTACTCTCCGTAAATACGAAAAGTTTGCATGATTTTCAGGATGCATGGAATGTTGTCGTCTCCTGTGATATTTTACCATGTGGAAAAGTGTCTCCATGAATTATTTCATCTCGCGTAGAAAATACGCTGCCAACGCGATGTTTTGAAACGGAGCGAGCGGTGGGGCCCAGAATGGTTTGTGCAACAGACTTTGTAGGACAAAGGGGCACAGGCGATATTTTTCTTCCCTGAACCGTAAAAACAAAAATGAACCAAGGATAGTACAAAGGTTAGATGGCTAGTTCGCCTAGGAGTGGGGAAAAATTACGAATCGAATTGTTTGGTGGAGTTTTAGCTCCTGAGGCAAGGAAAAAGAGCGGAACGCCGGCGCGCCTGGTGCTCCGTTTATTGATCTTAACTGCACGGTGCTGGGGCCACACGGCTGGGAGAAAGGATCGAATTTCAGATTCCACGGGATTAAAATCGATTTTTGCTGGGTCCTCCCAGCGCCAACCGGCGGCTTGAGGGAGCCAGGCGATATCTCAGGAACTGCGCGCATTCATTTATTACTGCACCAATGGGTTGGGTTTTTATAGAGGGCGCTCAAATATGAAAAGGTGGACGCGTTTTTCCAGGGGACACATCTCCCTGAAAGCTTTCCAGATAATTTTACCGGCTGACGTCATTGCGAATTGCAGTCTGCCAATTAGGCGGTTCGAGTCATGGCGTCCCCCTCCCGCCGGAAAACCCGAGTTTCGGGCTTAAAACGGACAGAAAGGCAAATATGTGTAAAATGCTGGGTTGCTATGGCAGCGGGGATAATAGCAGGCTTCCGTGATGCTGTTACGAGGTGTCCCCCGCCAAAAACACCGGCGGCACTGGCCGGCAAGGCTTGTCTTGCATGACCTCTTCCGGAGGGAGGTTGCTGGAATGGCTAATAGGAAAAACGGGTTTGAAAAGCGATGCCTCAGACGCATCACCGCCGTGGAATTTGGCGCAATATGTATTCAGGCAGATCGCTTACAAAAAGTAGATCAACACATTTTCTTCTTTCCCGTCAACTCGATTCCCTAAACACTCATATTGTTAGAAAATTATATCTTGTTGATTATTTTGTCGAGAGAAGTGTGGTTTTGGGGAGAATATGTTGTTTTTGAGGATGTTGAAGTTTTTTGGGTGGCGGAGTGATCGTTTGGTAGGAGCCTGTATGTCGTCTGAGGCAGGGGTGCGCCATAATGGTGTAGCGTGAGATAAGGCCATGCTGCCACCGGGCCTGAGTTCTCTGTTATTCTCCTCTTGCTGACTCAAAACACGTGTGTGCATCGGCGTCAAACACCGCACAGGTAACCCCACAGATGCGCCAGGGTCACCTTTCTACCATTGACCACCTCTGTGACCTCGATCGTACCTTCAACTTGATGTAACTCGTGGTGTATTGTCGTTCTGGCCATGGCAGCTCAAGTGGCTGCGAATGTCCATTGTGATGGGAACGACATTGGGCAGAGTACTGAGGTGGCCGCCAACTCTGTGGATCATGTCCCTGACGGCAACGGCGACGCTCCCCACGGTCCTGACGGCGTAGCTCCCGACGGCGGGCCCCCGAGCGGCAAGTTGAAATCGCCGAACGAACAAAGCAGCGCCGCCGACTCAAACTCTGCTGCGGCTGCTCAGCACAACGCTCAAGATGGAGGAACAGGCAATAGCGGGTCTATGAACAACGACGACTCCGGCGTGGATATAGACCCTTCCAGACAGGGCAGCTACCCTCACCCTGGCCCAGGCGGGCCAAACCAGGTGGACGGGGCCCCAAGTGGGCCACCTGGACACCCAGGACCGATGTCCGGTAACATGCCAGGCTACAGCAACAACTTCCGTGGTGGATACAACAGTGCAGACCCACAGCAACATGGCGGACCTGGTGCAGGAAACGGCCCATATAACCCGGGTTCGAATCCCGGCATGGGACCACAGAACCCTCAGTACAACCAGTACGGCAACTACGACGGCATGGCCGGGATGTCCGGGCCCAGGCAAGGCCCGTACCCTCCCGCCTCCAAGCCTATGAACATGCCGGTAAGCAGGACTAGCTTGAGCTCGGCTGGGGCTCAGATGATGCCTAATTATAATACGGGTCCGCAGCAACAGCACCGATTTATGAGCGGCCCTTCCACCAGCCAACATTCAGGGCCAACTCCGACACTAAACCAGCTTCTACAGAGTCCCAGCCCTGCCACTTCACGCTACGGGAACTCCTACCCTCCCTCAGCCGCTGGAGGGGACTATAACATGGGCAAGGGGCCCGACGGTGGAAATATGATGGGCAGCGGGCAATATCCTAATCAGACGTGGGGATCGCAACAAAGAACGCACCCGGGACAAGGCTCGATGGGCCCGGCGCCCCCGCCCAACCAGACCATCGGCAGGACACAGGTAGGCCACCGACACCCGTCCTTGTGCCGTACGTGATTGCCCGTCACCGTGGCGTACCAAGTGCCATATATTTCGCCAGGTTATTTTGTACAGAGAGCGCTGTGTTCGCGCCCTGCATACATAATGAGCCGATCGGGTAAACAAGGGCCCGATCGCGGGCGGTAGCGGGGAGATAGCGTCTGTTTTCGCGGCTCCAGAGCCCGTTGAACGCGCTGGACGGGCGCCGGCGGCCCGCCAGAGTGCATGAAATTGACTCAAGTTTTTGAATTGTGGAGGTAAATCCTGATAGTTAGAGGACAGCTGGGCATTCTGAGCCCGATCTGCGCGCTGATTGGCTCATCCCACTTGTCAAACAAACCATTAATCACCCCCTGTCATAATGATACTATTCATTAGAACACGCTGATTGGGCTGGAGGGTGTTGAGTTTCTTGGAAGAGGGAAATAGAAACTATAAACTTGCCCCTTGCTACACTACTGGGATGCAGAATGATCATTTTCTTCCTAAATTCCTGTAAATTTGGCTTCTCTGGACACAGAGTCCCAAGACATACATGACCTGGCATTGGTATTTGATCAGGTGCAAATGCACTCAATTTACTATTGGATTGTAGAATGCAATAGTAGTAGTATATAACAAACTCTGCATTTTACCTTTATGATCTTGATGTCCTAAAATCTAAATAACTACTTCTTTTCAGATTTTGACACCATCATACTCAATATCTTGAAGTTGTTGCTTGCTGTATTGGCACTATCTCATGTTACACTTATTATTGCATTTTACACTTCTCGTTTTTAACACTTTTAACATTCTGCTGACCAGTTGTGTGTTCAAAGGAATTTTGAAGCATTTTGATATTTGACTGACATCTGTCTTGATATTGTTCCAGTGACTGAATAGATGGTTTTCGTCATGACCACTAGTATAGTCATGGTAGTTAGGTGATAGTAGTGTAAAAGTTGGTCTTTCAGGGGTTGAAATTTCTTGGCTGTCATATTTCTAATTTTCTTGAATGTCTGAGAGAAAGAAAGGCTTTCTAATTTCGTCGCTGGAGCAAAATTGTCTTATTAGATGTTCCGCAAAAGATGTGGCAATCGTCAGCTGTAGCTTACTTCTCATGGTGTATTTGTGTTGGAAAAGCACATATGGAGACTAGAAATTTGAAACTAAATGTGGAGACGTTTTACCACACCAAGCTTGCCAGCTGACAAAGAAAGGAGGAAAAAACAATATTGAAATTAAAATTTGTTTTTCTGAGGATTGATCCCAAGCTTTGAAGCCACATTGGAAGAAAGGGCAATATCAGAATGTATGGTGGCAGCTATAACTGCTAAACATTTTGTTTCATGGGATAATCAAGTTAAAGACTTCTTGTAACTCTGTTGACAGAATCTGAAGTATTACAGCTTACAAGGATTTGAGCAGTTGGTCTAGAAAGTAGATGTGTACAACAAACTCTTACAGAGGTATTGTCATTGTCAAGTATTTTCCTAGTGTTTTGAATGGTTACTTACACCATGTTTTGGTGCTCTCCAAGAGGTTTAGGCTTTGAATTTTTATCTTTTTCTTTTCTTTTAATGATATCTTTTTCTATGGGCAGTGTATTGGATACTGGCTGGCCAATTTGATGCTGTCTTGCGAATTTGATGCTTTTTTTTGCAGCCACCAAAAGATCTGCTTGGAGATTCATGTTTTGGTGTTGAAAAGTTGGTAACTGTAATCATGCACCTGTTGCCAGTAAGTGTTGGGGGTTTCCCCCTCGGAGACTCATAAGCTAGGTGTCAGGAGAAAGGGAATACCTATTGATGATTCCTGCCTAACTAATCCAATGTCACTACTACGTTCAGACAGCAGGGGAAGGCTTGACTGGATTGCAAGGTTGAGTGAACTGAATGGAAAAAAAAAAATCTCTTATGATTTCTTTGTCATCTAAAGTCACCTCGAGCTAGCTTCATAGTTGGTATTGTATGAAATCACAAGATAATAATATTTTTGTTTTTCAGCATCATTTATAAGTCGTATATCAGCAACTATCATTGAGGGATAAATTTTTACAGTGGTAAAAAATTGCATAACAGTAAGGATAGTATTCTGCAGTCAGAGAAAAAATAAATCTGCATACCTGCACTGGTGCAGATTACATTGAAAATAAACTGCAAAAGAAAAGACAAATTTTACCTGCACCACTAAAAAATTTAGGAAATATGGTAGGTGGTAACAGTCAATGTAGGCTTATGTAGCGAATAAATATCATACAGTCATGCAAACCCAATACATGGCCCTGTGCAGGTTAGATACAGGTAGACATCAGAAATACCTGCACAAAGCTGCATATACTGGTGGTATTTTGAGCCCTGACAGTTTAAGCAAGAATGTACATTATGTCAGCAAAACAAGGTAAATTGTTAGGTGAGTTTACTTGAAGGGAAGCCATAGAAAACTCATGTCATTCCAGAAAATCAATAGAAAAATGATTTAAAAATGACACAATTGACAGAATTTGTAGTTTTACCACCCAGGTTCTATCCTTGTGGAATTCTCCTTCATATTTTTGTATGTCACCCGTTGGGAATATACCTCTCATGGATATGTATTTTAGTTTCATTTTGTAAATACACAAGGCCACAAAAGCATGGTTTTATATTAAATAGAAGAACTCAGTCACATAATATATGATTTCATGCATGATATTTCTTCTACTATAAGGGAGGGGGAAGTTGTTTTTGTGATAATATTTTATAAGGTTTTTTAAAATTTGGAGAACAGAACTTTATTTTATACACTGTGATCTTAAACTAGGCACAATTTTGCAAAGGCAGCTTGACAGGCCAGTCTGATCTAAGGTCAAGGGTGAAAGTTCAGCATTACCAGTAGGTCAAGGGTGAAAGTTCAGCAACAGCAGTTTCTGACAGGTATCTACCTGGTTGTAGTGATGCGGTATAATGTGCCATAGAAACAATATGTTTGGCCTTTGCAGCTTTTAATATAACTAGATAGATGTAATTTATTTTGTCAAAGATTCACTGTCATATCAAGATTTTCAGAAATGTTCTGAAACAAGTTTAACATGGGCACAGTTTTCATGACTTTCAGCAAACAACTTAAGAAGAGAACTAGAGTTTGTTGGATCCAAGACACTCAAATTTCATCCGAGGACAATTTACAGCCAGCCCATCACCTGTGTCGTGATATTTACCTTCGTCAAGGAGGTTATGTTTTCGCTAGCGCTCGTGTCTGTGTCTGTCAACATCGAACATGATACATGTAACTCAAGAAGGCTAAGGTGAATTGTCATGGTATTTGGTATGTGGGTAGGCCTTTGATGGGAGCTTGAAAAGATTAGATTTTGGGTCACCTGGCGACTTGTTTTGGTAACTCAAAGCAACATCTTGTGATCGTTTTATTTTGTGGGTAGTGAGTTTCTAAACGTTAACCATTACGAGTAGTGTAAGTAGAATCTGTTCTATGCACAGTAGCATGAAGCCAGGTTTTGCGGAGCTGTGCCACGCTGAAGCACTCCCAGCCCTGCTGTCATGTGGCTGTGTTATTGTCAGGATGAACAGCTGATGCCTTGTCACCTTTGACCCCCGTGCTGGAGTGTTTGGGCTCCCCTTGGCCCCCTCGGGATCACTTACTAGTTAGGCAGCCATGAATCAAATGACAATAGACCCATCCACCTGCTGTTAATGGGGATGTAAGGTGCAGGGGTCGATGAACCCGAGTGACCTTTAACCTGTCCCATTCATCAAGACAGCCCCTTTGTAAACTGGGGACCCCTGGTTTGCTATCTGGGGTCAGGTTGATTCTGGTAAAAAAAATGTCACAGGTGTTTACAGAGTGTGATTCATTAAACAAAGGCACAAACACGAAATGGTAGCGAAATTATGAAGTAAATGCAATTTTAGAATAGATCATTATCGACATTGAACTGCTCAGATTGCGTTGTTATAATATTGCTGTCATGGTAAGCATATTCCAAAACTTCTAATCAGCTTGAAATTTTTTTCCGTCATGTCAATTTTATTTGATGTAACATGATGTTGAATGCTGTTCAAAGCATGCGCCCAGGGAAAATTTTGAAATCTTGACCCACTGAAATGGTATCCTACATTTTGAGGGGCAAATTTTGCTAAACTAGGTTTGATTGCGTCTCTTTCCTAGATATCTTTACACACCGATTTTTGTCCATCAAGATTGGACAAAATTTTTGTTGTGAGCATCAAAATTCCATCAAAAACAGAAAGACAGACACTGGCTGCAACACTCCATCAGAGCTATATGGATCAAAATAGAACTGTCTTCAATTATTTCTCCTATAAATTGTAATACATTGAATCAGCCAGTCTGTCTTCAAGTGTTTTTCCTGTCGTGTGTTCAGCCAGTCAGTCAGTCAGTGACTCACTTCCTCATTACATGTGTCTGGTAACCGTGCTATGTTTTCCTAGCCAGGAAGTAATATTCATTCTTAGTCAGGCCTCTTGTATTCAGTTACTTGTTCAGTGAATCCCTCATTAAAAAAGAAAAAACACAGAAAGCCTTGATACATTTCTATATTTGAACGTTAGCATATATTTTACAAGGAAATTTTCCTTTGTATGGTAATGAGTTCTAGCTAGGATTTCATTTCAGTGTAGTGGCACTGGCTGTATGTCGAGGAAGCGAAGGGATACCCAAATAAGGGAAAATGTTATTTCTAAGGTATCTACAATGTATCCTTGATTGGTAATTTTTCGCATTTGATCTGGCATTCTTGAACAAAGAAATACAGTCACAATGCCCCTACGCTGTATTGAAAAGGGGGTCAAAATTATTGCGTAGGGGGCCCCTACGCTACTTCGCGCTAACTAGAACCCTGAGTACAGAATGAAATATCAAATACATGTATATACATGCAGTAAGGTATACAAGACCTACATGTATAGAGGGGGGTACCTATGGCACTCATACAACTTACAAGTCTGTACCTTTGCTTTTTGCAGCTCCTAAAATCCAAGCTT